TTTAAGCTGAAAATTCATCAAATTAATGATAAATCGTTAAAAAACTTTTAAAATGGGGAAGAAACCAAAACATGGTTCTCGAGAGAAAAAAACGCGTAGTCTTTATTATTGGGCTTCGATGTTACCAATTTTCTGATCCTGTGGGATTCAAAAACTGTCTTAACCTGAGATAAAACGTGAAAAAATAAATTGAAAAAAGAGGGAGAAACAAGCCAATTACTCGGCACACCGTAGAAGTTTGTTTGCTTTGGGCGTGTGTTGAGGCGGATAATCCGGTGAGAATGACAGAAGACGTCGGATTAGGTTGTGCAACTTGTATGGGTTGTCTTCTCAAGAAAGTCTAACCTTTTTTTTAGACAACGGAGAAGTTCTGGTTTCAAAAAAAGTATATAAAAGTAGCGATGTCAATAAAAAAATAATATTAAAAATTTTCTTCAAAATGTTCAACCAAGTTTTATTTTTTTCACTTTCACCACGTGAAAATTCTCACTCAGTGAACACTCAAAAAAATGCACCCGAGTGACCACTTACGCCTCTTTCGACCGACTAGTCCGTTTCGCCAATATATTTCATGTTAAATCATCTCCGAATATTCAAAAAAGAAAAAAATTTTTTTCAAAGTTATTCAGCATTGGATTCTTCAGATTATCCAAAAATTTGGAAAAAAAGCTCTCAAATGTCATATATGAGATTATAAGTGTTTCCAGGTACTTCATGAAGCGAAACAATTGGCCATTAAACCGAATCCTTCAGTTGAATGACCTCCATCAATTCGAATAATGCTTATCAAAACCAATATCAGATAAGAAAAAGGAGAAGGAGAGAAAAAGAGCAGCCGCGCCCCGAAACGACCGCATTTTCGAGAAAAGAAGTGTAACTAACGGTCGAGAGAGCAACTGACCCAGCGATGAATAATTGTGCGTAGAGATTTTGCCCTTGGGGCATTCTTTCTTTCCGCCTGTTTAATCCAATGTTTCCGTCGTGTTTTACAAGGTTTTTCACGCCGGCTCCTCCTCGGCCCAACACAGATTGATGGCCGTGTCAACCGCCACTTGCAAAAGTTTCGCCTTGTTTTTTACGATTGGAGTGGGAAACCGTTGCAGATTTAGAGGGGCAGAGTTTCTAGAACATGCCCGATATGAAAGTGATAAAAATTCTATTAAGCCAGAAATAATTACATAAGCTTTGATGGTAAATCCACTGAAGTGTTATGAAAAATAACGGCATTTTCGCCTTTTGATAAAATATCGCAAAATTCGCAAAAAAATCTCAAAATTAATAGTTCAAAATGTCTAAAAGGGAAAGTCCATTGGAAAATATATTAATTAAATAACTTTGAACCTAAATCCCACTAAAAAAAGTCGAAACAAGGAACACTGGACCTCTTCAGAAGCAGAAAAAAAAAGAAGTAACTCCTATTTTTCGACAACAAAAAACATGTTTAAACATCAAAAAGAAGGAAAAAAAAGGCTCGAAGGAAAAAATCGAGGAATTGGCATGGAACAACGCTAATTGCATTTCCCAACGTGTCAAAAAAGCTTCTTGATTCTCCTTTCTTTCTACATGTCTCCGAAAAATAAAACTACAGCTTCACAACACTTAAAAAAAGAAAAAAAAATGAGAGAAAAACGTGCGAGATCTGTGTATTTTGCGTGTAATGCAAAAACCACTCGACGAGTTTTGAGAAGGTAAGCCGATAACCGTCCTTTTTTCGCCTTGTTTAATTCTTTTTTTCTTGTTGTTCAATGAAAATTATCTGAAACACTTGTTCGAAAAGAGCAGAACTGATAATCGCCACTTTTTCTTGTAAAAGTGTGAAATACTGGAAATTTTCTTACAGTTAGTTTATCAAAACAAAAAGCTTTTTTTCAAATATGATTTTTAATGCCAAAAAATAAAGTCTTTCAATTATTTGCCAACTAATTTTTGAATCCCACATTCTCAGGATTTTATTTTGAGAAATTAAAAAAATTTAAAAAAATTGTTTTATTTCTCTTATCTTTTGCGGAGTCTCTATTCGCAGTGGTAATTCAGAATGAGATAAGGTTTACTAGGCGTAGTTTTTTTTACGCTGATTCAAAATCTGGTCTCAAAAACAGCTCTTGAGGCCTGTTAAAAAAGTTAAGGAATTTCAAATTCCGAAAATTTCAGAGTCACCGATTGATTTTTTTTTTTTGGGAGGATGTATAGTAAGTGTTCCCCTAGGTACGAAAAACGTTTCAATTTTTTTTTTCAGAAAGATTCTGGAGCCCAGATATGTTTTTTCAAAACTCGGCAAGTGATAAGATAACTCTCTAAAAGCAGTTCAAACGGAGACACTAAAATTTTCGAGTTTTAGGAGCCCCTAACTTTTTTAACAGACCTCGAGAGCAGTTTTCGAGACTAGAATTGGAATGAGCGTGAAAATCTAGATCTCGTAAATATGGTTTCATTGAGAAGTCCCCGCGCGAAGCAGTGAAAACCACTCTTTCCATTTTCAAACTTCTTGCTGAGTTCAAATTGAGCCCTCTGGCGACAGGCACGACCAACAACCCGTAAATTCGGAGGAAAGTGCGATGTTCCAGGTTTTCTCAATGAAAAAGAGAGCTGACAGGTGTGTGACGCACAATGACCAGTGGATGAAAAAAAAGAAAACATCTGGCGAGAAATTGAAAAAAAGAGCCATAGACAAAAGGTTCGAAAAGTGCGCAGGGCAACATTGTCCGCTAGGAAAAGTCTGATGAATCGGGCAGAAAAAAGAAAAAAAAAGCGCTGGGAACGGCCCAAGATGCGTAAACATCCGTACAAACTTTCTCAACAACGAACAGAAGAAAAGCTCGAATTCACGCAAAAGTCGATTGAAACTCTGGACTTATTCAAAACCATTTTTAGTGTTAGTTGCTAAATTTTAGGAACTTATTTGAAAAAGAGATAACTATCTACTATAAAGTGCGACTCATCTGAAACTTAAAAATAGATATCAAATTGTGCAACGGATTCGAAGCATTAGAGAAAAATAGAGATTTTGTTTTAAAAAATGCCCATCCATTCCGGTCTTCGATGTATCATCATCCTCATCATCATCATGTATACGGAGGCAACTTCGAAGTTTTCCCTTCGGCAATAATTTGAAAAAAATTATCAGAAAAAAATTATCGATTTCGGCTCAGCGTAAGCGTAAACATTCAAATCAAAAAAATTAGAAAAAAACTATTACTTTTTTTGAAGTGTCTCCCAAATTGGAACGACAGTCAGAAATTCTGATGCTATTCTATCATATAAGTTTTCTTTTTAGTTGCAATTTTATTATATAAACTTAAGCGAATTATAACTCTCATTAAACTTGATTCAAATTGACCCGAGTATTCCAAATAGATAGTAAAACTAGAAGTAAAGTTGGGAGAGACGGACCAGACTCAATCAAGCCGGACAACGGGGACTGACCACGTTCCCTCAAAAGCCTTTTTTCTTTCTTTCTTTCTTTTTTTTGCCGACTCGCATAGGCGGTTCGAAGCCCGAAGGCATAATTAACTCTGCAACCGAACATAATTCCAAAAAAGGAGAAGCTTTTCCCGTGTTTCTCTCCGCGAAAATTATTCGATGAATGCCTTCTCTTCTACTCGAATGGTTCACAGTCCGACAATCTCAAAAACATTTAAACCCGTCAGTTTTCGAGCTTCAGGTTGGTTTCAACTTGATATCCTCGTTTAATTTTTGGTTGGGGTCTGTCGAATTGAAATTTAGCAGATTTCTTGATTTTTCGTTTCGTTCTAAACGCTTTCCTTCATGCCATCCTACATGCAATAGCGATATTTAGTTATTTTTATTCTTTAAAAATAAAACCATAAAAGATAAACATTACTATTACGAAAAAAAGTTAACATCCTTTACTATTAAAAATAAAGTTGATGCCAAAAAAAGCTCCCAATTATCCCACGAGTAATGGAATAATAGAATACTCGGGGCGGTTTTGTAGACGTGCTTTAACTGGGGATCGCACACGAATACTCAAAAAGCAACACTTTTCAGATTTGGCCCCGTTGGGGGAAGTAAGAGCTATGAAAAAGTATTCTGAAGAGTAAAAATAAGCTATTTTAGTTACTGAAATTTTAGATGGGAAGCTTTTGATTGAAAACCCACAAATTTTTACAAGAGCAGATAAGATTCTACTTGGTTTTGCCAGGAAATGAAGGTCCTTCCTGAGACGCTTATCATTATACTTTTTTTGAAATACAATTTTTTAGAAAAAAACTCAACAGAAGGTCCAAAAATTTCGATAGTACGCGAAGACTTCTGTGTTTGTATTTTAAAATGAAAAACTGATGATCATGATGAACTGAGAAAAAAATTTAAAAAAATAAAATTGAAGTTCACTTGCCACAATTTCTAAACAGGACAAAACCTGAAAAAGGAACAGGCTAGAGAAACAGTTTTGTACGGACCGGAAAGCCCAAGACGGATGACGCTGGCGACAGAAACAGCCACGCGGCAGATGCGCCCCTCCGGTTACGGTAATAAATCATTGGGCGGCTGCAGAAACCCGCAAATAATGCGAATTATTTACGACGTCATCTTGAGTAACTGGTTAAGCTCAATTAGGCCATGTTTTCAAAAAGGTTTTTTTGGTTTTAGAGAATAAAGAATTCTATGAAAAAAAGTCTCTCAATTCACGTAAAGCCATCTAAATTTTTCTATAAAAAGATTTAAAAAAATGAAAGTTTTTCTGTTTAATTTAAAAAAATCAAAAAAAGTTTTCAGCCGTTTTTCTACTCCGTGTTTAAAGTCCAAAAAAACTTTAAACTTTTCAAAAGAAATTTTTTTCTTGTTTAAAAAAACATCGATATCATAGTTTCGCAACACCATTTTCGAAATCTCAAGCTACTAGGTTGCCTGAAAACTACAAAAGGGCGCTAGAAAAAGTTGGTAAGGAACAATGATAAGCTGCGGTCAAAAATGTGTAAACCAAGAAAAGAATATATATAGTTGGAAGCTTTAAAATGAAAAATTCAATCGTCAGATAATTATCGGCGATTGAGAAGCTGTGGATCGCGTCGAGATCGCCAAACTTTTTTTTTCGGTGTAAAGAAGGTCCACTCCTTGTTTGGGCTGTAGGAAACTAGCTTGTGCGCGAGTGAGTGATGGCCAGTTTCCTCCAGACAGTTGTTTGCGGTTTCCCGAGATTTATTAGAATGAGAATGTGAGTTAATTGGCAAGGAAATTTTTTTATTAAAATAAATAATTAAATGAGATTGCGAAAAAAATCAATAAAAAAATTAGCCAAGTCATCCCAAAAAAACAAGGATTCTTCTGAAAAAAACGCTTCTAAAAAAATCTGAGTTTTTTTGCGGCTATTTTATAGATGAAAGGTCAAAGAGTTCTACATCTAAATTTATTATACAAAATTGTATAACAACGCCTGAAAGCATCTAACCAGTGCACCAAACCCATCATTTTATTATATCTGAACCTATTTCATTTCAAAAAAGCCATTGCCTCAAAGAGTCCCTGAAAGTGATTTTCATGCTAATTAAAAAAAAAGGTGAACTTTGAAAAAAAAAGAAGCGGACCTGTTTAACGCGCAAAACTCCAACGGAAGATTGGGTCGAGTCTTTGTCCGTCGTTACGTAGAAATATTCAGAATCCTGTGACAGCATGTACGTGAAGACGTTGTCTCTGGAATATTCCGCAAATTTTTTGCACTTGTAACGACATAATAATAATTGAATTGACCATATTCTTAGGTCTGAGAAAAAAATTATGTAGACTTACTTTCGGATTATTTTATTCAATTTTTTTGTCTGTTATTAATTTAATAAAGGGAATATGGCTGCAAAACCAGCTTTGAGTGAGTGTAAAAGAGAAAATCCTGTACGAACGAAGTTTGGAAGTTGGAAATTACTAGCTATTTTATCCAGCTAAATTTTCAATGTGTTTAAGACTTGACGAGTCGTCGCAAGTAGTTTCATGGTCGGGAGCACAGCAGTCATTTTTCCTAATTTCTCTCGAGATCTTCTCAACTTATTCTGGAACGACGCAATGTTCAACTTCTACAAAGTGTTTACTCTAAATATTCGCCAGACCAAAACCGACATCGCTTCACGAAACCAAACTTGCGACAACTCAAATTTAAATTTGAAAATTGGACCTTATCGCCTGCACTGCAGACGACCGAAACCCATAGCGATCATTTTATTCAATATTTTCCTTAAAGTAACTTGAAGATCCCATTAAAATGAGATTTTTTCATAAATAAAGAATGTTGATAACTTGGGGCGCGCCGTAGCGCAACAGGTTGTGTACCTGTCTACGGTCCACAGGGTCACAAGTTGGATTCCCGTCGTGACCCAAAAAGAGGTTTAAGAGATTTTGGCAATAAGCAACCACGGCTTCAAAATGCCCAGTCGTCCAACACAAAGACGGATATGTCACTAGATCAGGACCTAAGCTCATCGACTTGAGGCGCCAACGCCGCTCAAGCGACAAAAAGGCGTAGGAAGAAAAATAAGAAATAATGTTAATAACTCGTTTCTCGAAGTTAATCAAAAGCATATAGTTTTCCGATTTTCGAAAACTCACTTGGCTTCGACGTCGGCGTCGAAAGCTGAAAAACTCATTATAGCACTGCCGATCGGCGCCGTTTCTGCCACCACTCCTTCGTAATTCGTCTGAAAAAAATGAATTAAAGACTGAAATCATCCGATCAAAAATGATCCAGAAACAGCAATGTGATGGTCGATTCGAAAAAGAAACCTTCTCAAAAAACGGCGCGTTGTCGTTCTTATCAAGGACTTTGATGGTTACGTTGGCAGACCCTATGAAATAATCAAGATTGAAATGAATCTTCTTCCATTTTTGATACCTTCCCTAGATGGAATTCCCTTGTCGTTGGCTCGAACTTCAATCGTAAATTCTCTTTCAGAAACGAGTTCGCGGTCCAGGCTTCTCTGGAAAAAAAAGAAATATTTTGAAAATTTCAATCTTTTTTTTCCAGATATTGCTCTGCAGCAGATAGTTTCCACTGTATTAAACATGTGAAAAAAAAATTTACAAATCACACTTTACGAATTTTTTCGCAGAAAAGAGTCTATCTTTCTTGCAAAACAGAAAAAAAACCGATGATTCGAAATTTTTGACCGTCTTCAATGGAAAAATTTGAGAGAAAGATAGAAATTATCAAGATTGATATATCAAGTTTCATTTTTTCCGGTCCCTTCATGATGAGGAGCTGCCTTGGACAGAGAATCGACCTTGCCAAAGCAAAATTCAAAATCATCTCTGACTCTCAAATGTTTAGTTTATCATTTCCACTCTCTGGCAGCTATTTTTAGTTTTGGGGAATCACTTTGAACACAAAATTCCTGCTTTTTTTCCTGAAAATACGAACCATGGCGAAGATTTTGCCGGTGTTCGAGTCGATCCGGAACACAGGTTGGTCGTTGATCAGCTTGTTGGCAATGATTGAGTACTCAATATTCGCATTTTCCGTCGTCGGATCGTCGAAATCCCGCGCCTGTACGTCCATGAAGTACACACCATCTTCATCTGAAAGTTATTTTTATCTTTGCTTTTTGTTCACAGGCCAAGTCGAAAGCAATATATAAGAATTTTGAAGAGTGAAAAAGCACAGAAGCCTGCAAAAAGTTTAAAAAGGCTCTGAGCAACTAGGGAAATTATTTAGAAAAGATACAAATGTTTTCAAAAAAATTTCCCACAATTCGCTAATTTTTGAAGCTGATTCTACGCTCAATTTTTTTTTCTTGAATTGATAAAAATTTAAATTTTTGAAATTATTTTTTGCTTTTGAAATCGATCTTCAAACTATCGATGATTTCAAAAAAATTAAAAATTACTCACGGATGGGGTCGCGATTCTCCTCGATGTATCCGAAAAGTCGCTCAGGAAAGATGGGCGCATTGTCATTAATATCCCGGACATTTACCTGAAGAAATGAGTTTTAAAACTAATTTCAGTAGGGATTTTTGAAACCTGGACGTCGGCATAACCAACAAGGCCGACGCCGTCGTCGTCGATCGCCTGGATGACAAAGTTCCACGAGGGAACTCCGGTCGGGGGATCTCGGTCTAAAGGCTGAAACAGGAATATCGTGAACTCATTCAAATCATCAAGAATTCATGATAAAATTCAATACTGAGTCAAAAAGTCTTTTATAAGTCTTTTATAGAGACCTCTACCACACATTATCAAAAATATTTCAGTTTTTATTTCCATTTATAGCTGATTCCCGGTTGGCTTAAGCGATTGGAAAAAGGGTTCTGACACGATAATAAAAGAGAGTGCCAGGTTGGTGGAAAGCGCAGACGGACTACGCCTCTTGAAGTTCCAAGCTAGCCGTGAATCGGCCGTACATTCTTCTTAATTTATTCGTCTTTAACACTATCCTCTTTGATACAAAAGAGCTTTTTTAATCAATTTGAAACAGTGATAGAATTATTCATCAGTTTTTTTTTCCTGAGAAATTTTGATGAGGACCTTGATCAGCTCGATGACGCCGGAATAGCGGCCAACTCGGAAAACGTCGTCGGCTCCTTGGCCCTCGAGTCGGTACACGATTTGCCGGCTTTTCTCGTCCTGGAGTCAGAAATTAAGCCAGGGAACTCGACAAAAAATTCTTTCATAATTCGCTGATCATTATTGGTCATTCAGCGCTAGTTGAGATACAAAAGTAGTCTGGATGGCTAATATTAAAAAATATTTTTCTAGTTCTGTTGATACTCGTTCTTTGATCCAATTTTTGCACAAGACGGCGATTTCCTCGGCCGCCATAAAATATGCCTCACCATGTCAGCATCGGTGGCTTTGACGGTGAAAAGTGGCTGTGGAAGTGAGACATCCTCTTCGACTACCGTAGTCACGTACCGGAGCTGAGAAATGACTTCATATCGACTTTGAGGGGAGGATAACTTGTTCAAAGAGGGGAGCGTTGTCGTTGACGTCGTCGATGTGAATGTAGACGTTGGTGGTCGCGTTGTGGCGGCCGTCAGAAGCGATTAGAAGCAAGTGGTAGGAGTCGTTCTGCTCATAGTCGAGGGGCTCCTAGATTGAATTAATTCGCAACGGAAGATGCATCATACTGTATTCAACACAACTTGTAGTAGTATGATCAGAAAACCTTCAAAATCCGTTAGTATAGGCTATTTTGGGTCTTTGAGCACTCATTTCTCAAAAACTAGTAAGTTTTTAGGTTGAGACCTTCAGGATGATCACCTGGATCATCAAAAAATATTCTGGCCAATTTTCAAGAGGTTCTAAACCGCAAATTTAAACTCGCTTGTTGGAGGTATTTCATCAAGATATTCTAAATGCGGATGAAGCCCTTCAAGTCTCAGCCAATAGATTACATTGTTCATAAGCTTGCCGGGGATCGAAGATCACTTTTTTAAAAGCTGAACAGTAATTATTATGAATGAGTCTTCTGTGAATGGGACTTAAAAAATGATGGAAACCAAAACTTTTACTGGAAATTTTATTGCCTACGAATTCAAAAAGAATAATTTCTTGTTTCATTCTGACTTTCCTTTTTGAACTGACAAAAAATACCTTGACGAAGATAGTTCCACTGTCGGTTCTGACGCCAAACGGGATCCGACCTCCCGCAGCTCCGACCAGATGATAACGAAGGTTCGAGTCTGAAAAAGTTCATTTATTCAGACACATATCCGTTTGGCAGACGTTTATCGAGATCGTGAGCCTTGATGGTGATGACGTCATGACCTTCGCCTTCTGATTCCTTCACTCTTCCCACGTGATTCTTCTCTTCGAAAGATGGGGCATTGTCGTTGACGTCACGGATCACGATTTGAACTTTCACGTTGTCTGAAACACAGTTTCAAATAGTGATTCACACTAGGTTAGATGGAAGATGATAACTCTTTTCAAAACAGAAAAGAGCCGTTTCCAGAAAAATTGAAATAGACCGGAGAATCCTAAATTTCCTTAACCTCAAGATGAAACCAATTTTCGGAATTCTGTATTTCTGAAAAAGTGGAGGTTCAAGCTCAGCCGTCTTATAGATACAATCATTGAATTTTTCTTTTCAAAAGTTTATTTTATTATTATTTTAATGACTTTCTGCGGGAAACGCCGATTCTAAAAAAAGTCGCTTTAATAAATTTAGCTATAATAATAATTTATTGACAGATCAACGTGAACCCTAACGAGTTCACTTGGATCTAGGACTTGAGAAAATACATTATACAGCTATACATCATTCGAGTCTTAGAAGAATAGATAAGAAGATCTCGTGCAATGGTAGATTAATCCGTAAATTTTTTTAAGGCTTTGAGTATTGGGTGAACTGAAATTTAGAAGTGATTTTTGTTCCAAGTAGGAATATTTTTTTGAAGAAAAAAATCATTAGAAAAAAAGCTATTATCCTCTTCTCTGTCATTTGCAATTGGAATTTCTATTTTCGAGCCATTCCAACCGCGGCCAAAGTGTCCCGACTCACCGCGGTTTGGTCCTTTTGTTCCCGGCAAAGACGACGGACTGCTGTCCCTCGCCTCCACTGTCACAATGTACATGTCGGTTTCCTCTCGATCAAATCTGAATTTTATAACTTGAGCTGGAAAAATTTGAAAAGGTTCACTTCTCATTGGGAAAAATCTCTCCAGAAAGCTCATCGATTCGAAAATATTGAGTCTCTCGCCCACCAACCGTTTCAACAATCCGATAATGGACCTGAAAAGTCATTTTTCAGCAAATTGGAGCGAAATACAAGTTAAAATCAAGATTTATTTCATTTTTACATATTAAAGACTTATCACCAATTTGAGTGAAGACTTTATTTATTAGCGCAATTTCATTTAAAAAAAATGGCTTACCAAAGCCTACTAGAGGCGTTGCGGTCGCGCTGCGTTCACAATAAAGCTTCAAAATTAAAGATTGACTTCTCGCTTGTGCCAAGATTCTTTCATTTATGACTGATTTGATGAAAAGGATCGTATTCAAAACTTTTTCCAAAAATTTTGGCGCGTTTTTTCTTCTCGAGACTAATAATTTGTAAAAAGTTTTGTTAATCTAACCTCATTTTGAGGTCCATCAGAATCGTTGTCGATTGCTTTGACAGTCACAATTGGCTTTCCTTTGTTTCTGCAAATTATTTCTTCATTTTTCACAAAAGAAGTTCAAAACTGACTAACTTGTCTGCGTTCTCTTTTCCCTCAATTAAAGCTTAAAGGGCAAGAGATTTCAGAGAGTCCAGAAAAAGTACATTCACTAAAAATAAATGCCTAGTCTGGCGCGATAGGAAAGCGAGGTCGGTGGCGGTACGACATCGCAAGTATATCGCTTTGTCGTCGCGCCGAACTCGCGTTTCACTCGCTTTTCTTACGAACTCAGAAAAAAAAACGTTGAAAATTTCGAAAACTGCGATATCGCGTCAAGGAGAATGCAAGACCTGCGCGGCTACAAAGCAGCTCTTCTGCGAGATCGTCAATGTACCACAAGATATCGAATTCTGTTTTCTAAACGAACATCTCCAAGTATTCCTGAGGCGTGAGCTCTTCATCGATGGTCCCGGTGAACAGATCGACGGTGAACTGCGGAACGACGTCATTGACGTCTTCGACCAGAACTGTGAAGATTTTCGTTGCCGTCACCTCTGAGCCGACGTCCTGCAATTTTTCCTTTCAAAAGCCTGAAGATGTTCTCCAACAGTTGCAGACAACGTCAACGTGTAGTTGTTGACCTGCTCGTAGTCCAACCCTTCCATTATCGCCACCTTGAAAAAAGAATGAATTTTGAGAGTGATTTCTTTAAAAATAAAGGGTTCACTTTTGAAAATCGAACGAAAAAACTTCAAATTGGGGATTTTTTCAAAAAAAATTTCTACCTCTGCCCATTCCTTCCCGTCTTCGAACTTGTTGAACTGCCGGAACTTGGCATCAGCTTTCATCGAATTGTGGGCTCCCGAAGTTGAGAGTCTCAAGTAAGGTAAGTTATATTTGAACTTGAAACTACATAAATAAATAAGAAGTGAACCAAATTTTTTTAACCTAAAAGCTTGAATATGACCTAAAATGCCTTAATTTTTTGAGTGTTCTTCAATTTTGCTTCATCAATTTGAGATGAAATCTATCGAAAAAAAAAACAAACCGCCTCCAGTTAACTCCGCTCATGAAACGGTAATAACTGCTTGAACTTGAATTTTTTTTTGTGATCAGCCAATCGAAACATTTGATTTGAAAAGTTTTATTTTGAAAAATCTTTCTTCATCATAGATCTTTTTTTTCTGTTGTCGCGGGGCTTATTTTCCAAAGATCGTTGATTTTCTAGAGCTCAAATAGACATAAAAAAACTGACTCACTTTTTATCGTGTGAAATCAAGTTTGTTTCAAAAAAATTAGTTGAGAAAAAAATTTTTTTGAAATCACAATATTAATTTATTTTTTTCAAATTCAAACTCACTTGTAGACAATCGAACTTTTGGACCCGTCGCCTGAGACAGCGTAACATCTCAGAATCACTTTGTTCATCTGAAACACTTCCAGTTGATATTGACAAAGGCCTCGGGAAACCTCAGAATTCTCTCTGACAGTGACGACATTCTTGCAGTCGGGACTGATCTGCCATTTCGGAGCTTTTTGTTGTCGATCGTGAACGTTTATCACAACCTTAACCCTTTGATTCAGAAAGAAACAGTTTAAATAAAACTTCGTCTTTGGCACATGAGTCCATTTCCAATTACCGGTGAAAAAACTCATAACGAAAGTCAAGAGAAAGAAAAGACCCCATATTTCAACCGAAAATGAGATCAGCGGCTTTATCGATTTTTCATTTCTTTTTTAACTTCAACCTTGACATCTCAAGTTTAAAAAAATCTTCATTATTTGAAAAAAATCGATTTTTTTGCGAAATTTATTTGCAAAAAAATGGCTTGATTTTAAATGCTTTTTTTCTGAATTATTTACTTTTTCTGTGTTTTTTTGCTTGTTACTTTCAATTTTGAGCCGAACTTCAAACAATAAAATTAACTAAGGACAAAAAGAACCTTTTGAAAAACGGAGCGCTCATTCCAAGTATTTCAAAGTATTTGAAGCGGCAATATTTTCAAAAAATGTACCTGAGCAGTCGAAGTCAGCGCTTCCGGAATGCCGTGATCATTCGCCACGACGTTGAACATGAACTTGCTTTTCTACAAAACACTTTGAAGGTCAGTATTTTCCGTTTATTTTTAAATACTTCATGAGGAATCGGTTTGACAAGGGCGATTTCTCCGCTTCTTTTATTGACCAACTCGAAGAACTTGATGTCGTCTAAATGTTCATCTCCAGCCAAGGAATCCGTCTCCAAAGCGTAGGATATCTAAAATGCCACAAAAATACCGTTGACGTAGTAAATTTCTTTTACCTCAGCATTATGAGCGGCATCATTATCAAAGGCGAAAACCGTAATCACAGAAGTTCTGAAAAGATATTTTTTTTCAAAGTAAAATTACATTGAAGTGAACTGAGCTTGTAACAAGCTTCAGTTCTGTTGGGGATGAATCTACTAAAGTATTGGATCGAACAAAGAAACTTCCGAATAAGGCTAAGAACAAAGAAACTTCCGAATAAGGCTAAGAATCAGAGGTTTTTCAGACACTATATAAGGTCTCGGCTTTCGAGATTTTATCCAATAGTATCCCAATTTCAATCCTCACCCAACAGATTCGCCTCGAGAAACGCTCGTTTCATAGGCGGCTCTTTCGAACTGCGGAGCGTTGTCGTTCTCATCCACAACCTAAAAAGTATTCTTTCGAAATCTGTTATTGGTTTCCAAAAGCTTACCTCAACAGAAAACTGACAAAAGCCGATAAGAGGCCGATCTCCTCGATCTGTGGCCTGAAAATATAAGAATAGGAAGAGAAGGAGAAGAAGACGTCACCTTGACAGTGACGTCTTCTCGAGGCCGTGTCTCGCGGTCGAAGACGACGTGCGGTGACGGCGTCAGAATTCCCGTGTGTCTGTCGATGACGAAAGCCTTCCGACTCTCGCTCTGCGTGTAGTAGAGCGAGTAGATTATGTCGCCGTTGGCGGAAGAGTCGTCGTCCGTCGCTTGTACCTACAGATTTTTTTTCGTGGGAGATGGAAGGGTAAATGAATATATTGTCTTCGTTATGATTCGAACAGTTCTCGATGGAGGATTTCAGTTTTGTGGTAGTATCGAAATCGTGTTAACAAAAAAAGTTATTATATTACCCTCAATTTTCCAATAAAGGTTACCCCAAATCTTACCACATTCGGAGAAATCAATTATCAAAGCATTTTTAGCAAAAAAGTCGAGGGGCGCTATATACCATAAATTTTTTTGTACGAGAAGTTATACCATGCAGTGAGTATGAATGACGTCCGACAAGATTTCCCAGTAACTTTTTACTGGACTTCATGTTCTTTTAAATATTAAAGGTGGTCTTCCATTGGGGCAACTTGTTCTCGAAGATTTGGAAAACCAAAACTCGAGCTTTAGGGGAAAAAAAAGCTTTGCTCTAAAAACTCTGCATTTTTAATTCATCGAATCTTTTTTTAATTTTCGATCCTTTACCCACTTTCACGATCGTCGGCGGGTCAGTTTTATAAGATCCTTCGAGGATTTTCGCCATTTCACTGTACTTGGCACAGTCGCGGAACTCCGGCTTGTTGTTGTTGACATCTTCGATCCCTCAAAAGCCAACTTTTCCCAATAAACGGAATCTTTGATGAACCGATCAAAAGAGTTGCGTAGGACGAATGAATTTCAGAGCTCGAAAGGCAGCAGGAACCGTCGTCGCGGACCAAAACCGTCAAGTTGATCGGATTTTCGGCTTCGGCGAGATCCGCCGGCGTCACTCCTTGTCGAAGTTTCACAAGTCCTACGAAACTATCCTTACTATCGAGAGTCTCTCCTTTCACTTTGTGTAAAATAGTTTTTAAAACCCATGGTTGCACATGGAAGGGCTCACCATAACAAAACTGCAAATAGCTTGGTTTTAAAAGCGACAGACTTGAAACGACTTGCGCGTAAGCCGTTTTAACTGACGGCGCATGAACTAAATATATAGAACAATGAACGAAAAAAACTGGTGGGGCCATTAACCTCGATAACTACTTCAGCGGATTTTTCATTGAGAAAAATCAAAAATAGTATACTTATTTATACTGTACAAATATGTTAAATAAATTCATTGAGGCAATATATTCAAAAAAATTGGCTTCAGAAGTTAAACGACAATTTGAAAAATTTTGGAAACCTTATTTTTGGAAGAAAATGAACACTTACCATCTTCTCAAAGGAATGAATGCTCGTTTAAACAAAGAACTGTTCACCCTCTAATAATATTGGAAGTATATCACAACAAAACATTTCAGAAGAAAATTACTCATCTTCTCAATCTACTTATCACTCTTTAAATTACATAGTTCCTCTTCCTTTTTCGTTTGTTTTTCACCGCTCTTTCATTCATATATCCTATTATACTTTTTTTAAAAAAATGCCTATATTAGGTAACGAGAAAATTAATCCTACTTTTTTGAACCTAAGCAAAGAGGGAAAATGCTGACGATGCGTCACCCTCTCAAGCCGTACATTTTAAGACCCGAAACGGCTGCGCGATATATTCATCTAATTGATTCGCTTCTTCAATTTCTATAATTTTTGATCATTCTATTCAATTTACTCTAAAATCTTACAACAGCCAAAATGCTAAATGAAAACTTTGATAATTCATACCTGTATGTTGATCAATAGTGAACAGATTCATAGTTTGTGTGGGGTCCAAGTCCGAGTTCACGAAAGAATAGGCGACTTCGTCCCGATCAGCGTCGCGAGCCTAGAACATTGTTCTAGTTTTGTAGAATCTCCAAGAATTTTTATATTTCTATTTATACATCAACAAGATTTATTCTTTCTGAACTATCTGAAATACGCGTAAAAGAAAAGCCTAATGTAAATTCAACAAAAAGAAAGACTTTTACTTCGAATCAAAATATTCCGAGATCCAAAAAATTTACTCTTACAACGACTCACCAAGTCAGTCGTGGCGATTTCCCTCTATTTCAATTCAAGCAAAATAAAAACTTCCTGAGGAAAATTCTAATGGCCACTTAAGAATAACTACTTGAAGAGGACACTAAATTGGTCCCTCCAATTGTATCAAAATGATTATTTTAGCATTCTAAGTCGCAATTGTTCGTTCAACCGGTTTCGAAGATATATTCGCGAATCTCACCTGAATTTGAATGACAGGTGTTCCGCCCTGAGCGTCTTCGGCAACAAAAGCCGTGTATTGACTCGTAGGCAGAAAAACGGCGCTCTCATCGTTGGTATTTTCCGTTCGGACGTGCACCTTCAAACAAAAAAACTAAGTAAAAATAGTTTGATCAAGTGTTCCACTTTTTGTTCAAAAAGGTTCTCTAGTTGGTCAATTTTATTCCGGGATAATCATGTGTCCCAAAACTCCATTATGAACTGATAGAAACGATAACTCAATTCACCCAAATAGAGTCCTGATATTTTGTGGCATTTTTTGCAAATATAAAAAAAATCCAGAAGGACTATCAAGACCCTCTTTGAAAACTTCAAAAAGTAAAAAAAAAAAGCTCCCCTGAAGTGATTTTTTTCGCTCCATTTCTGAAAAAAAGGACTTTATGGTCTTTATATCAGCTTTTTTTCAATACTTCACTTGAAAAATCATTTTTTTAATTTTTTTAAATTCATTTTTCTCAAAAGAGGATTCTCTCACGGAACGCCAAAGAAAGACTATGAAAAATTAATTTTGAAGAGGCTTCTTTTTAAAAAAACTTTTTACGTCCTTTCAAAATTATTCGCGAGGTTCACTCAATTTTTTTCGAAGTCAAAAATTTAGTAAAAAAATTAGAATATCCAACCATTGCGGAGCTGGAAAGCCGCGGATCCCCGTGATCAGTCGCTGTGACGTTGAACCTGTAGATGAAGTATCTCTCGTTGAACTGGTCGGCGTCGAGTCTTTTCTGAAAAATTTCTAATATATCATATTTACCCAGTTTCAATATTGATTTTATTAGAGCCTTCGAACATTTAGAAGAAGGGAGGCATTCTATAAAGTGCGGTCGTTTACAAAATGCGTCTTTTCTTGTAGTAACTTTTAATCGTTTTTTTTTTTTCAAAAGACAGATGATATAGAGATAAAGAAAAATACAAAATTTATTAAAAAGAGCAAGAAAGAGCTGATAAGGATAGTTAAGATCAAAAACGCTCGTATTTTATTAATTTGCGATGAAGCACAAAAAGACGGTCGTTTTGTAGGTGGTCGCACCAGTCGAGAAGAAAACCGAGTTTTGTATCCATTTCACGAAAATTATAGATCCTATGAAACAGCAAAGTCACCTTGGCAGAAATCTCTCCATTCTCGTTGATCGTGAAGTTTTCGTTGTCCACCGAAAAGCCGATTCTCGCATTCTCCCCACTGTCTTTGTCAATGGCAGTCACTGAAAATTTTTTTGAATCTGACTTCATGTAACAATAGCCTTTCGTAAAAAAACATAAAAAGAATGTTGAATCGAAATTTTAAAAAGAGATATAATTTAGAAAAATGATGTTGAGTTTCTTCAATTTAGTTTCACTTTGAGAAAAACTTTTTTTCATATCTTGTTTTTTTAGAGTTGTTAAGTCTATCAAGGTTTTAACTTATTATCTATTAGATGTCATTATGCACCAAAAAAAAATGCAAAAACAGTGAGGAATTCGTTTTTGGATTGAAGGTATCAGGGTGCTCTGAGTTTCTTTTTAAAAAAATGTCAAAAAAATCTAGAAAAACTTGTACTTTTCTTTTCCCCTAGTAGAAATATTCACAGAAAAAAAGATACGATTTTTTTCATTTCGTCAAGAAAAAACTTTGGATTTGAATAGGATAGATTTGCCCAGTCTCATTCTTGTCCAAAAATCAAACTTCTTCTATGAACTTCCTACGAGAGGTTCATGTTCGAATATATGCCTTTCCTAAGACTATGCTAAACCTTTGATGATAGTTTTGAAAAGTTCAATGTCCTCGGGAACTTGGGCCGTGTAGAGCGGCCGCGTGAAGACCGGCGCGTTGTCGTTGACGTCTTCGATTTCGATGTCCACCGGCACTCGGCTTTCCTTGCCGTCCTCCCGCGCCACAACTGCAGAAAAAGAGATTTTTTCTACTTTTTTAAACATGATATTTATCAACCAGAAAAACAAATTTTCTGAGGTCTTCAGAAGCAGAATTCAAATCATTTCAATCATTTTATTTTCGTAACACCGGATGGTATGGCAATGTTGCAGGGAGGGAAAAAGACCACTAGGTGGATTAAACTCCATATGTCAAGAAAATAAATTGTTTGTTTGAGAGAATAAACATAGAACAATGATGAGTTGATATTTAAACCGAGTTGATTACCTGTGAACTCTTGAAAGGATATGCTCGACGCCAACATTTTCTGCATACACTGAAATATTTTTTCTTGTCTTCCTCTGCCAATAATTCATGATCGATTTCGTTCCAAACATTAGTAATGCAACTTGATAAGAAAAAGAAAACCATTAAAGGTTTCGTTCTTATTAACATAAAACCGTTTCCTCTGAGTTAACTGGGACGGTCAAGGATGTTTGGGTGGGAGAGCCTGATCAGCCCTTTTCTTGCAAAAATTGATGTGAAAACTTGAAAAAGCAAAGTGCTTTTATAGTTTCGTCCCGCACTGTTTTGTAGCTTGAAAGAGTAGATTTTGAATAGGCAATCTTCGAAAAAAGACACTTTTTGAAATTTTTTCTCACACAAACAGTTGATGATCAATAAAAAATATTTTTGAAGAGAAAAAGATATTTCTTTTGGTAGAGAATTTTAAATAAGGCTTCTCGATCTGTTTCTTTCAGAATCTCTGGAATCCCTTGATTTCTGGGGAATCCACGGTTGAAAGCACTCGAAGGCTCTCGAGAACATCGGATTAGGAGGGCTCATTGGAGCAGGATATTGGCGCTCTTGTTCGAGTCCAGAACCGACGGAAATTGTTTGCGACACAACGGCCGTCACCAGCCCCCATAATGCCCACTTAATTGCGCTCAATTTCAACTTGACGAGCCCCCGAGAAATCTGGCGTAATCTTCGAAAATGATCAGACGGACCGGTGAGTTTGTGCATCTTGGGGAGAGCCGGATCGTCAAAGTCGAGAGGTCGTGTGAGGTGGACGACGCCGGTCGCCGGGTCTATCCGGAACCACGTCTTCTCCTCCGGAGACTTGCTCTCGTGTCCTTGAAGCAAGTAGGTGACGTCGCCCTTCGACTTGCCGTCTTCGATGCTTCGAAACGATTGAGCCTTCACGTCCACCACGCTGTAATTCAGATCAAATCAATCAACAAAATGAGAGTGATAAAACTTGAAAAAAGAATTTTATTTGAAAAAAATTTCTAGAGACTTTTGAGTCTCTTTATTAATACAGTCAAAAATGAAATCACTTTTTTTTATCTTGAAAAAAATTGAGCTCTAGCTTTCAACAATATTCGGTAGGCGGTAAGTAGGCGAAGAAAGGAATTAGACGAGTAAAACTTCTTTTCTGAATTCTCAAGCGCTAACTGGACTATAAAAAAAATGCGATTCAAGTAAGATCTAATACAATTTTTGTGAATCTTATTTTATTTAGTGCCACGGAGCCGAGTTCTCAGGTCTCGGAATTCAAAATATGTAAGACATTTGATTTCTTTGACATTGAAAAGGCTTGTATCCTTGGAGCCTTTAAATCAACGTCCTTGTTGAACCCGTGCCCGGTTTTCATCATACTTTCCTACTTCACTTTTTTAACAATAAAAGTATCTCTAATTTTTTTATAAACTCAAATTCTTCAATAAAAAAACACCTGTAATCGACAAGATTGTCTTCCGAAACATGAATATGATAGTTTTGCTTGGCAAACTGCGGCGGCCGATCTGCAGCCAAAATCTCCAGTTTTGCCACTTCGGATACCTAAATTGTTTCTGTAAGAATCCCTTAACGAGATTTGATAAACCATTGAAGTTGTGTTATCGGAAGGAGTCAAGTCGACGGCTTGGACGAATACGCGATAAGTTTCGCCTTTCTCATATTTATTCCATCCAGTTCTGACCACGCCGCTCTTCGGATCGACAGTGAATGAGCCTTCGGCTGAAAAAATTTCAATTTGTCCTCCATTGAAGCTCGTTTCTTCATTAAATTCTTGACAAAAATCATTATAATGCCTTTTTCAGATTGTATCACATAATCTTCTGGATCTTTTCACAAATTGAAAAATGAGACTCACGGACGACGTCAATCATCTTGTACTGAATAGCGCCATCGCCGTCACCCGACTCATCTCGGGCCACAAGCTGAACTTTTCGTTTTATGAATATCATTTTACAACAGATTCTGTTTTTCTATCTGAACAACTTTTTTTTAGAAATCCCTGCAAGAAAATCGATACTTGAAATAATAACGAAACGGCTTTGAATATTAAAAAAACAAGTTTTTTTATAATGTGGAAGTCTTTTCCAGAAAATGCCCACTTTGTAAAATCAGAGAAATCCCCGAAATTGGAAAAAGTACTTTCAATATTACCTGATAAACGATCCGACCAATCGTTGGGTTCAAAGGAACGACGGCCAACATGGGAAGGGGCGAGTTGACAAAAGCCGGAGGTTCGTCCACGTCTTTCACATTGATTCGGATCGTTTGAACTCGACCTGGAGAAGTAAAATAATTCCGTCCCCAAAAATGAAAATTGGATCAGAAGATTCCAGGTGCGAGGCGGAGGGTCCAAAAAAAGAAAAAACCCATTGTTCCTGGCCAACGCAACTTGGCGCCGTGCCGTGCTTAATTACAGGTGGCTGTTGTGTTCTTTTGATTGGACTTGAAATAATTGAGCATCCTCGAATAACAGGTCTTTGCTAAATGGTATCGCAACGTACTTTGATCAGTTCGAGATCCCGACCAATTGAAAGCCATTGGTAACAGATAAAGATTTGAAAATCGTGAAGAAAAAATATTTCGAAAAATAAAGGATTGTTTTAGCTTCCTTTTTTTCAAGGTTTCACATTTATAACTCTGCTAGATCGAATGTGTTTTTTTCCAAGCTTCTTTATAACACACTTTTCTGCCAGAAACCAGGCGTGCCAAGTTTGGCTAAGCCCGCCTAAGAACCGGTATTGGTCCAACCAGTCGAGACCCGATAAAAATCCTTAACTTGCAACTTTCCACTTATCTCTGACTGATCATGGGCTTCGCGTCATTTCTTCTTCTGGTCCCCCTCATTGTTATCTGTACAACGGCAGAAGAGCCTGACTTCGTGGAATACACGGCCCCGCCCACTTCATCTCCACTAATAGTAGACCTTGGTAATTTTTAGAAAATTAGAAAAGACTTCAGACAGCTCCAGACGCCATCGGAGAGAAGCTGTCAAAGATCCTCCATGGAACAAACGACGCGCCTGCATTTGACGACTCTCTTCTGATTCCCTACGATGACGTCAGCTACCAAAGACGCCGGTAGTTTTCAGTGCTGTTTTATTGTACTCATCAAGGTTTTTAAAAATAAATTGTTGAAAAGTGAAGTGATAAATTCGCAAAAATGTAAAAATAGCCATCTATCTTTTTCCAACGCTAGTTCATTTATAACAAATTTGCTTTGAATGATGGAAGAAATCCCAATTTTTTTTGGTATCTTCTCTCTGACTTTCCACATCAAAGGAACTGATAACAGTCGACACTTGATCATCAATTAAGCCGAAAAGCCACGGGGGCACATTTGCATAAGCGCGGCCACTTTTGTGTCGGCGGCAAATGAGAATGGACCCATATGCCGTCACTCACTGAAGCCCGAAGCTTCGATTCTCGCAGATGGCCGCCGCAAAAGGTCTTTTTCGACACATATGTCCTTGTTTGGGCATCGGATTACGCGTTCGCCATTGTTGCCATTTTTCGTCGACAACTGTTAACGCTGAGAAGTTTTCAAATGAAAAAAAGCAGAAGTCAGAGGAAAAAAATTGGCTTACTATGGAAATTTTTTTATTAAAGTTTTTAAAACTCATAAAATGAAACAAAATTTGAAAAAAAGTGAAATCTTCAACCTTTTCAATCCAATAAGAGGATTTGTGTAGTTCTAAAAATGGCCTTGAGCTGCTGAAAAGCGGAAAACTTTAGTATCCTTCCTAAACATCAGTTCTTTTTTTTTTTCAAAAGGTGCGAAAAAGAGCAGATGTCCAAAACCGCCGCGAGAAAACAAATCCAATTAATTCCGACTGGCGCCACTCCTTTTCGTTTCACCAAATTACTGGACTCATTAGATACCTTCTAATGTGGTATAATTATCTTCTAACAAATGAAAAACCAATTCTCTTTTTTCTGTGAAAATACCCTAACACAAAAGTCGAAATAACTTTTCGCATCGCGAAAGCCTCATTACTATTCTAAAAACGTTAATTAAAACCGGATCTCGTTGCGAAATTCGCCCTTTCCGACTCAAACATCGTACAGCTTATCTCCCTTGGTTAAATTGGACTTTGGAAAAGAGCAACGAAGATTTTCTCAACCAAAAAGTCAGAAGATGAGGTGTTGACATCTTATAAAGCACTCGAGTTCTCGTTTATGCATTAGTTTCGGGTGAGCAACCTCAAGTGACCACTTGAGAAGTCCCTGACTTTTTCGATCGCCACCTGCTTGGCAGACGTCCAGCCCAAAAAAAGGTTGTCGGAATCTTCCAGTCTTGAAGAATTTTTTTCCTTTGAAAAAAAATGAATGATACGGAGTTTATTTCCACTAAAGCTCCTCAAATAAAGTTTTAAATAAAGTTTTGTAACTAGCAATTTTCAAATGATCTAAATTTATTCGACGAAAATAATCAAATGAGGTTGAATTTATACTGGTTTCTATTCACTTGAAAATTCCATAAAAATTTTTTTATAAAAAGTTTTCTTTTTTTATTTCCTATGAAATCGCTTCGAGCTGCATATTTTTTTCTAAAGAGCCAAGACACCCTCAAAATGCATCTTTTCTTCCGTTAGCTAAAATTTTGAAATAGGTTCATCTTTTCTTTACCCTTTTTTTGAACATTAATTGTTTTCATTAATCAGATGAACTTTTTTCCAAATATCCCAATCACTTGGAGACACGCGGCATGTTGAAAATCTATAAAAAAAAACAAAAAGGGACAGGCTGGCGCCATTTATTATTGGATGGACCCTGAAAAATGCAGCTGCGAGTAGCGTCGACTCAACTATCAATTATTTGAGACGAGCAGCGGACCCTCAATTACCACCTCATTGAGAGGCCCCTTGAGGGTTTCTCGGCGCGCCATCAGACAGATTGCTGCCAATTACAAACGACGGTTGCTCAAAGAGTTTAGTAAAAATCATTTCGCATTTTTTCGTTTTTTTAGTTTTTTGATTACGCGTTTTCACCGCTATTTCTTGAAAAAATTGACAGAAAAAGCAGTGTTCTCTATCAAAGGGTGAAGGGGCTGAAAAAATGAACTCAGTTTTTTTTGGTTAAAATTTGAAAGCCCACCGCGCTATTTGGGTCTTTTTCGCAAAGAAGCCCATAATTTTTTGGCTTTTTGACAGAAGAAATAATTAAGGGGTTATAACAATTGGCGAATTGTCAGCCGTGGTGTGAAGGTGTTACGCAAGGAGCTCACGCAATTGTTTTGGCGCTGGTAGAAATTAGTTCACCGCGAAGCGATTTGGGCGAAATTTCGAGTGTAAACAAACCAAAAAAAAATTATTAATTTCATCATTTTTAAATAAAGTTTCTTCAAAGATCATGCCGGACAAACTGAGTGCCGTACTTGACTCAAAATGACAGTTCGAACGCCTTTTTTTTCAAAATCCTATTATATTGTCTATGCTATCGCAAAGGTTCCAGGAAGAATTTAGAGTTGAACTAAATTTGAAAAATATGGATTGTATCATGACCAAGCACTCTTTTTATCGTGAAGTGAAAATATTCATTTGGGTTCTATTCCCTCGCGAAAATCTCAAGAAGCTTTCAATTTCGAAAATACATTTTCTCGAAGCCAATTTTTAGACCTGCAGCCTGATCCCTTCTTATCACATGAACGTCGTCCCTCTTTTCAGAAAAGAAAAATGATGAGCCTGAGGGCTACTGGCAAAACGCCAATAATCCGTCAAATAAGCGGCGCGTAATTGAGCGCCGGCGGGTCATTCATCATTTCGTGTCTCGTCACTTTTGGCTCGCAATCTATTCCGCCGCGGCGGCCAGTCCGACCGGAAAAACCCCTCAGAACACATGCCTTTTCCGGCTTTTGCAGTCACAAACTATGTCACAAAAGTTGCAGAATGCATACGAGCCAATGAATTTTTCGACTAAATATTAAGAAGCGAAAAATCGTTTACAACATATACCTCTGAACGCTTTTGCTGCGAATCTATTTGAGGTTGAAATTCTATAAAAAATTATTCGACTCAAAATCAACTCAATACAAACTAACTCAAACGAAAGATTACATTAAAATGGCTCTTCTCGAAACTTATGAACAAATATTCAGAAATTTTATTTTGGAAAAAGCCTCTTGAGGAAGAGTAACCATAGTTGGAAAAAAAAACTATACGAAGATATATCCTCCAAAGTTTCAAAGTTAGAAAGAAAATCTAGACACCTTCCAGTTAAAGTTCCAGACACCGCCAAACTATGCAACAAAATATTTTCCAGAAAATGAAAGAATAATTTTCGAAAAAATTGACTTCAAATTTTTTCAAGCATGTTTTTTCTCTTCGTCCATGTCGAAATTGAAAAATTTGACATTCCCATCCTTTTCTCAACCAAAAAACCTTTTGGGACGTTCTGAAACCCACAAAAAGGTCATAAAAAAGCGGAATTGGGTCGTTTAAGCATGGATTATGCTCATTTCTGACTCTCATTGGGTAGTTTGGAACAATGGGTTATGCAAATGAACGGCTTTCTCTTTTTGTTTTGAACGCGGATTCGGGAAAAAATAGAAAAAAAATAAACGTACTGTGGACCATGCCGGTGACAGGAACCGTGGCGATTATTGTGCTCGTTTTTTCATAGTTGAGAGGTTCCAGGAGATTTATATTTCCTAAAATGAAGTTTACCCTGTTAAGTTGATAATTTTTTTCGAAACCATCCTGATCGATGCGAATTTTCTCCCTGGCAGCGCTGACTTCGCCAATTTTCTCGCCTGGGTATAAAGCGATGCGCTGAAAAAAAAACCAGTTTTTTCAAACAACAGAATAACTCAAAAAAAAGAGGATTTTTATAGAAAAATAGAAAGCTGTGTTCAAAATGAATTCAGAGATTATTTCGATTTCGACGAAATACTATGAACATGCTATAAGGTTAAATTAAACTAAACTAATTTGCCAGTGACTAAAAAAAATTAGCGGCTCATCTCGCAAACGCAAAAAAAAAAGAAGCGGAATTTTCAATATAAACATCTTTTTCACCATTTTCGGCACGACGAGCTCGTTTTCTTTGACGTTGAATACCACGTCGTCGAGGTGACGTCTTGGCCGAACTTTTTTTAGCGGCTTGGGCATTTCTTTGATGACATGAAGCTCCAGAGGGATTCTGGAAGCCTGAAAAAAAAAACTCGGATGATGAAGTTCATTTCAGTTAAGTTGAACTATTCTAATCAAAACTGACCGCCTTTTTTCTATTTCCAACGACGATTTGCAGCAAATAGGTCCCAAATCCGACATTGTGACGCGTTGAGACTTCTCCCGTCAATTTATTGATAGTGAAAAACTTCGAAGTTTCTCCGAGCTTGAAAAAGAGTGCTGGACCAGGTAACCTGAAATTCGCTTTTTTTTCATAAAAGAAAGCATAATTATCTTAAAACCTTGGTATGACACTTAAAGGAACAGCGACTACAAGTTAATATTGTCTTGATGCGAAAAAAGTTTTCAGAAGTTGTTTAACTTCTGCACTTACAAAAAACTACAGAAAAGATTCTCAAACAGAAAGTTTCAAAATTTCTAACCTTTTTCATTCCATTTTTCCCTCTTTTTCTTTCAATTTCACCGTTTTCGGTTTTATTTCATATCTCAACCATCCCTCCGTCGACTCCTAATTTCCTGACCAAAATCAAATTACGCACACCCTCGTTGGGAGTTTTTCGAGAGGAGTACAAACGAAGAATTTCGAGAGGAAGCGAAAGCTCATTAATGACTCACCACCAACGTCTTTCGGGAGCAAATGGAAAAAAAAGGCGAAAAAAGCGAGCCTTTTGAAATGGATGGGTTTTCAAGACGTTTTTAGAAGCTTTCACAGTGGTTTTGAATAATGTCGCAGACCAGAAAAATATAGAAACAACAAAAAAAAATTTGAAATTTTTGCCGTATTAAAAAATAATTTGAATTGAAAAAGGAGAAAAAAGCTCTAAAATGTGATCTGTTTTTCTTTTTTAGATCTTTTCCGACCGACTTTCACCAGTGAACTTTTATTCCTGCCATTTTTTTGTTTTTAAAAAAACTCTCTTTGAATTGCTGCAAGATGAAAGAAAAATTTTTTTACAGGAAAGAAAAAAATTAAAAAAAGCGCGAAATTTCAAGTATTCATTTCAAGTACCCATATAGTCATCCTTTTTTTTAAACTTTTATATTGTATTAATCAATAAAAAAATGAAGCATCTTTCAAACATTATTGAAAAAAAAGTCAAAAATTAAAAAAAAACCATAAAAACAAAAGTAAACCTCTCAGCGACGTTGAAAACTGTCACATTGGCTGGGATCGGACCAAAAATATCGCTACTTAAGGCCTCATTTACGCTTTTTTCTCCCAAAATCTCCACGGTAATGGAGACTTTGCACTGAGCCACCTGAAAAAGAAAAATCCGTGATTGAAAATTCATTTAGAAGTAACTGTTTCGCCGAAAAGATTCCTGGCGCCGAGGTAGAGCACATACTCCTTTCTTTCCGTCAGATCTTCTAAGCTTCTCGTCAGAATTATCTAAAAACTTCCTTATTGATTCAAAGAAGACTTTTCGAAAGTTAATAATTTTTGCTGAAAGGTTCAGATAATCCCTTTTAAATTCAGGCTATTTTTTTATTATGTATACAAAGAACTATGAAAGCAAAAAAATTTTTCGCGCATGAGAATTCGCGTCTCTTCCTACATCCTAAACATCTAAATTTACGACTAACAGAAAATTGTGTTTCAAAAGAGTTTATTGAAGTATTTTATTCACAAAAAAACAAATCTTAGCTAGTTTTGAATGAACTATACGAAAGAAACTAACGTCAACCGATAGTTTTCCATTGGGAACTACAGAAAATGGAGTTGTAGAAAGGTCAGAAATAGTCTGAATTGTGGCGGGAGATTTGAGGGCAGGATCGAAATTTCGAAGGGCGATCGGCTCGCTGAATATTATTTTTGAGCCGATTTCCGCACTAGAATACGCCGTCGCCGTGTAAGTCGACCGCAGGAACGAGGTGCTTCTGAAATAAGAACCTTTTTTGATTTGTTAATTTTTACGCTTACTAATTTAATCTCTCTCTCGCTTCTTTTTTCTTCCACAGTATTTGTTCGGTTAGAAACTTTGGTTGGTTAAGAATCAAAAGTTATGTTTTCCAAAAAGCCTATGAAAAGTAAAAATAACGGACACTTTGTTACTAGTTCCAATGTAGACATTCAAAGCGATGATTCTTTGAAAATTCTCCTGTTTGGCTGTGAAAGTGAGCTCAACCAGCTCCCCATCGAGCCCTTGAAGCTTCCCATTGGTAAGAACCTGAAAACTATCAAACATTCATTCCGAAAAAAAACTATTAGAATAGATATGAAAATAAAGATCTCGAAAAACAGGAAAGTTCTGGTTTCTGTGGTTTTCCAAAGATCTTTCCGTTTAAATCCCATTTTTTTGGGCTAGATTTACTCCAACCACCACGTTGCATAACATTCTAATCTCTCTGCGTCTCCTTCTCTTTCAACGATCCCTCTTGTCACGAGCTCTTCCCATTTTTATGATGAGGAAAGAGAGGACGCAGACAGGGCAGACTGTTCAATGTAGTAGTGTAAAGAGTTTAAGTCGAAGTAATTGAAGAAGAGCTACTGGAGTATTATAAATGAAGATCTCAGTTGTTGAAAAATATACAGAAAAAAGCTTGAAATTTCGAGTAAAAAGACAAGAAGAAATAAATTATTTGGTTGGAATACAACCTCACTTTCTATTTCGTAATTTCAAACTTATAATTAACAAAACTGACCATGGCTCCATGTCTAATAACGAATAAATGGCTAAAAGGTGAAGGCTGTAGCTCGGCGGACTCATTCTGAGACAGAACTCGGTTGAGGCGCAGATCCGACACCAGCCATCCAACCGGCACATTTGCGGGAAGTATCACCGTTTCATGCGCCTATAATATTTTTTTTTTCGATTTATTTTCAAATCAGTCAGGCTTGTGCGAGGGTCGACCCCTCAGACTATCACGGCCTTAGTGGGACCTGAAGAGAAAGGGGGCAGTCCGGGGGGCAAAGTTTCTTCTAGTCAAATATCAGACTTTTAACGACAGACATCACTTTTTAGGTTCTTTTTTCGTTTGAAATTAAACAGGAACTAGGATTTAACAAGTAAAAGTAATTCCTTGGTGAGTATTTTTAGTCAGGATGAGACTATTTCGACTAAATTTGGCGCTTTTATTAGAAGCCTGGTTTGTTCTGGCCTTTCCATTTTTGAATTTTGTTTCGTCTTGAAAAATAGCTTTAAAAAAAGAAGGTAAAATAAATCTGGTTTTTCGCAAAAAATGTTCTAGTCAAGAAATGAATTGACAAGTCCCCAAAAGCCCTGTCAACATATGAGCGAACCACGTATCACTGTCACACGCAACACGATCCGCTGACATGGAGCATTTCCACACTGGGCAAACATGCTCCAAATGGACACACGGGTCTTGTCTTGTCTCGTTAATCATTCAGTATTCTCAATAGTTTATGAATGGCAAAGACTTGGAAGCTATCCAAAAAGTTTCTCCAATAAACATTATTAAAATTACCCTTTTCTATGTTTGGTTGACACCAGGATACTATTTTCAACGACGAAGATATTTTTTTGATTTTTTTATAAGTGGACAGAAAACTCCTGAGAGTGCTAAAACGGAAATTCCAAAGATAAAATAACAAGTGATAAATTATCTCGAAACTATTATGATCGTTCAAAAATACCTCGATTGTTCCATCTTGTTTTTTTACATTGATTAACATATTTTTTTTAAAGTAAGATAATTATCTCCACCACCTCTCGTAATAAGCTTGATTTGCTTCAAAAAGCCTACTTATTATTACAAAGCAGATAACTTTTTATTTGATAAGAATTTTTTTCTAAATTATTAGAACTCCTGATTTCTGTAAGAAGAGCTTTTTTGAAAACTTGATCACACGAAATATTTTTTCTTTGTTATTACTCTGAAGGAAAACGCTTGACATTGTCAACTTACTAACAAAAAAACGTTTTTTTTTTAAATTTTCAATCTTTTATAATTCTATCCTCTATTTTTGGTCGATTTTTTCTAACCAATTATTATTCTAACGGATTTTCTGATAAAATTGAACCTCAGTATTTTACATCGAACGTCCTATGAATATTTTCTTGTCAATTTTGGCATTCACTGACAAGCGAAGATTATATCGCTACCCTAGAGAATTCTTAAATGATTCCTACTCTTCGTACGTTGCCCTGACGTCCCATAAGCTTCATCAACCTTCATTAGACGAGCCAAAAAGAAGAGAACAATGAAAAGAGGCCTAGGTGAGCCACTCGGAAGCTGCTAACGAATCTTCTCTTTTAAGAGCTATTGATGAGACCTTTGAAGATTTTTTTTTCTCAGAAAAAATATCCGATTTGCAGTTTCACTATTCACAAACAAAAAAATAAAAATTCTTAAAATAACTATTAAGATTCCGTAATCTTATTTTATTTTAAGTTTTCTCGAAGTTCCAGAAACATTTCTGCATCGATTCTTGTAAAAATACACCGGAAAAAAAAATGAAAAAAAAACCCATTCAATTCAAGTTTTGGAAAAAATTTATCTAAACGTAAAATTTCACATTTCTGCAACTTCAAACGTTTTGGAAACATTATTTGACCGAAACATCGTTTAGTGAAGTTCTAAAACTGAAGAGATTTCTCTGAATACAAAAAGCGTCATTTCCTTCGGGAAATCTTTTTGAGAGCTAATTCGATTTTTGGCTCCATTGTCCCATAATATTATCCGAATTATTTTTGAGAATGAGAATGGTTTTGCCTTAATTCGTACATCCTAGAAAGTGAGACTTTCAGGAGGCGTAATTCGTGTGGAAGAGCAACCTCAAGCGGTCCATTCCAGGCCATTCAACACGGCCCATTCGCGTGCTCATGTTTAGTATGCTCGACGAGCCAACAACAAGACATTCGCCTCCTCCTCGAAAATGCGGACAGTTGACCCCACACGTGTTCGGCTCAAGCTGTTAACGCACTCAAGGCTGGTGGTAAAAGAGGACCATCATAAGGCTCTTTTACAGTTTTTGGGGGTCGCGAAAGTTCGGAACTTCTAGAGCAATCAGGAAAAGTAAATGGATGCAAAAAGGTCTTTTGATCTTGGACGCAATTTGTCAAAGAAAGTTTTCAAAAAATACAGAAGTGGCGATTTATATTCACATCGTTTTCAGCCGCTTCTTATTTTCAAAATTTCAGTGATTTTTTTAAATTCCGAATACAGGTTCAAAAAGTGGAGAACTTTTTTTTTCATAATATTCACTTCTTTAACTTTTTCTGTTTCGTAACCGAGGAGAGGTCGTCGGCCACGTCCATTGAAGCCGAAAGTCAGATATAATCGACTAGGCGGTGAACAAAAACTTTAAAAGCTATAACGAACAACCGCTTTCGGTAAACTAGAAGTCCTAGAGTGTAGTCGAAAAAGTTGAAAAAATGGTCTTACGGTCCTTCGTCTCGATCTTCTGCGCTTAGTCCGTTCAATTGTGCCTTGACAAATCAGAAGGTAGCGGATGTTGTAGCTGAAGCCCGGAGACCGTGCTCTAGGTGGAAGCCTCAGAATGAGAGCGACCCTTTCGAGTGAAGATTTTACACGGAATCGCAACGGATATCAAGCGCAAAAAACCATTTTCGAACGATTGGACCGAGGTTTTTACTTTTTTAAAGTTCGAAAAAGGTAAATATTCAGTTTTTATCTCAAGTAGTTCATAATCAACCCCTTAATTCGGCTTCTTGAAGAAGCTCAACCAAAACCAAATGTATTCCTTTTTTTAATGAAAAAGTCGTTGCTGTGATCTGAGCAACAGATCTGTCTTGGATGGACGGATTATTTATGATACTCGAGAAGTGTTGGGATGGGCGCCATCTGGCACAATAATACAGTTGCAGCACAACGTTCGCGCCAGCGCTAAAACGAGCGACGAGAGAGAAGAGACGCAGGGAGAGAAGCGTTTTTCGCGCGTTTCCCGATTATGCACGATGCGTCGAGAGCAGCTGTTCTTTATTCCCTTATTTATTTGGGGTTCAAGAAAAACAGGATATTTCATTCGGATTAAGTGAAGAGTTCAAATAAAGGCGGAAAAGGCAAGAACGTGAAAGAAAAATTATTAAAATTTAGGAAATCAAAAATTCAAGAGTGAGAAAAAGCAAAAAATCACAAATCAATTTTTCACAGAGCGAAAAAAATTGCAATGTAGTTTCAAAATTGGAACGAAAACCCAGACCAGATAAAAAAACTTTTGAATTTGTGATGCATTTTTTCGATTCTACTCGTAAAAGGATATGCCGAGAATCTTCTGAGTTAGAAATTTATATTATCGTCAGCTAAACAACTACGCCACGATCAAGAAGTGAAAAAACAATTACCACTCAGGCTGAAAAAGTAAGTCGATATTTTTTAGAACTTTTCATAGAACTGCCCAAAATATTCGCTAGAATGTGGGCTCAGCTGTCGCTGCCAAAATGAATGGATTTCTGCGTTAAGCTTTTATATGCCAAATATTATTGTTTGCTCAGTTGATGGTGAAATAAAATAGTAAGCTCTTCGAAAGTAAAAAAAAAAATCATACCTGTACATTGGCCGCCAGAAAGGGAATAACAGCAAAGAATAGTAATAACATAACTTCTAGGAATTTGGTTAAATGTCGGTTTTGCCGAAGAGTTTCATTTTCCTGGCAAATGAAAAGAAAGAAGACGGAACGGCCTTGGAGAGCCTGAAATTACCGGAAAAATTAAAATGCTTCGATTTTTGAAAATAAAAATTAAAAAAGAAAAAAAAACTTTCAGGGGGACTTTTTTTAGTAAAAGCTGCATATTCTTCTCGACATTAAATGAAAAACTTGGTGATTGAAGTTATTCAAAATTTCCGTTCTCAAAGTTAAAATTAGAAAAAAATATTCAAGAAAGATTTTTTTAAAAAGAATTAGTTCCAATAATTTGAGTATGAAGCTTGAATTTCAGCATTTCTTATGAAGTTTTCCGGTTAAAAAAACAATAAAACTCTTTTTTTCACTTTTTTTCAAAAAAATAAAGTCATCAATATATATATATATATATATAATAACGAATAAGACGGCAAACAAAATGGGAAACTGTTCAGTTTCCAAAAAAAGACAACCGAGAGATCTTCTGGCCAGCTAACGCGAAACATACGGGCGGTGCTTCGAAATAGGCGTGGCTTGCTATCCGGTAGGCGGAGCCAGCGAAAAGAGTTATTTCGCGCAAGGATGACATTCAGAATTACAAGAAGATTGTCAAATTACAGAAATATATTAATTTCCTTGTTAAAGGTAGCAAACAACTAGAAGTTTTAAATCTCGTTAAAACGATTCAAAAAGGAGAGAGGAAATTGAGCACTCAAGTGTGAAGGGCGCGTTTTTCGATGCTCAAAATGAAATGACGGATTTCGCTTAATTGAAATTAAACAAGCTAAAAAGTTCAGTTATTCATGGTTCATGAAAAATTCTGGTCAAAAAAAGAATTTAAACATAAAAAAATTAAACAAATTTTTTTAAATTCACCTGTGATCTGATTTTGAAAAAAAGGTAACTGAAAAATGAAATATTATCAAATAAAGATCATTTGAAAATAGTCTGAGACTGGAGGCCTTCAGGAGAATTCCAGAACGGGGATTAGCTGCAAATCCTCGACTTTCCGGCTTCTCCGTCCTCCCATTTCGGTCAGTGGTCTTGGCGTTTTGCTCAAAAAGACTAAAGAGTACTTTTTCTTCTACTAGTTAAAAAAAACCACTCGAGCCCTTGAGCATGGCGATTGAGGGTCTTTAAACACAAAAATAAACGGAAATTTTTGAATTAAAGTCCCTTCGTATATATTTCTTCTGCAGCAATTAAACCAATCCCGGAATTATGCATAGCTTTTCCTTTGATTGTATTCTTTCTCGGCTAAACTATCCCTTGAAACAAATATTAATCTTTGAGTCTGAAGAAAAAATCCAAACTATCATTAATTCAGATTGTACAAGCCAAAAACACTTCAACGAGTTCATTCTCCTAAAAAACTCAAAAGCATAGGGGCAGTAAAAAAACGGGGTTTGAGGTCTAAGCAGTACTTTGTAGAGCTTTTCAGTGCGAATCGAACGGTGTACTCAAAAAATTACAGAGTGCTTTTTAAAGAAAAACGCGATTTCATTTTCCCGCCTTATATTTTGAAAAATGGTTTGAATCGGTGTACAGAAAACTGTTTACAGTATCTGTGCACACGCAGTTGCGGACGTGTCCTTAGACTCGCATTTGTGCAAAAATATTCGGATATCTGCTTCAAATAAATGGTTTCTTTTCTGTAAAAAAAAACACACACACACATAAACCCAAAGATAATAAAAGATACACAAAATATCGCTATCTCAATCTAAATCTGTGTAAAACTGTCATTTTTCACCAGAGAAGCGCTACGGTACCAAAATCCGAAATTTTTATTCAAATAGAAAACTTTAATGACGAAAAAAATTTGGTGACAACAGAAAAAATTGAAAATTGAAAGAAAAAAGGAAAAAAGCGGAAATGCGAAAAATGGCGAAGCGCGTTGTCCATAGAGCAACTTTACTGCAAAATGCACTTTTGGCGGTAATTCAAACTTTCCTCTTTCCGACTTTGAATTATTTTTTTTTCCAAAACTAGGAGTTTCTATAAACTTCCAAGTATATCGTTCAACAGGCAAGAAAGAGCTCTACAAAATGGCATATTTGTCTTCAACCTCACTTTTTTACTCTCCTATGCCTTCAATCAAAAATTTTGCTAAATGGAATATCGAATTCGTATATACCTTTCCAAAAATAAAACCTGTTCAGTTAGGTTCTTGAATGAAAACAAGTAATCAAAGGGGATTTCCATGCAAACTGGCCAAATACGACTACTATCAGAGAGTCAAGGTGTAATTGGACTCGTCAAAACAAACAGGAGGCACGGGGATTGGATGATCGCCTCGGGGCAAAATATGGGCCGAAAGGGCTTAGCTGTGAAGAAACACTCTTCTGGTCAATTGTTTCTTTCAAGGTTGCAGTTCAGTACTTTCTGCGGAGTAGAGGAGAATGGTAATTCAGAAGAACTTCGAAAAAGGAAAAATTAATTTTTGACTTAAAAATGTAGCAATCGAAACTAAAGCTTTTGAAATTTTTTTTTTCTAGGAGAGATTACCATATGAGCAACTAGTTTCGAATCTTCCAGTCTTAATGTGCAGATAAATTTTTAATTCAATAAGCCTATCAATTCGCAAAACTACTAAAAACAAAAGAAAACAGGAAAGACTGTAGTTTAAAGAGTCCTTTCTGACACAGAGTCAAACAATTTTTCTAAATTTTTATAACCTGTTTAAAACTATAAACTCACTCAAAATGAATGGTCGGAAAAGACGATATTTATAAGTTTGGCCCTTCGAACATTTTAAAGAGGTCAGAATTAACATTTGTTTTCTCTTCAAGTCACGATTTATATCAAAATAACTATTTTTAATCATTATGAAAAATTCGTATGGACGGAAATTTAGAAATTATAACGTGAGCTCTAAAGAGACTTTAACCAATCTGTTCACCAAAGAATTTAAGTGATAACTGATACATTTTTGTAGTTTTAATTTTCAATTACGAAGGGATATGCAAGTTTGGGCTTTGCCGTTCCCCATTAATTGAAGCTTAAAACTCTCAAAAGGCAACAGAATTCGAAATGAACACGATGTAACCAAGGGACCTGGAGACAAAAGGTCGAGAATCAGCGGACAAAAGCCGTAAAAGGCGGGCAACGGCGGCCAGGTGCAAATCCAGACATATCCTGTCCCTACCCAATTATTAATCTTGACACCTTCGACAGCTCTTTTAGACAAAAACCGGTACATATTTTGATAGATTTGTTCACACCATTTTCTTGAAAAGTGAGACAAAAAATGAAAAAAATGACTATATTAAAATGACTTGATATGAAGAATGGTGATAAAAATCAGCTATGAAGAGGCAACTGAAAACAAAAAGAAAAAAACAGTAAGATTTTCGCAAACATAAAAAAAGTTAAAATTTTATAAAAACTTTCTAATAGCTAGTTACTATTATTTCTTTTCTTTTTTTTCCGAAACCTTCACGCATTTCAACCTTCATTTCCATATTTTCAAATAAAAAAGGTTTTTTTTCTCCACTTTCATTGAAGCTACATGTGACCTCAAAAAGTTCGATAAAAACGAAACTCGAAAAAAGACGTAGAAAATTAGCCGGAACACCGACGTTTCAGCGTGAAAAGCCATTTTCGATTCCGGCGCGTAGCCAAGGGAGCCATTTCTTTTTTGGAAAAAAAAAGTTCAGCTCAACATTATTGAGAGAATATTCATAGCACAGAAACAAACTTGTTTTTCTTCAAATGCCTGAAACCCCTCAACTGCTGTTATTTTTTGTTAACTCTTGATACAATTTTTCAAAATGGATAAACACTCACAATTGATTGGACTAAAAGCAAAATTCGAGCAGATAACTCGATTTTTTTTTCTAAATAAATTGAAAATAGTTACTACTTGCGTCGAATTTCGAATCATCAAGAATAGCTCTTTAACGCAATTTTTAATTTGCTGCAATGAAGTTTCATGAAAAAAATCTTGAAAAAAGTTCGCAATTTCAAATTCTACCTGTGCTATAGTGCTATAGTACAAAAACCATGTTTTTCACTACCAAAAAGAACCAAAAAAAACCGTAATTTGAAAACAAAAGCCCATTTATAGTCAAGAAGACGGACAAAAATGGAGGATTGCGAAGACGTGAGCAAATGAAAGGACAGGACAAAAGATGGATTAGAAGCTTGAAAAAACGGACGCCGAGAACCCAGCATCTTTTATTCCATTTTTCAAGAGGAAAAAAGAAGTGAGAAGTAATTTTTGAGGGGTTTTTCTTCATTGAAATATAGAACAACAACTGAAACTAGAACTCAGGAAAAGTGAAACTTGAATTTATCAAAACAATAATAAATTAAACCAGGAAAAAGATTTTTCTCAAAAAGTGCGGTTTTTGTGGTCATTTCTATAATCCCTTAACTACTGGCTTAAAACCTTATAAAATTCGCAGCTCCTCTAAAATACCCTTATTTTCAATCACAGCAAGGCCATTGTTTTGTGAATTCGTTGACCTAGCGACAGTTGACGCTATTTAGCTAAAAAAAAATTTTGCTGAATTTTAGCGACAACTGTAAGTATTTCTGAATATAGCACCTGAAAAAAAACCAAAAAAAGAAGGTAGGAAAAAGTCTTGCCCGAGAAGAAAACGAAGGGAAGCCCTAAAGGAATTAGAAAGAGCTCTTAAGAGCAAGCAATTGCAGTGAAACTGAGAGCGCAACGGAGCCTGAGTGGAGGCTCAAACCAGAGTGGACAGATGAAATTAAATTTGCCGCCTTGTCCCCTCGGCACGCGACTTCTTGCAATCTGAGACCGCCATGTACGCCAAAGGCCATGCTAATTGGCCTCCAGCCTTTTCTTGACCATCCGTCAGGACTCTAACTCGAGTTCAACTCCAGAACTTTGCCTCTCAGTGTCTTGATTGATAGGAAAAAAAAAGAAAAGCAGAAAAAAAAAACGGAATACGCACAACGATGATCATTTTACATTGTTGAGAAAGTTCTTGAAAATCGGACAGCAATATTTGTAAGAAATAAGGATTCTAAGTATCACCTTTCACAAATTGCTAGATTTTGAAAGTGACTGTACTCAGAAAAAGATCTGAGGAATTAAAAAAAACGAATTGTTTTTTAAAATCAGTAATGTACAGGTTTTCAGTTCACCGAAATTTAGAAAATTTGACCATTTTCCAACTTTCAGTACAATGTGAGCGTCCAAAAAAATTGAAAAACTTTTCTAATATATATTCACTAACCCTTGCGGGCAACAAGACGGTTTTGTTTGATTTTTTCTGCTACTTTTACTCAAGCTGTTCGAGGTCGTTAGGGTAAATCACAGGCTTGTTCTGCGGCAGGCTGAGTTGGAAAAAAACGCTTTTTTTAGATGACGATTTTTTTGGATTTTTTTGAAAAACGGATTCAGTCGAGTGGTTTTCGAGATACGGTAGCTTAAAGGACTAAAGTAAAAAAAGCTTCGAGGATCTGTAACCAACGAAACTCTATGAAAAATTTGTCACGAGATGCAAAAATAATTTTTATTTAAATTTCAAAAAAATTTAACATCTAATGCTTTGTTCATTGTTGCTCATATTAAAGAGTTTTTCTCAAAAAATTTAAAAACACTTTATGAAGTTTCGACCCGGCGTTTCTATTTTAATTAAGCTTAAAAGCTAAAACTCGATTAAACTTGGATCAAGCAATTTTTCCACCTAAGACCCGAATAAACTTAAAAAACACATTAATAACTTTGTTACTCAGAAAAAATTCTATTTCTTGCGATGTTAATTTTCAACGTTTTTCGCTCATAACTTTTTTCACGATTAAATTATCTGGTCGGAACGAAGTTTTTTTGTTGTCGTTACGGTGACCGAGGCATGGGAGCATACACCATTCTGATCAGGGAATGGTCTCCGTTTTTGTAAGTTAACTCGAACTTTTTTTTTTCAAAAATCCCAGGGGAGAAGGTTTCGTTTTAGATTTACATTTAAAGCCCGTCACGAAACAGAAGGATTTGGATCTAACGCGCTTTTTTAGATTTAATCTGAATTCAACAAAAGTTTGAAAATTCAATCTATTGAAAATTTTTTACAAAGATTTACTGTTTCTAAGAAACCCAGCTTGGGCTTCGGGCCTTTATTCAAAAAAAGAAAAAGCCGGAGCGGGCTCGGGCCTGGCCGACCTTCGAAAAATCTCAAATTTAATTTTCAAAGTTTTAACAGAAAAAAATTATTTTTTTACTTGTTGAAAAAAATAGTTTCTAATAACTCTATGGGGTAAATATGCAAAAAAATTCCACTTTATTTGTTAAACATGAGAAAAAAATTCGACATGAAGAAAAATTTGAGCTTTTTTTGAGCCTGGCCTGGCTTTGGAACTGGCCGGAGGGCGATAGGTGGACGGGCCAGCCCTCGCACAAGCCTGTTTACAAGTTACACTGAAATGAGTGTTTTCGAAATTCTTTCAAAAAAAAAAAATCTCTTCCACCTCGTAGAAACTTTCAAAAATCTTTCTGTTTTCCATTATTCCCGATCAGCAGCACAGGTCAAACATCGACAAAACGTGGTTCGGGAGTTCTCACGAGGGCTCACGCCGGGAAATCAGATAGGACGATCGTTTTTTTTTTGAGCGGAAATCATTCCACAAAAACGACTTTTCACCTCAATTTCCATAATCGCGCATAACAATCGGCCCTTTTCTCACTTTTTTTTCAACTCGTCACACCGCTACTGAAGCCTCCATCATTGTTGGCTGCATTTCTAACTCTGAACGAACGCCTTTTCCGTCGATAGATTATTCATTTGCCAACTTTTTTTTCATTTTTTCATTTAATTATGGACGACGACTTGATAGACTTTCTTCTGATTTTTGGCGTCGTTATTATTCTAATAATTATAACTGTTGCAGCGATTGCTTTGGTAAGTATCTTATTAGAAAAATAAGTTGGTGTTGTTTTCTTTTTGGGTTGTTACCGGTGCCAAACTAAAAGCTTTTTGAATTGGGGAAAAAAGTGAATGCTGAAATCTTTAGACTCGGATAAAAATAATTTCTCAGAAATTCATTAAAAACATTTTTTTTTAATGGATGAAAGAAATGATCAAGAATAAAGTTTATAGAAAGTTCTGTAGCGCTTGAGAAACGTTAAAAATCTCATATAAAACAGAAATATTCATCTCAACCGATTAAAAAAAGTATTTCACATCAAACATAACGAAAAAATATTGAAACAATAATAATGAATCGAAAATGTACTCTGCTTTTGTTTGGTGACCGATATTTATAAAAAACTATTACTGTTAGAAGAAATTATTTCCAAACGGTTCAAAAAATGAATTCGAAATGTTTTTGAAAGTTTCAATTACTTTCTTTCAACAGACATCTGATTATATCATTTTCGATGAAATAATTGAAATTCTCGTGGCAAACTAACTTCTCAATGAAGGGTTATTCAGAACGCATCAAGAATAACGCGATTTTTGACGCAACTTTTCCGCCGAATACTCCGAAGAAAGAACTCGGCGAGCGACTTGGAACATTCTTCGACGCATTCGCCGCCGCGTCGTCGAACGATCCGCATCGCTAAATCCGTTCCATCAAACGTCGGCCGTCGCGGAATTCTTAAACAGCCCGTTAGAAGGTCACTTTTTTTTTTCAAAACAATACAGCTCTTTGCAGTTCCTTAACCCATCGAAAACTATCATAGCTAGTTTAGCTCTAATAAATATGACCGTTTCTTTAATTCCTTCGGAGTAGCTAAGTCTAATACATATGCAATATTTTTTTACCAGCTTCTGAATAACAAGGAGAAGAAAAAAAAAGATTAAACTATTTCAGAGCGTCTTCAAATCCACCAGCTATGGGAGCAACCGTTCCAGACGGAAAGCAGGAGCCCAACCACTTCGTTCTCATTTTCCCCAAACCTTTGTCCTACCATGTAAACTTTCACCTTTCGACAAGACTTCTAAGTGCTTCCTACGGATCAAAAAAAATAAAAATCATCAAAAGCAAAACCTTGAAATAATGGAAATTCCAGGAGCTCTGAACTTCTAAGCATTTCTTGATTCAAAGTTTTTTTTTAACTTTAAACCCTTTTAAACTCTATTCTCACAAACTACGAAAAAAAATATGCGAGCTTGACCAAAAACTTCATCAGAATATAAAAAATTACTGAACGGGATTCGTGAAAAGGTAATTTAAAACAATCCAACTAGAAAGTTCCAATATTCGCTTTATTTTAGGGGTTGAAGCTTTCAGAAGCTTATAACTAATATTTTTTTGTACTTTCTATGATAAAGAGCTTCAACTAAGAAGAACTTTTGAGTATATTTATACAGGCGATTTTTCTCCAAAAACATTTTAACGAAACTTCCCTAAATTTCCAGACATTCCGGAATGAAAAGACTGAGGTCATAGCAAGAAACTTATGAAGTTTAAATACTTCGGTTAATGGGGAAAAAAAAACCTTGAAGAAGCTACTGAAGATGAAAGTTTGCTATACGAGGTTCCTTGAATTTGCTTTGCTTCACGGAAGCATTTCAAATTAGCTGAAAATTCTGACCCGTTGCGTGTAAAACTTTAAAAAAACCTGTTTTTGTCGCCCTTATGATGAATATCTTCGCCATATCAAAAACGGAGTAGCTGAATGATGATTTAAAAAAAAAACGCTCAATAATCGTTTAATAGGAAAAGTCTTTCATCATTATAAAACTTTTCAGGCCTTTTGAAAAATTCTATTGCCGTGTTCAAAGTAATTTCGCGAAATGCAAAATGGTCTCTGACCCTCCAAAATTTAGTTATCTTTCTTTTTCTCTGACAGCTATTTTGAATTTCGCGGAATCACTTTGAACACGGCATATATTTTCGTCAAATATGACGTTTTCGTACATACCTTTGACGTGATCTCACACACTAACCAAAAGAAGTTCAGATTCAAGCTCCTACCAATCAGAATATTTGGCTGTTGAAAGAGCGGAAAGGAGACCGTTTATACGAAAAAAAAATAGACGAGCAAAACTAGTTTTATTGTAAAAGGCTTAAAAATTTTCTCTGATATGAAAAAAAAACAATGAAAATATAAGGAGCTGAAAATTTTTTTTTTTTTCAGAACGAGTGCCAGTCTCCGGTGCATCCTCCACTGGCGGACAAACTGAGCTGGTCGACGAAGAGCTCCTACTTGCCGAGCAGCGTCGGAGCTCCCACCACTCGTCGTTGCTCTTTCTGATTTTTTTGGAGTTTTCCGAAGAGTCGGAAAGTCCGTTCTGTGACATGAAAAAACGGAAATGTTAATCTATAAAATTTAAAAAGACCTTTTTTACAGGTATGTGTTCCCCATGGAAACGCTAGTTATTTCAAAAAAGTTTTCTGAGGTTCTAAAGACCTAAATAGACATCGTTTTCTTTTTTTTTTTGTAAATGTGGCTTTGAGTACCGAAAAAAGCGGTTTCAATGAAATGAACTCGCATCTCATCCTTCAAGGATTTCCCTGTGTATGCTCTTCCTTGTATGTCAGTCTCCCTCTTACTCTGGTCGTTCTTTTTATTGTTAATTTCATTTTTGAAGTATGAAGAAGTTTTTTATTTTTATTTTTTTGACTTTCTGCTGTCTTCTTTGAGCCTCTTCCTTTCAGCGGCCTCAAACCACCATTCCGACTTTGCCCGAGTCATGAGAGTTCAACTCAAATTAATATTTTTTTAGGGAAATGAAAGGCTTGAACAAAAATCGAAAAAAAGAAATTATGTAATAAATAAGACCAAAAGCATAATCGAGCTGGATATTGTGTTAGATGTTAGGCTATAAATAGTTGCCACAACACTTTGATCGTTTGAACTTCAAAGTTCCTTCAAAAATAAGTTATAATAAATTAAAAGCATCGACGCAAGAAATCGGAAACTTTCCTGTCCAAGGAAATCATTACAAAACTTGAAAAATGAGCTCCTGGTCAATAACGAGAGTTTCGGGAAGCCCTGGAGGCTCGCGAATTTGAAGTCCTGGAACGGTAAGACTGGTCCTCGTCGATGTCGTCGGGAATCTCGTCCTCTCCAATCTCCTCGTAGTCTTTCTCCAACGCGGCCATATCCTCACGAGCTTCCGAAAATTCGCCTTCTTCCATTCCTCAAAATAACCAACATTGAATGGAATACTTCGTTTGCCTTTTTTAGGGAACCAATTAGCGATAATGTTCCATATAACATATTTGGGTAGTGTTTTCTCAGGTTATGGAAACTTATTTTCCGTTTTGAATCCTAATATCATTTTCTTTAGTCCTGAAATTTTAGTTTTGGTCCCTCCTATTTCTAGTAACCTACTAAAACTTTTCAAGAATCATTTTTTTTTTAAACATACGATCTCCTCAAGTTAGAACCAAAAAAATTTTGCATTTTCAGGAGCTGTTGGCTTGATAAACCTTATAAGAATACTATTTTGGCATCTCATTGAAAAATTTGTGTTTTACGGTCTTACTAGAGAGAGGAATTTGTGTTTTACGGTCTTACTAGAGCTAGACATAGGCCAAAACTTGGAATCAAAAATAAAATTCTGCTAAACCCCCATTATTATTTCATTTCATCGTCGAATAGTCGGTCTCATTGCCGCTCTCATTGTACCTGATGTTCTACGAGCGAAATTCACAATTTCTGCTTAAGCCACAGCTCCTGCCGCCGTTCAAACACAAGTAACTCAATGAAGGTCGATTGCAAATGTATTCTTAGATTGAAGACGCAATAAACAGTTTCTTTTACCATTCTAGAATGAATGTTGAAGAGTTGTTGAAGAGAATTCAAAAAAATTGATTATTCCGGAAAGTATTAAAATAATTACCTTCCCCGACGTACCAATGAACGAAAGCCCGTTTCGAGTACATGAGGTCGAATTTGTGGTCCAAACGAGCCCAAGCTTCAGCGATCGCCGTTGTGTTGCTGCAAATCTCAATAGAAATAAATGAGAAAGTATTCTCTATAACCTGATCATACAGACAGAACGACTCTGCTTTCCAAGGTCGCCGCCTGGAACTACTGTCGGCGGCTGATAATTGATACCTACTTTGAAGCCGGTGGGACACCTGCAAAGATATAAAACCAGTTAAAACGAAACACGGCGGTCGAGAAAAGTTCAATGCCTCGCGATTCAGAATGAAAAATGAACTCAAAAATTGATAATCCTTAGACTTCCAAATTGCGCTTCATTAGAGTCATTCCCCGTTCGAAAATAGTGCTCCGAGTTGGAGTAATTCGACTATTCAGATATTCAAAAAAAAAAATTAAACTAACCACTCCACAAATTGAACGGTTCTCTTTGTTTTGACTGCAGAAATGGCCGAATTGATATCCTTCGGCACGATATCACCGCGATACAACAAACAGACGGCCTGGAATTAGTCTGATAGTTTTGAAGTTCCATAATGATCAACATATAACTATTCCGATTAAAAATTGAGAAAAAGTAATAAAAATGATTATGAGACACTTTTTTTTTAACTTTTTATTCACCCTAACTTGAGAGAAAAAACGCTATAGAGATTTCACAATACAAAAACACGTGAGGATCTCCCTCTCTGAACGACAGTTTCCTGAACCGACAAAGATGAAAAGGAAGTTTGATAAAGTTAGCATCGATTAAGAGGCTGACCATGTATTTTCCCCGGCGTGGGTCGCACTTGACCATCTGATATCCGGGCTCGAAACAAGCGTTGGTCATGTCGGCTACTGTATTTTGTTCATGAGAAGCGCGCTCCGCCGAAACCAGTGGAGCGTACGTCACCAGAGGAAAGTGGATCCGAGGATATGGCACCTTTTTTGTATATATTTCATATAAAATACGTTTTTGAAAGCTCACCAAATTGGTCTGAAACTCTGTCAGGTCCACATTCAAGGCTCCGTCGAAGCGGAGCGAAGCCGTGATCGACGAAACGATTTGAGCTATCAGCCGGTTCAGGTTTGTGTAGGTTGGTCTGGAAGAGGTTCAGATTCAGTAAAACCGCCGTGACTTTGAATAATGAAGGATTTACGCTTTCTCAAAATCAAAAGAACATATTAATGTCAAAGAATCTTTCGACTTTTTTTCCTTCAATATTAATCCATTTTTTTGTATAGAAAACATCATAATTCCAGATCGGGATTCGGAAAAATGCGTTCCACGAATCATCTCTATCAAAGCTGACAATACATTTTTCAATTTGTTTTCAATTTTTTGAATTCATTAAAAAGGTGAAATCCTTCTCAGTCTTCTTCAACGAAGCTTTCTTTTATGCGGAACTAAAATTTCAAATAACACATTTGAAGGAAAAACGAATTGCATTTTATCATGAATTCAGAAGGTCTTCTAATATTTAGTATAACCTATAATACTTTATAAAAAACCTAACATTGGTTTTTAGGAGCCCTTGCAAGACCTAAAAGAATTCTGGAAACGGCTATTTCTCTTCAGAACTCTATAAAACTCTCATGCTCCGTTAAAAGTCTTAGCCCGGGTTTTTAAATCTTCACCAGTTATCAATTAATTCAGGCTACTCAAAGATCTTTCCTGAAAAATTCAATATGACCTATTCAAGAATAATTCTAAACAAGATAGGCTCCTAAAACTGAGTTTTTCCTTGGAATTGAGATAGTTTCACTTGAAACTTCAATCTTAAGCACCTAAAGATGAATAGAAGCTTTAAACTCACATCCTAGAAAAACTAAATAGAATTCCCGTAAAACTTTGAATAAGAGCTCCCAACTCTTAATCCTTCTTTTTCTCAAAAGTTGAAACCTGGCGAGATCAAGATTTCTGCGACAAATATCGTAGATGGCCTCGTTGTCAACCATGAACGTGCAGTCGGAATGTTCCAGTGTGGTGTGGGTCATCAAGATCGAGTTGTACGGCTCGACCATTGAAGTTGAGACCTGCAACCGTTGTTCAGCTTCGACATCGGAAGAAAACGGGCCTGCGGAGCTGGGTAAATGGCGAATTCGAGTTTTGGTTTCTTTCCATACTCGGTAGATAGCCGTTCCATTAGAAGAGATAAAAAACCAGATCCCGTTCCTCCACCGAAAGAATGGAACACCAAGAAGCCTGATAGGAATTTTTTGATTTACTATTATTTGGAATTAAAGTTTTCTTTGCCATGGTTCAAATCATAGACTTTAAGAAGCGTCACTAAAATCGTCGTAACTCGACTCAAACCCCACATTTTTCCGTAATCGAAGTGTTTTGAATATTTGAGGACGTGGTTTATCTGGCAATACTAATAAATAATGAATATTTTTTCAGATCCATTTTTTTGAAATTAGCCTAGTCAAATGTAATGGTCTCTAAAAATTTAAAAAGATTGAAACTCTCAAGTCAGCTTATCGGACTTTCCCCAATGAAAACTACTTTCATCATAAGAGCGCATTTTAATTACTGGCGTATACTTTGAAGATTCTGATTCTCTTCGAGAAACCGTCGTGCGCTCACCTTGAAGGCCGTTGCAGTTCTCCGTAAGTCTTTTCACTCGGTCCATAACCACCTGAATCCAAATTAATCAGCAATCATCAAAAGTCAAACACGTCGATCATTTCACGACCAATAGTGTAGCGTCCGCGAGCGTAGCAATTCGCGGCGTCTTCTTTTCCGGACAAAAGTTGCTCCGGATGGAAAAGACTGCGGTAGGTGCCGGTTCTGACCTCGTCTGATAATTCATTGAAATAAAATTAATTCCCATAACTAGAAGGGAACCGACGACTGTAGGCTCAAGATCGACAAACAAGCAGCGAGGAACGTGCTTCCCACCCGCAGTTTCCGCAAAAAACGTGTTGAAAGCTTCAGTTTCTTCGTCGTAAGTTGGGTCGTCGATCCGAGTTCCATCTTAAAATTCGAGAAAACTATATTTCATCGCAGGTGTGGAGAAATATTGGGAATGTTTACACGGTGAAAAATAAGCTGCAAAAATAAAATCGAGCATTGCCGTATTTTTGTTTCAAGTTACGGAAAAAACCTTCGAAAATCTATATCTCAATCTCATATAGTCTGTTCAGATTTTGAACTTCAGGTGCAATGACGTCATTCAAAAACACTCTGTGGATGGCTCGCTCTCTGATTGGTTTATTGCACCATTATGGGCGAAGCTTCAGCGGCGACTTGACATTCAAAATCTGAACAGACTTTACTTGCTCATTATCGCTCACATTAGAGAAATTTTTCTTAAAAAATTTCACAGGCAGCATGTAAAGTTTTGACCCGGCGTTTTTTTCTCGGTTCTATCAAAACCACAATAAAAATATTTTATCTATTGAGCTAAACTTGGATCAGCGATTTTTTTCCATCTAAGACCCGAAAAAAATCCAAAAAAACATGTTATTTTGAGTAAAAAAATCCGGAGTAACTTTTTTTATTCTCTTTTTTTGGCTCAAAAACTAGCAAGATTGTCGGCATCCATTTTACCATCTGTTGGGTTCACTCCAGAGAAAAACAAAATAAAAAGTTTTGGGTGAAAAAAAAATTGTTTATGCCCTGGGATAGAAATTTTCGAAGTTTTTTGCTGATAAAATTTTTCAAGACCAACATATCTGGTCGAATCAAATTTTTGTGTTGTCGTTACGATGACCGTGACATGGGAGCATATACCATCTGAATCAACTAAAAAAAATTTTCCCAAAAAGCTCATTTTCAAAAACTCCCAGCGGGAAAAGGTTTCGTTTTAGGTTCACAGTTAAAACACATTTGAAATTGTTCAGAATATATGTCAAACTATATTCAGATCCTAATGAAGTGAAAAAAATTTATATAGGTGAATGTGCATAGCTGGAAAGTTTTGGGCGTTTGAAAGCTTTTTACTTAGGAAAATCATTGATAATGAACTTCTGGATAATTTTTTTTTCAAGAAGTAAAGATTGCCTTTGAGTTGAGATGTATTTCTCACGTCCATCGGAATGTTCTTTCGACATTTTTTTTCAAATTTCACCGCATAGAAATACTCGAAGGCATCCTCCGGATGCCCTCAAAAAAACCCCACAAGATCTCGAAAACTAGAAATTTGCGCAGGTTGATACTTTCAGAATTGTATCCTGGTACATCAAAGGGTATTCTGGCCAAGTTCCAGAGCATTCCCAACCGTAAAATAAAAATACCTCCCCTGTTAGCAACTAGGTGAATTTTTGACCGTCCCAATAGCAAGCATTGGATCGGAACACACCTTTAAAGGCATTCTCAAAATAAGACCTACCTGGCTGAATGCCATGCTCAAGACAGTAGAGCTCCCAGCAGGCGTTGCCGATCTGAACTCCAGCCTGGCCGACGTGAATCGATATCACTTCTCTCTTGAAATTATGGGCGTTGAAATATCAGAAATGAGAAAAACTAACGCTTCCTCTGTACTGAGGCATCGTGAGCTACACCGAAGAAGAGGATGATTTTCGGGGAAAAATGGCGGAATCGTCGTTATGGCTTTGTCCAGAGGCACATGTCATGGCAACAGTGTCCTCTACGGAGAGACCGCGCCGAATTCGTAAATAGTTGTCCTTTGTTGAGTCATATGAAGAAGGTATCATCTGGAAGTTACTACGTTTTCACAATATAAAAAAAGAAAAATGAGAAGAGAACGATTTTTTTCTAGGCTATCATAATATTTTTTTCATCTAAAGAATTTATAAGTAAAAACTTAAAAAAATATGTATACCAAATGAAGACACCGAACAAATTGTTTTTGGCTATATCTGTTTAAAAACAAGCTTTTCTATAAAAAAATCTGTAGACTTGTAGATAAACGCAATTGAAATGGTTAGAGAGAGAAATTTAGCATGAAAAATCAAAGAAAAAAAATCTTTTCGATTTTATCATTTCCGCAAATTTTTGAATTACAAACAGAGTCTTTTCTTTCCAGTTTTTCTCTTTTTTTTCTTTTTTTTCTCTCATTTAAATATTTACAACTACTTTTTATATTCAAAATTTTTTTTTTGGATTTCAGTTAAGAATTGTAGAGAAGTTTCGGGAAATCTTCATGGATGGGTTTTGCAAACATTATTTCTAAAAACTCAACTTTTTTCAAGCAAGTCGGTTCTGAAAAAAATTGACGAGTTATTCAAAAATAAAAAAAGACAAGTTATCACGAATAAAAGATCGGAATGAGCTCGAATTTTTTTGCTGTCTCCAGCGCATTAAAAGTGTTTTCGCCCCTTGAACGGTTATAAGAAATAATATTTGAAAAACCCATACATAAAGCTTTACAGAAACTTTCCTAAAAAAAAGCATCGAAAAGTTCAAGAAAAGTGTCGACAAGCGACCTTTGTTGGGAAGTAAGACTTAGCAGTGGAATATTCATATTCTTTTCAGCTCGAACTCAATTATTCCACACTTTCGGAATTTTATAAGTTGGAGTTTGGCAGATCAATTATTATCTGTGTTCGGAAAAAAAAAACTGACAGAGAATCCTAGTTTCTGGTCATTCAATCTTGTCGGTCAACTAGCCATCGCGAAAAGCTTGAAAAGCGACATTAAACACGTTCTCCGAGAGAATCGAAGAAGTTGCCAAAAAAGTGAGGCAACAAATATTGGTGTTGTTTTTTTTGAGCTCATACTTTAAACACAACAACTACACAAGCCTCTGAAACTTTTAGTTGAGGTTTTGACAGGTTCCGCATCTTTTGAGGAGATCTGTAACCAAAATATGAGAAAAAAAAAACTAATTTTTTTCTCCGTGGTCCAAATCGGATGAAAAACACAATTAGTTGACAAAAAAATTTAATTTTTTTCCTTCGCTTTCGTTGTAAAAAGGTTCATTCAACAAGTTAAATTTTTTCGTATTTTGGCTACAGTAATCCTCAAAAGTGCGGAGTCTGTCAAAACCTTAACTGAAAGGTTCAGTGGCTTGTGTAGTTTTTGAGGCCGAAAAAAGCAAAATTAATTTTAGTTCCAACGGTTCGTCGCCTTTTTCGGAGAACGTGTGTTGAATAGTAATATTAACGTGTGTTGAATAGTAAGTGGCGCGTCGTAGCGCAACAGGTTGTGTGCTTGTCTACGGTCCACAGGGTCACAAGTTCGATCCCCGCCTCGACCCAACCAAGGGGTTTAAGAAATATTGGTAGTGGGAAACCACGGCTTCAAAATCCCCAGCCGTCACACACAAGGACGGATATGTCACTCGAGCCAGTCCACTGATATCAGGATAGGACCTCGGATGATCGACTTGGGGCGCCGACGCCGCTCAAGCGGTACAAAGGCGTAGGAAGAAGAAGAAGAAGTGTGTTGAATAGTAAAAAAAATTTCACAAAAAGGGGTTCAGATAAAGCATGTAGGAAAAGTAATACGAAAAAAGTAAATGAAATTATTGAATTGAAAGCTCACCTGCACCTGCTTCAGCTGTTGTTTTAAAGGCATATGATTTGCTGTTTGGTTCATCTGAACAAATATACGAAAAATCAAGTTTATTAATATATTTACCAGAAAATCTGTCAGATTGTAGACAAATAGCCTTCAAAGTAAGAAAAAAAGTTTCGTGACACTAATCACTTGGCGAGAACCGCAGCATGATGCTCAAAGTGATCGGCTATGAACGTGGCGATGAAGTAGTAGGAGTGGTCGAAGCCGTCCTGCAGCCGCACCGTCACTTCTGCCGTCGGCGTTGACACCAGCGAGTTCGGCTGTAGCTGCTCCAAAAAGCCGTCCGCCGAGCCCTAATCAAAAAAAAACATCACAACACGATGAAAAAATTCTCACCTGGTCAACGAGGATTTTGACTTTTTTCTTAGAGTATGACTTCAGAAGCAGACTCGCGTCGTACTGCTCCCATTTTGTTTGGTCATCTCCTGAGGAAAGAGACAATATAAAGTGGAGATATACATTAGGATTTTCGGTGTCATAGCTATTTATCGGGATTTCTCAATATCGATTTGATTTTTTTGTCTAAATCAAGTTGATAAGAGAATATAAACAGTACTGTGCAAATCAGATCCGAAAAAAAACTACGTTGGCTTCGGAAAATTATATGACGACAAAATATGCATATATGCATATTTTTATTAGAAGATTGCTAGCTTTTCTTCAGCATTGGGAGAAGAGTTAAACTTTTTGAAAAATAGGTACCCAAATATCCAGTGAATGCTTTCGTGCCCCAGGCGCAATTGATCGGATGAGAAATGGGCGCAAACGCGGATATCGACCTGAACTTTTCGGGATTTCGAAGGCCAATAACGAGAGCTCCATGTCCACCCATAGAGTGGCCGAAAATTCCTGAAAAGTCTAAAATGGTCAAAAAAGGAAACATCTGAAAAATGAGCTTTTCGGGAGGAGGACGCGATTTGAAATAAAAACTGTGATAAAATGTTCTCCGCTCACAGCTAATGTTTGTTTCACTGCCTCAAAAGGTATTTCAGTGAATCTAGGGGGAATTAGAACTAATAAATCTAGGAAGAACTGTGTACCTAGACGTTTGCTGTCGGAGGGAGCAATTGATTGGATCAAAGCCGGAAGTTCTTCGACCACGTAGTCGTACATGTTGTAGTTAGTGGCCCATTTCTCCACAGTAGCGTTCACGTAAAAGCCGGCTCCTTTTTAAAAAATGAAGCCGCTGACCTTCCCCTAAGCCACTGACCTTTCCCGAAATCCCAGCTTTCGGAATCTCCCGAAATATCGACCCCGCGCGGAGAAGTATCTGGATGAACGACGATCATTCGATGATCGCTGGCCAGTCTTTGGAACCCAGACTTTTCCATAAAGTTGGCGTGTGTGCATGTTAAGCCTTCAAATCTCAGTTTTCCTGGCAAATTGCAAAAGCTTCGTCTGAAGGATGTTTGTATTGTCTTTCGCTTATATTTCACTGCGACACGTTATGCCTCCAAAATGAACAAACCAGAGAGGTAAAACAAAGTTGGCAGCTTTTCGCTATCGGAATGATCAGGAACGTACACGCCAAAGGTCATATCGCATTTGAGACTAGTACTGAAATATTTTTTCTGCAGAACTGAACCAGTTTTTTTCAATTTCAAACCTGGCGTGTCGGTAGACATATTGGAACCCTTTGAAGCTACGAACTTTTGTAACCACCTCCGCTGTCATTATTGCGAAAATCGAAAGTTAAACGATTGGAAATCATTATGGAAGTTTCAGTAAAGCCGAGAAATATACTCTGTTCAGATTTTGAATTTCAAGCAGCAAACTCCGTCCCCAACAACGCTCTGTGGATGGCTCGCTCTGTGTGTTTTGATCTTCGCATAATGGCCGGAGTTTGAGCGAAAAGTTATCATTCAAAAACTAAACAGACTATATGAAGAAAAGTTCCTATGTATACAAGAATTCGTTTCTTATCAGTGGACTAAGACCATTATAGATAGCACCCTCACGGTTTTCCTGAAGAATTACGCGGGAGTTCAAAATTAGAGAATTTTTTTTGCATTTGATGAAGAATACAAGAGCCTAGTTGTTTCAAAACTAGAGAAACTTTCGTCAGAGTAAGAAAGGTTAAAACCAATTTGCTCGTTTCAATTTCAGCAGTTAAAATTATTTATTATGCGATATGCATTTGGAAGTATTTTACAAGATTTCTTGCTACGGCAGAGATGAAGGCACAATGGAAAGCCGTAAACAGCAATCAGACAAGGAATGAGTGGGTGAGGTCGCATTTCTCAGTGTCTCTCAAGAAAAAAACCAAGAAATTATACACAAGACGAAGTGTACAATAAGTTATAACTCAAGAAAAGCGCAAACTATAGGTAGTCAACTCCAAACGAGGAAAATTGTTTTGACTGGTAAAAAACTCACTCGTAAACTTTTAGCCAGGATCATTAAAGAGAAAAATATAATTCCATGTCGATAAAAGAACGAAATGATATACGGAGTATGACAATTTTCGAAAATAAGAAAAAATGAAAAAAAAGGTAAGGAACGGATGCTACAACGAAAACGTGTATTTGACCATAAAGGTTAGGAAGATGAATATTAACATTTTTCAGCTGTAATTGTTTGACAGAGAAAGTGCAATAAAATTCAGAAATCAAGGCAGACTTTTTCTAGAGAAAATTTTTTACAATGGAATCAAGATTAACTACTGAGTTCAAATGGAAACATTTCTAGGTGATAAAATGAGATTCGAGTCGTATGACAAGGAAATTAAATTTTAAAGCTAGTTTTTTGCACGATGTGAAGAGTGTCGCAGAAATGATTAGAGTGATAGAAAATTTACATCTTTTTTTTTAGTGGCACACAAGATCTTCGCCGCCATAATCCTTATTTGACAAAAAAAAATCACTCTTATCTAATCAATTTGCTACAATCTCGTCTGAAGAAATATTACATAAGCTAAAAATTATACCCAACGAAAAAAATTATTATTGATTCTATTTTTCTTTTAGTAGGGTGTAAAAACGAGCTATCCAGTACTGAGTTGGTGAGGAAATTATACAAAAAGTTTTACAGTAAAAAAACAAAAAAACATCGCTGGCTTTAAATAATAAAAAAAGGAAAACATGTTCACTTATGATGCTATAGTTTAACGAACGAGAAAACTGATGAGAAAAAGATGAAAAAAAAAAAGAAACTAGGAAGTTTGGGCGTAGTCGGATAAGTGAGTCTACTGTCGATGGGCGTCGACAAGAGCAGCGACCTCTTCTGGCAGCTGAACGCGTTCAGAGGAACTGTAGCTGAGGGCCAACATGTGCGCGACCATTGCCAGCCATTCGGTGCTGAGCTCCTTTGACTCGCCGGTCACCTGTAGCCGGTCCGACTGTAGCCGGGAAGAATTTCCCACCTGAGAAGAAACACCAGCTATCCGGTCGAACAAACGGCGGAAAGTGGCGCTTGTCGAAGTCAGTTCCTCTTGCGGCAACGTCGAAGCCGCTGCGTTCGCAGCCTTCTGAATCGCCTTAGCCAAGGGGCCAGCTCCTGTAATTCGCCTCTTCATGAATGCATCAAAAACCACAAAAACCAGTCATTGATGTGAGTAGGATCGGGTTGAGAAACCGCAAGACCAAAATCGCACTGAAAAATCGGTGAAAAAAAGAAGATTGGACAAGATAGAGCTTGGAGAAAAACAATTTGACACAAAGCTGAGCTGCCGGCAAACTTCAAATATGTATTTGTTTGCGTTTTTTTTTCGAGTGATTAAAAATTTTTTTTGGAATTATTTATTTTGGGAATTGCAAAAATTACCTCAAAAAAAAAACACAAAAAGCCATGAAAAAATTCAACCCTTTTTAATGCGAAAAGCTTTGACATTCTGTGTTCGAATTCACAGAAATTGACCTTGGCACGACTGTGTTGCCGTTCCGTTCTCTTGAGTTTCTTAACTGCCTCTTATTGGTCTTCCTTCTGTTTTTAGTTCTGCCCTACGTTTATCATTTACTGAACAATCCTGCCAATGTTCTACAATCCATTGAGCAGTACAAGGACGAAATTCAAGAATTGCAACTATAAACCTCAAAGACCGTCGGACAATGTGAGGCTGCTCAGGAAAGCGCTGTGCGGCACACTCGGCAACAGCAGCCAAGACTTGGAGGGCCAGCGGCGCTTTTTCCAACGTCTGGGTCAAGAACTCCACTACACAACTCGCAGCATCGACGTTGACCTACATATTAAATAATCTCAATTATACTTTCTCCTACGCGAGAGCAAAACGAACGGAAGTCTTGCTCAGTTGCGAATTGTGGGCGTTGCAAAGTTGAGGGGCCGTTTGGAGATACTCGTCGAGGTCGGACTTGAGCGAGTGTCGCAGACATTGCGTCACTACGCCCGTTGCCACGGAGTCTTTCCGAAAAACGTCTTCTGTCGTTGATGCCGCCAACGCGTCTTTGGTTATGTTTCTGAATTGGTTACAGCTTTTGAAAATCCATTAGAAATTTGAATATTTCAACACGGTTTAAGTAGACATTGCAAAAAAAAAACTGAAGGGAAAATATCCAAGCAATAAAAATAATAAAAAGCTTGAAGACGAAAAAACACACACACACCGGCGTCGGACCATCTTGGGCGCGCCGTAGCGCAACAGGTTGTGTGCCTGTCTACGGTCCACAGGGTCACAAGTTCGATCCCCGCCCCGACCCAACCAAGGGGTTTAAGAAATGTTGGTAGTGGGAAACCACGACTTCAAAATCCATAGCCGTCACACACAAGGACGGACATGTCACTGGAGCCAGTCCACTGATTATCATCAGGATAGGACCTCGGCTAATCGACTTGGGGCGCCGACGCCGCTCAAGCTGTACAAAGGCGTAAGAAGAAGAAGAAGAAGAAGACGAAAAAAACAAACCTGAACATTTCTACCATCGCATTCGAGTCGGAGAGATACAGAAACACAAGACAGGAGTAGAGAAACGTCCGATGCTGCAGAGGCAGAGCCGACGACGGCTGCCGGAGGAGAGTTTCTGGGGATTTCCTTAAAACGAAATCCTTCAAAAGTGTGGAAACGACGAACCGGAGGATTTTGACTAGAGGCGCATAGAAAGTTGAAGGGAAGACTCGCACGGCTCTTTGCTGAGCCCGATACACGAAGCCTGCGTCTTGAGAGAAACAAATCGGCTCCGTGCTCAGCGAGACCAGCTTAGAGACACCAATTACGCGACCTGGAAACAATTTTTCTTCTTCCGATTTTTGAACTGCTGATAGTTTTTTGACAAGGTTCTAAATCGCTGATCAAATGTCTTTTACCTTTCTTTGTGTTAGAAGGAGACGAAAGCAGAGACAGCTGAAGCCTAGCGTCACAAGGAACGTATCTGTAACCGACTTTGTCACTTTTCGCTTCATCAGCTGTCAAAGTGAGACTGATTTTTTGTTTCGAAAACCGCTACGATAACGAGAATGGTAACACCATTCGAGCGTTCAACTTTTCCTTTATTTAAGCTTATCCTCCTATTTTTTTTTATACCAATCGGTTTCAAGCATATGAATTCAATTGTAATCGGGAAATGAAAACGTAGAAAATTTTTGATTTAGCGTAACAAATAATATGGCGGAATGCAGCAGGACGCCGTAGTGATGCACCCCCTGCAATAACAGAAAATCTTACGGTAGGACGAAACGCGAATCAAAAACGACGACAGGAAGTTCTGTGGGTTGTCGGTTGGAAGTGACGGCGAAAGAGTTGGAGGAACACACGCGGACGTTGTCGAGAAGCACGTTGGCCGAGTAGACGTTTTCCGTCTTGAGAAGGTCTGATTTGAACTTGTCGAGGTCGAGGAAAAGCAAGTTGAGCTGCGTCGCCCGAGCTTCTTCCAGCGGGGGGAGCGGCCTCGGCAACGCTGGTTGTACAGTCACTTGCCGTGTCCTGAAACTTTTTTTCGAGTTGAAAAACTGGAAAAATCGATGAAAGAATCTTTGCTCAAGAGAATTTGAATCTATACACTGCGTTCAATAAGGATATGACCCCCCGTGCTCCTACCACAAAATCACACTTAGTTGGATTGGAAAAAATTTGGCAATCCTCTGAATTCAATGAAAAGAACACCCGGAAGGGTGCTATTCGAACTTTTTGCGATATAATTAATATATCATGTAACAAGTTTCAATTCTAATAAAAATTGTGTTATTGCACTTTTCATTACTTCCTTATTTCAATGGGCAAATTTCTATTAACATTTTCTTGGTGCTGTGCACAGTAAATAAAATTTTTTTCAGATTATCTTGTTGGTGAACCATTTTCATAGTACCTTTGCAATCTTCAAAAAAAGTTGAACCGTCATTAAAAAAAAAAAACGACAACAGTCTGAGATTTGACCACGATACACCATTTCGTAACTGATTTTCTAATAAGTGATATCAGAACAAAAAAAACACTCATTGAAAAAAAAAATTGACCGAAAGCTACTAATGAAAGTCAAAATTTCCAGGTGGTCCTATTCTTAATGAAATAAATCCAAAATAAATCCAAAACCGTTTTTTAATAGAATTCTTGTAGGAAAAGCGCTAGGATTATGTTATGAAAGTTCGGGCTGGGGGTTATTTCGTACTCTGAATCGAATGGCAATCACAAATTTTCGATATATTTCCGCGTTTTACCAGAGCGTTCAAAATCGAGAAGGGTCGTATCCTTATTGAACGAACTGTAAAAGCAACTTTATCTCATGTTCAATTTTTGGTTGTTTGTTTTTACAATTTCTTCCTGCTTTGAAAAGGTATCTGAACTTTGCACAAGTAGTCCTTTGTTTTGAGCATCGATAATAATTTCTTCCGAAACTTTCGAGAAGAAAAACTCAAATTACCGCCAAGTCTATCACCGCCAGGCTATCCTAAGAAAATACAGGTCCAAGGTGTTCCAAAAGGAGGAAAAAAGTAAATCACAGCGCAAAAGCTGTTGAACTCAGTATGTTCGTACTCCGTACTCAGTGACTCAGTATGTTCGTCTTCAAGATCTTCTTTTTTCGGTTATGTTTGTTAAGCCTGATAAAAGAATTGAAGAGAAAATAGGAACAAATGGTGGAACCTGAGTAAGGAGATCCAATGAACGAAGAGAGTGAGCGGCTGGAAGCAGAGGAACGTCGACGGCTGGGAAAGAGAAAGCGAAAGGAAGAAAGAGCCCTCCACTCCGAAAACGGATTCGTCGAGCCAGAAGAGCTTGGTGCAGGACAGATCGTACTCCAGACGGCTCTTCGTGTCCTTTTCAAAATACGGTTCGAGTTCATCATCAAACTTCACACAAAAACCTCTTTATTGTCAGTTATCGAGAGGCGACTGTCCCCATTGGAATAATCCGAAAGCTTGATCCAACAACTTTTCCATTGTTTCTCTTCTCGTGCTAAAAATAAATATTCCTTTCGAAATCAGAAGAGGCACCTGATAAGGATATCAATTTTCTTATAGACATTAATGGACAACTTTTTTAAACACGTAAAATCTTCTGAAAAGGTTTTTTGAAATTTTCGGTCCATTCAAATGAACTTCGAGCTTATCTATTATTTTTTACAGACGAAACATTATTTTCTCATCCACTTTCAGATTTTGAAATGAAACTTGTAAAGAAGATGAAATTCATATTTCCGATTTTTTTTTTTGATTTCATCGGACTATGGGTTCGATCTTCTACCGCAAACACATATAAAACGAAAAATATGAGCTAATGTTTCTTTCACGGACATCCTAAGCAACTTGTGAAAAATCGTGAAAAAAGCTGCAATGAATGCATTTTCAAGAAATCCCACGGTCAATGTAGGTCATTTTATTTTGCAGTTAAGAATTCCTTGAAAATCTGTCATAAAACTCCCTAGAGTACCCAAAAAGGATTCTGACAACCTCAAGTTGCATGAATCTCTAGTTTTTAATAAATGAGGGCTCAAAGCTAAAGAGTAACTCAAAGCTAAAGAGTAACATTGCTCGACAGAAGAAGAAACTCCTGGCTCTATGAAAAGTTGAAGCTACGCGAAGTTCGGTCGGAAGCTGTGAAGAGAAAATGGCTTTTCGCAAAGAAGATCGCTACGGGAGAAGACACATGGGCGAAGAAAATCGTGGAATGGCGACCATGGGCGAAAACGCGTGGAGTTGGACGACCCAAACCCCGTTGGCGAGATGACCTACGAGCAGTTCTTGGTGAAAGATGGGCGACAGTTGCGCGAACCGACAAACATCTCTTCAAATATTCCATGATTCAGCAGATACAAGATTACTCTGAGGACTGAATAAATGTTAATGTTAAATGTCAAAGCTAAAGAAAACTTTAAAATCAGTCAAAAAGGCCATTTTTTTGCTTCAAGTCCTTATTTCTTGAAAACTAGGAAGTTTTTGGGCAGATTGAGACTTTCGAACCCCTAATTTGGTACTTCAAGAAAAACTGTGACAAATTTCAAAAAATTCCCAACCGAAAAGTAAAATGACCTCCCTTGTGAGATCATTCTCTTGTTAGTTACAGGAAAATCCTCATATCTGTCATTCACTCACACTTTCTCAGCGCTTGACAGCTCTCGATGACGGTCCGCGAAGGACTGATGTCTTTGTCGTCGAAAGAAGAGAAGACGAGTTCGGGCGTCTCAACAGGAGTAGTGCACTCTGGAGACATCGGCTGCAGAACCGTGTATTCAACTTCTTTTTGCGGCTTCGTCACGCTCAAGCCGTCAGATCCGACGGAGTAACAAGATGGAGACAGATTCCCGTTCCGTAGGTCCTGCAGCTGTCGGAGCGCGGCCCCGTGTAAGGAGAACGAGCCTTCGTCGTCGTCTTCGGACCGGATCACCGCGTGAGACAGACACAATCCGCCAGATATCGCTTTTGTCGTGTATCTGAACCATTCACCTTGAAAAAAAAATCTTTTTAAAAGCAAAAAGATTTAATTATTTTGTAAAACCATTTTTTTATTATGTTTTGCAGTTAGAGTATTCTGTAGAGATATTTTGAGATGAGAGAAAAATGGGTATCTGGGCTTGAGATAGGGATGACAAAAAACGAAAATTCAAAAAAAAAAACTCGAAGAATTCGCACAGTAAAAAAAAACTCTAAAAACTGCCTAATCTATCGACTCATATATGATTTGTCTAGAAAAAATTGTTCTTAATTCTGAAAAAAGTTGACACCCTTAAGAAATTACAATAAAATGTTTTTTTATCGATACCATTCCGTCTCAGAAAGGCAAAAAGCTTCCTATTACTATGGATCTAACTTCTTTTTGACAACGAAAATTCAACTGATTTACAAAACAAATTCGTACGAGTCATCAAATGATTTCAGTGCAAAAAAAGCAAAAATTAAACGGGGAACCTTTCAATGACATGGCCGATAGAATGGAAGGGCCGGCCGGACAACATGAAGCCACACTGAGGAGAGCCCAATATCAGGAACTTCTCGACCAGATCCGGCTGAGTCTTGACGAGAAGAGCGTAGGCGTTGTCTCCTTTCGTTGACCGTCGCAGCAAAAATGAGCCTGAAAATGGCGAAATCGCTCGCATCGATGGTTTGTAGAACCTAGAGGAAGCGGTTGGACAGCGTCCGTCGAAATGGTATCATAGAAAAAAGGCAAGTCTCCCATCTCAGTTTGCAAAGAAACCTTTAAAAAAATGAAAGAGTACTTTTCCCAATACTTTCAGCGCAACTGACTAGTGGCTGTAATATGTCGATCGGAATCAGGCCAATCATCCTTGTCGCTTCGTTTCTGCCCCAAAGCCAGGTGCCGTCCTCTGTTCTCTCCAAAACGGTGATGATATCCCCGCGATAGGTGCTGAATCTACGGATAAGAATTTTTTTTGTCAATCTGTCTCACCGCAACTCGTCTTCTACCGTTCCCTTATTCGTTTTCATACATAAAAACTTTTGGTCGCGTTCGTTCTGAAAAAAAAAGTTATTAGAAAAAATGGGGACACCGGATATCGAAAATTTCTTCATGCAACACGCATTCATAATCAATAACGTAATTTCAGCAAATAAACGTTAAAGAAATTATAATGAAAGACTTCCAAACGATATACCTTTACCAACGATATACCGACAATGTACCTTTTTCGGCGCTCAAAAAAGGCTTTCCAATAAACTTTGACCAACTATCTGATCTATTCTTTTTCAAAGGTCTCATCTTTTGCTTTATTTGACTAGTTTATATAAGACTTTTTTATTCCACTTGTGACTACTACAAAGTAGTTTGAAGAATCACGATATTCTCAAAAAGTCAATTTACAAGTTTATAAGAGTAAAGACAAACAAACCTTCTGCAACATAGGAGTGGAACAGAAGGCGAGCGAAATGGTGGGGTTTTCGGTATAAGCAGATGAGAAAGATTCTTCGAAGAAATCAACAACGTCGGCCAGCGAGGGAAACCGTTGGCCCATGAAGAAGAACGAGGAGTTTATATGGCGCACACTGAAAATCCAAAATTCCAGATAGAAAGAGAAGCAGTTCGTATTCAAACTTATACACCAAAAACCGAATAGCAACTTCAAAACATCGAAATTTCGTTTTGGTTTCTATTCTTAGTACTATAGTTCTTCTAATATGCGCAGTATGGAATACATCATTTCAAGAATCTTCGAAAGTCTCATTTTTTCCGCGGAATTTCAGAGCTCTTTATTATGACCTAAGTTCTCTTAATTTTTGAAACAAAATTACGAACTTGAAAACAGGAAAAAAACGCTCTAAATTTCACAGCAATACAATTTGAAAAAAAAAACGGAGAATTTCAGACAAACCGGAAAGCAACACAAGAAAAGCAAGGAAACGTTATCTCCAATCATGAGAGACTTCCTCATCTTGAAAAAGGCTAACAAGAACTTTTCAGTCAATTAGAGAAGAAGAAAAACATACGGATTGTGCGTGATGCTTCCAGCGTGGTTCACAAACGAGAGGTAATACCGACGAGCGCCTTGGCGACGAATTAAAAACAATCCCGGAGCGGAACCCTTCAAAAAAATGAGAAAGCGTAATTGCTAAAAAAATTTTTCAGAAATTTCTGAAAAGTTTATGGGGAAACGGTAAAATGTTGACCCTGTTTGTTTTTAAAATCGCGCGAAAATCGGTAGATCAAAACTGCAATGCATCATGCCTCGTACAAAGTACACCCGAGGGGACTGGAGATGTTAATTCCGTGTTCAAAGTAATTTCCGCGAAATGCAAAATTATCTCCGACTCTTCAAAATTTCTTTATCTTTTCCTTCCTTTGATGGCTATTTTGAATTTTGCAGAGACAATTTCAACACGGCATAAAAGAAGCTGCACCCACGGTACCTTTTCTCTACAAAAGTGCAAAAAAGAGCAAAAAAACAAAACTCTAAAAACTAAGTAGGGTCGAATTCAATCAAACCACTGCCTATTTCGTATTAAAAAGGAACAAGCTGGTGCTGAATGAGCTATGCTCAAAATTTGATTTAAACGCAGCATCAAACTTCCTTTCCCTTGTATCTTTACAATTTCGACGCGTTTAAAACAAGAGAATTGACGTTCTGAGGGTCCACTGTAGGGTGTTTAACAAAATTTTGTTAAAAAGCATTTTGTTCTAGATAAAACAACTGAGGACTTGAACAATTTACCTCCAGCAAACTCTCTGCTTGAAATGCTCCCATTTCCCCGTGAAACCACAGTTTGTTCGGGCTTTCCAGTGGAGAAGATTCACACGACTGAAAATACATCTCATCATCATCATCATCATCAATATTTATTGGTTGTTTTAGTCAGATGGAATCGACTGGGCGGTGAAAAAATTGCTCTTTTGAGCGGCACTAACACCGCCTTTGGCGAAAAAGAAGTCAAAACGTGTAGTCGATTGAATTGAAAGCATGGTCTTACGGTCCTTCGCCTCGTTCTTCCACAAGTAGATCCCTCAGTTTCGCGGGTACAGGCACGGCGGTGATGATGGGGCTCGGGCACGGACGCCGTGTACACTCTAGGGTAGCCTCGGCCGATTGAGAGAGCTACCACTTCGATTGAAGAAAATACACGCAATGAAAAAAATACACGAAAAATACACGGACTCGATAAAGGTTCTTATAAAAATATTACAATGAATACTCGAATTATCAGGTAATTCCAAAACTTAAAAAAAAACTCGATAATGAACGTAACTCAACCTTTTGATAGGAGGTATCCGCGCTACTACATTGAGGCCCACTACTTCCGCTGGAGTACATTATAGCACATGAAAAATCTGAAATAACAGTGAAAATACTAATGCCGTGTTCAAAGTGGTTCCGCAAAAGGCAAAGTGGCCTTCAGAGAAAGAAAAATATAACTAAATTTTGGAAAGTGAGAGATCATTTTGCATTTGGCGGAAATTACTTTGAACACGGCATAAAATAGAAATCAAACGACTGAAAAAAAAAGTTGAGAGTGGCAAGCAAAACGCGAACTTTTCGCACGATTAAAATAATATTGACGACCAAATTTTTTAGAATCTCATGTGTGAATGATTGCTTTTAAATAGGCCTTTTGCCGCTAACTTCTCGCGAGAAGTCTCTTAGCTTTCTTTTTCCGCGATCACGCGGACCTAAAGTGCTAGTAATTCAAATTAATAAATAAAATCCAATTTAGCGTTTCCGATTGAAAAAAACGGTAATAGAATTTAACTATCATACTGAATATGAAATATAGTCTTAGCTTCCCCTTTAAAAAAATGATACACTCACAAAAAAACCTTTTTTTGAAACATTTTTTTATTAATAATTTTATATTAATTTAATATTAATTACTTTCTCTCCAAGTTTTTTTGGATGCATTGATGCGGAAACTGAATACACCGATAAATGTGCACTTCAAACGCGTTATGGTGGTTACCGTAACTAAAAAAAAAAATCGGGGTCTGTGAAAACCATATCTCATCGCTATTGCCGTGTTCAAAGTAATTTCCGCGAAATGCAAAATGATCTCTGACCCTCCAAAATTTAGTTATCTTTCTCTTTCTCTGACGGCTATTTTGAATTTCGCGGAATCACTTTGAACACGGCATATACTCACTGATTTTTGGTAAAAAATATTTTGTTGCCATAAATTTTCACAAATATTTCAGACGTTATCCTATTAAGCAAATACAAGTACCCATTTCATACGCCTTGCAAACTTTAACTTTGATTTCGAAAGAGATAAGAATTGAAATTTCGAAAACCATTTCCAATTATTTGTGAGATTCAAAAAAATTTGAAAATGAAGAAAACGAAAACATCATAAGAAGCATGAAGTCGATAGTTTCTTTTCGAAATTAATATGATTTCTAGGATTCACATAAGGTTTTTGAGGATCTTTTATAAGATTCAGATAAATTGAGGACGTTGGTGAGTCGGCCGCAGGTCTGTTACAACTGCGCCGGGCGAACTGCACCGGAAACGCAATCCATAAGACCAAATCATGTTTTACATCGTCGAAGCCAGTTGAGAAGACCAGTGCCTTCGAAAAAACGTAAAACAAAGAAAAGTTCAAAAAAGCTGGTTTAATTTCTCTCACTAAACATTTCTCCTAACAGATTCGTAGAACGAAGATAAAAACTCTTTTTAACTGTTGATTGTAATTTACTCGAAGCTCGATGTTCCTGAGGACATTTTTGCGGATCGGAAACCGAGAAAAGCAGCTTTATCGCTGGTCTTATCAGTTATGTTAGACTCGCGAGTGAGAATCAGAGGCACAGCGTGTGCGACGCGGCTCGCCTTTTTGTTTGCTCTGGTCGGACGAGAGACATCGAGAGTTGAGGGAAAACGAAGGCTTTTCGCCTACGGCACAGTCGCGGCCGCGACTCGCGACTGCTGAAAATTTTATTTCGTTTCAAACAATTTTTGTCTTACAATGTAGTTTGCAGTTCGAGAAAGTAGTATGATGCGCATAGATTAAAGCTATTATCTCATTCATTAATCGATTCAAAAAAAAAAGAAAAAAAAAAAATCAAAAACCGCGTAAGCAAATATATTTTTTTTGTTATTTTAGAAATAAGCATCTCTCTCTCTCACTGATTCCCTCGCCCTTTGAACTGGAAAGTCTTTTTTAAAAGGCTGCCTAATGGGTCGTAATTCTTCAAGGAATGTCTGTGTATAATATCCTTCAATTTCAAGGAAAAAATAAATGTACCAAAAAGTCCTTTGCTTTTTCAATTAGATAAGGAAGTGATGAATGAAATCGTATTCTAAACTAGATCTAATTTTTTTAATACAAGTTTGAAGACGGTTCCTAGGAAGAATCATAATAAGCCACAAAATTAATGCCAATACCATTTTTATAAAAATTTTTCTTTGGCTTCAGATTTTTGGTGGTATGAAAAAAAGACCAGCGAAAAATTTAACGGCGACTTTTCCGATTTTTTCGTATACGATACGTATATGGTATACGTATCGCTAGGGAACTTTCCGACGGCCACCTTTCCGCCGATTCTTTTTTTCCGACTTTTCCCTTATATTTTTTTCGGTTTATTAAAGATATATTAACATCCTATTTCTTTGTGTTTTAACCATGAATAAACTACATTTTATATAGGACGATTCAAAACGAAAAGTTCATCGAGAAAAAAAGTCGGAAAAAGATTCGGCGGAAAAGTGGCCGTCGGAAAGTTCCCTAGCGATATGAAAAAATCGGAAAAGTCGCCGTTTGAATTTTCGCTGGTCCTTTTTTCATACCACCACATTTTTTTCCGGTCCTTCATTTGAAATGTTTTATTTCGCTCACGAACATATCTGTGGCGTGGAGAAAGAGAACTAAGAAAGTAATAATTGCCTCCACTTCGATAAAGTTACACTTAATTCAAAATTTCAAAGTAAGAATAGTTTCAAAAGCTTCTGTGAGAAATTGGTAATAATCTATTAAAGGTGCCATTTTAATTTTGCTTTTCCAAGTGCTCACATGATCGGAGCCCGTGGCCAATGCACCTGCACGTGCTCTTTTTTTTTATCGATTCGCCCACTATCAAGTCACCGTAAAAGTGTTTGGAAAGCTGAAAAAAGGGGAATATAATACTAGGATGTGCACTTGCGTGTCTATTTTCGCCCAGGCTCGCAGTCTATTTCTCTGCGTCTGCGGCTGCTCGCTGAGCCATCCGGCTTCCACTCGCGACTGACTCATTCGCGCCCCAACGCTTTTGCTTCCAATTATACTCGGACCTTGATAACGCGAACGGGACGCGAATCGGACGTGTCGGGGCATTTCTAGTGACCACTTTAGTAGCCTCAGCACTCTTAAGTGATCCCGCCCAGAAACGTCCGGAGCACGTCCGTTTCGCGTTACCAATGTCCGAGTAGCCGCGCCAAAAAGCGCCGTCGTTTTTTTTTTGTTTGACTTCTTTAATTTGCCTGCACTTCTTCTTCGTTTGTAATTTTTTTTTTCCTTATCTTTCAAAATATTTCAACGGATGTGAGGTCGCTGTATCGGCGTGCGTAAAAGCGACAGTTTATGCATATATGCCGACTAGCGAGTCCAAAATATGCCAACGGAATTCAAAAAAAACTGTAAGAGAGAAAAAAATAACCAGTCTTCGGAGATTCAGAGATAATTTTTCATTTCACTAAATCACTTTGATGAGGCCATTACAAACATAAATTTTTCAATTTCATGCAAGCAATGCAAAATATACTAGAACCATAGAAGCACTGTATTTTTTAGAAAATAAAAGTTGAGTTTATTGGCTCGAAATTCTCGAAATACCAAAAACGTTTATTCAATAAGTTTCTCTTTTGAAACTCAATTTTTTTTTTGAATCAGCTACATTCTTTTTCCAATAATTACAATTTACAATTACAATTTATTCAGTCTTCAGAGTAAGATGTAGAAGAAATCTCTGCTGAATCATGGTTTAATCGAAGAGTTAGTCGTCGGCACGGGTTGCGGTCCACAATCGTTGTCCATTAAGTCCAGCGAATTTTTCCAATAACCATCTCATTTATTGATTTTCCATTGATTAGGTCATAACTACAGCGTTTTAATCATATTAAACCGCGCTGAATGGATCCATGGAGAGTCTATTTCAAATTTTTTTTTTAATTCATCCGTTTTTTTGCTTCATTATGTGTTATGAAACACATGTTTTAGCGAAAAAAAATTATCAGTTTACATAGATTCAAAAATTCTACTTTCGAAGATTTCTTCCCTGTTTTCCTCGAGAGATTTTTGATGTGGAAGGCCCCGCACATCAGAAAAAACCGTTTTTGAACTTATAAAGTTTTCAGTTACCCATTCAAAGCCATAAACGGCCAAAAGCAAAAATGACTTTTTCAAAAGTAAGTCAATGACTCATTTCTATCGCTTGGCTTTGGCTTGGCTTGGCCGCCAAGCCAAAGGCTCCTCAATCCTCCACCTCTGTCTGCGACTATTTATTCTAATTAAAAAAAAGTTATTTCTTGTCTTCCATTGTTGCTTTAACACATTTGTATAGAATAAGCTCTTGTCGCTCCCGTTAATTTCCCATTGACGGAAGTCGATTCTCGCATGATTCGGAAAGATTTCGAGATTGTTGGCAATTTCGCCAAAAAGTTTTTAGTTGCAGAGATTCGAAGAAAAAGTGTGCTGCGGAAGATTTTCGGAATTGAAGAAATAATAGCTTTTTGGTGGTTTGAGAAAAAAAAACCAGCGAATTTTCGAACGGCTACTTTTCCGACTCGGTTCATAAAGGATATATTGACATTGATTTCCTTTTTCTTTGTGTGTTTAAGCATGAATCAACTACTTATTTTATATTTAAAAAAATCAAAACGCAGAGATTATCAAGAAAAAAATCGGAAAAATTCGCAGTCGGAAATTCCTAGCAATATGAAAAAGATAGGAAAAGTCGCCTTTCGAAGTTTTGCTGGCTTTTTTTCATACCTCAGTTTCAAGTCCACTTTTGAATGCTATATGAAGCTTGCCTCAATATTCACGAAAAATCGGTTTTATGACTATTTTACCATAAGAAATGGGCTCATTTAAAGAAATAAAATTTCTAATTGGGGCTCGAACCTTCTTCGCTTTTGAATTCTCTCTGCGAGCTATTTTGTCATCGGTTCGAAATTTGTCCTCTATGTTTTGCAATTTCAGGTGCAACGCGCCGATCGGGTGTCAGCAATGCGAATGTCGAGCTCCGGTGGCACTCCGCGCAAGTTCTCGGAGAAGATCGCCATAATCGAGCGCAAGCAGAACGAAGACGTCAACAACTTCGAGGACATCATGCGGGAAGTGCGCTCCATCACGCACGACGGGCCGTCGGATTCGCAGCCTCTCGGCGGCCCTATGGCCATTCCCGGAGGCCTGCATCCTCCACAGCCGTGGAACTCTCTCGGAGGCTCTTTGCCTAACGTGCACCAGATGCCCTCTTACCAACCGCCGCCATGGGCCCCTTGGCCTCACGAAATGAGCGGAAGACCTGTCGGAGATCACCGTAGCCGCTCGCCGGAGCATCACCCTGGCGTCGGTCACCTCTACCATCCTTACGGCCGAGGACAACGTTCTCCAGACCGCGTTCCTCCTCTTCATCCTCACTACGGCTACCCTCCTCATCAGCACAATCTCCTTCAGCCTGACAACTGGAACCAGTTGGTTTTCTTTTTGTCTTCTATAGCCTGAGTGCCAAGTCTTGAAATTTTACCGAACGATATTCCGCTGTTCCGCTGCGTGCGTTCGCGAAGCGTCTTTCGAATCTAGGTTACGCTTTCCATTTATTGTTATTGCTGTGGGAGCACATGAAAGTAGAGTACCTTAATGAAAGAAAAAAAAATTTTAAAGCGCGGACAAGGTTTGCAGAATACGCGCAGCGGCACAGCGGAATGTCGTTTGATGAAATTCCAAGTCGTGGTACACAGACTATACGTTTTCTAATAACAAAGAAAACTTAAAAAACTCTGATGAATTCCTTTTTCTGATTAGTATTATTGGAATTTCGGTACCAATAATCAACCATCATTTTTTTTCATTGATAAGGATGTATGCGAGCCCGTAAAATGACATCTTTTTTAGTTCCAGTATTGCGGCAGTGTTTCAAATTAAATCGATGTATTCGATGGAACGGAATTTAAATACTGCATATTTCAAAAGTTTCCATGTTTTCTAGTCTATTTTCGTCTCTCGAAGCTTTTTACGCGTTTCGGAAAAGTATCGGAAGTTATGCCGTGTTCAAAGTAATTTCGCGAAATGCAAAATAGCCGTCAGAGAAAGAAAAACATAACTAAATTTTGGAGAGTCAGAGATCATTTTGCATTTCGCGAAATTACTTTGAACACGGCATTAGCTTGCGTCCAGTAGGAGGAAGATTCTCAAAACCTATACAAAAATCTCAGTGAAATAGAACTTTCAATTTTACACGGCGTTCTTGTCAGTGAAAGAAAATGCAGAAAAAAAATACCAGGGGCGAGCGCCGTAAATCGTACGGCAGCAGTAGTTTTGATCAGTTCAGGACCCGTTTTTGGATTACAAGACCCACCCTTTAAAGCTCTCGCAAGATTTACGGAAAGAGTTACTTGAAAAAAAGCATATTTTTTGCTTTTTTCTTTATGAATACTTCTTTTAACGTTTTTTCTATAAGTACAAGTTATTATCCAGTTCCTTTGGCGTAGGTTGAAACCAGTTCCGTGTAAATTAGAGCCAAATTGAATTTGCTGATGCAGTTTGATGATTTTGTTACATGAATTATCTAAATTATACTTTTTTCTAGTTGTTTCATGGTTTTTCGGATTTAAACAAAAATTTCGCCATACGAGGTTTTTTCTAAAATTTCTGCTTTCTATCCATTATTTGTTTTTCTGAAGCTAGGTTTTCAAGGTATATAAAATATTTCTTTTTTTTTATTTGCTCCTCGAATTTTCCTCATTTCAATATTTTTCGTATTTATAATTGCGTATTCAATCGGAGCTGATTGACCTTCATAATAATTTTTTTATTTTGTAATTAGTAATTTAGAGTTTTCCCCATTCGAAATCGTTCCTAAATGTTTTTTTAACGTCAGTGAATGTTTTTTCACATCATATTCTTCAAACTGACAAGATTTCGAACATTTCAGAAGTTATTATCCTAAAATTGCAAATTCTAAAATTGAAAAAAACAATTTTGAGTATGCGATAGTGCGTCTCGCACACCTGCTTACACCCTAAGCATCATACTTTACGAGAGGTCTTGACCTTGCGTGATAAAAAACGCCGTGTTTTATCTCATTTTAAATTGTTGTGGATTACATTTAAAAGCATCATGTGGAAAATTCAGTTCACACTCCAACCAAAAGTGATTGATAGAAAAAATCCAAATTTCATTACCTTTTGTACTTTCCAAGTGGGTTGTTTCCCACTGAGTTGACTTTTTGTACATGTTCACTGGTTTTAATTTTTTTAATTAAGTACAAATAAAGATTTTTTTGAAGCAGTTTTTTTCAAAAAAATTTTTCTAGTGAGTTGAAATCAACGAACTGTAGTTGAACCTTTGGATACTCCGTTTTTTTCGAAAAAAGAAATCTCCTTTACAGTTATTGATTTTCTTTCGGAAAAAAATCTTAAAAAAATCAATTGAAAGAAATAACTTTCTGAAAAACAAACTCAGTGTCATTCTCAGACTAAAAAAATCTTTTTTTCCCCTGTGATGGAAAAAAATTTCCGAAGTACTCATCAAAAAAAGTCAATCAGATCAAAAATTGTGCCCTATGAACGGCTTTTTTTCAAAAAAATTCTGATGGGAAAAAAATTTTTTTTTAATTGGAAGAATAAAAAGAATTCCTCTAACGCTTTCTTTTAAACTAAACTGAAACTTACCGCGATTTTTCTGAATCTTTGGATCAGAAAGCCAATAACTGGAAAGGTGTGATCTCTGAGCAGCTCAGAGAGGGCAGATAAAAAGATCTCGTGGGCGATTTGAGCTGTTCCGGCTAATTCCTGGTTTAACCAAGTATTCCACCAAAATCGAGGGAAGCGTCGTAAAGATCTTGATGATTTATTTGGTTGCAAAAATTATAGACTCGCCGCAATTAAAGAACATCAACGAACTTCAAAATTAGAATTCTCATTAAAATTTTTTTAAAGATGAAGTGTTTTAAAAAAAAAAGGCAAAACTTATTTTGATTTTTAAATGTTCCGTAGAGTGCCTGAAAAAAAAGGTTAAAATAACGAAAATCAGGAACGTTAGCTTGTTTTACCGAAAAATATTCAAAAGGAAAACTATTCCGAGAGATTTCTGATCGACGCTAAAAATAACTGCCGAGATGAATGCGAGACGCTGGCGGTACATTGACGAGCTCGCGAACATCTCGCTTTTTTCTGGGCGCGAGCTCGCATTCCTCTCGCAATTTGAAAATTTTGGAAATGCAAGATAAATGCTCGCGCCACAGTATAACAACCAACAAAGGGAATTAGTCCACCTAACGAGTAGACTTTGACACGGATCAAATATAATTAGAGTAAACCGGAAGGAATTGAGTTAAAGAAGGCGGAATTCGGGAGATCATTAAGTTTGACCCGTAGAGAATCAGTGGAGACGTTAAAATCTATTCTAGAGATTATTTTATACCATAAGGGAATAGTTTTGGAAAAAAAAAGTCTTTAGAAAACTGACCGGAAGTGCGAAGCCGAAGTGGATTCCTCTGTAAAGGGGACATGGAAAAGAAGCTTAAGTGATGCGATTTAGTAAATGGTCAGTGCCACAGATTATCTTATGAAGAGAGATGATGTCGTTTATACAACGACGAACAAAGAGGGGTTTAAATCAAAATTAGCTAAGACGGTCAGAATAAGAAGTGAAGCTCACGTTGCATCTGATAAAAACTTTTCTACTGAATTGACGTAACGATCAAAGACTGATCTAAAAAAAGTTTCAGAATCAACAGAGCGCGTTCTGATCCGGCGATTCACAACATGCCAATGCCGCCGCCGCCATTGATGCCCCATCACCCGCCTTTTCATCATCATCCTTTCATGGTTAGCCATTTTCAATCTTTCTGATAAAATTTTTAGAAGAGAAAAATTGTCGAGCACATTAATTTCAAGTTCACTTCATCGAACTCAAAGCTAACATGCGGTTCCTCGAACCGTTTTCGAAAAATAAAGTTTTTCAGGAAGGACTGACGATGAAAAAATAGTTCAAAAAAATGGGTTGACCTGTTTGAAAAATAATATCTGCTCATCATTTTCCGAAAAATGAATTCATAGGCATAGTTTTCTTGAAAGATAGCAAGAAGCAGGTTTCATTTCATTTCATTCGTTTCAAGTGTTTATTCGCCATTCCGCAATCTGCACGACAAATACAAAAAATAAAACATTAAAAAAATCAAATAAATCTAACAGCTGATCTGTGGAAACGACTGGAGGAAAAAAATTGTCTGAATAGACGGTGCTAACGTCCTAAGGTATTTAAGTTTGTTCTTTGTTTTTCAAGTAAAATTTTTATATTATTTAAATTTGTGAGTTATTCATATTTGAGTAAGAATGATAGGATTTAGATTTTACTAGGATCTAGCGATTTTAAAAAAACGACGTGTTTGATTCGAACCATGAGGTGAGCATAATCCGAAACTTGCCGATTTCGTATTCAATGATAGTTTCTCTCTCCAGTTGGTTCCAAATGGGTATGAGGCGATTCACTTCGAAAATATCTATGAATATGAACGCAACAAAGTCCTTAAAGAGTCTTCTATTCTATAACGTCGATAGCTTCAGTTTGGTTAATCTACTGCGATTGTCCGATTTCGGATATAATCTTTTGGTAAATCTTCTCTGAACTGATTCTAGTTGATTTATATCATTCAAATTCAGCGGGCATATTAGTTCGGATCCGCACTCAATAATAGGCAAGATTTTGGTTTTGTAGCATTTAAGAAAATTATTTTGAGAGAAATGAAAACAGCGAAATAAATTATTCATCATTTTCATACGTTTTTGTACTACTATATTCACATGGTGTCCCATTTTCAGATTACTCGTGAAGAAGAACCCCAGTTGTCTGGAATTTTGTTTAATGCCTAAAAGTTTGATTGGTAATTTTGTATGTACTTAGCTCTGACTTTTTTTCCAAACTGAGCTACCATGCACTTCTCAGGAGATATAGATAGTTGACGGCCCTCTAACCATTGGTATACATTTGTTCCGCCTTCTTGAAGTTCGGCCTTATGATTTTTAACATTACTAGATGAAAAAAATTTACAATTATCTGCGAACATGCTCAAGTTACAGTGTTATTAAAATAATTTCTGTCAAATCGTTGATGTATACTAAAAACATAAGTTCCTAATGAGCTTTCTTGCGGTACACTTGAAGATATTTTTATCTCATTCGAAACACTGTTATTGACTCTAACTTTTTGTTATCTATCTTTTAAAATTTCTTCGAACCAGTTGAGTATTATTCCACAAGTTGATAATTTTTCTATCTGTGATTTTTGAATTAAACTCATACGCAAATCAAGCTCTACAAAATGTCTTTTTTTCTTATAGACATCTTTTTCCTGAATGCCCTCACGGTTCTAAAACGACACTGCTCTAGAAACTGAAAAAGTCTTTTCAGCCAGGACCCAGTGGCATGCACCAAGGAATGCCGCCTCCCAACCAGCAAAACTCGCCGCTGCAGTCGCCGGTGATGAACAACCAAATGATGCATCCGATGTATGGGTTAGTGTCGGAACACAAGTTCCAGTCAATTGCTTCTTCTTGAGCTTTCCACCGCCGAACGGTTCGCCGTTGCAGTCTCCGATGGGCTCACCGCACGGATCCTCTCTGATGCTCGACGGCCGCACGACGCCCATGATGGAGCTCAGTCCGCCTGGAATGCACGATTTCCAAAACGAGGTTCATTCTCTTTCAATGACCGCATTCAGATGAGTAGGAAAGCTTGGAGTTTCATCAGCCACCTTGATCAGGTTGTCCACTCGAAATTGAGAGAAACTTCTTTTTCTATGAAATGGTAAAATAATCAAAAAATTGTTTTTTGTGGAAATTTCTAAATTATTCTCAAAAAAGGGTTCTCTAAAACTTTTCGTTTTTGAACCAAAATTCTTCACAAGGATTATGAGCAGTCTGAAGTGTCTTCCCGTTTTTTTTTCCTACAGTATATCTGAGAGAGGAAAAAGCGCAGGCGCTTCAGACTGTTTCAAATTGCTACGAACGACAATAGTGATTATCGAGGGAATATAGTCAATCCATCCAATCTTAAAAGCAGATAAGTGTGCGGGACGCGTAGCATGCGTGTACGCGGTTCTTAGCACGAGTTCAATTCAAGCGCCACCGACTATTTGAAAAGCTCTTTCATCGCTCTTTCTGTATCTATTTTCACTATCTTCTGATGCGAAAACGAGAAAACCAATTAAAAATGGAAAAACAAATGAAAAGAGCGATAAACGAGCTCTCCAAATAGTCGCTGGAGGTTGAATTGAACTCGTGGCAAGAACCGCTACGCGTCCCGCTCCCTTCTCCGCCTCCCTCGTCATTCAAGTCGGGAAAAATTGACTATAAGGGAAAAGAGATGATTTTTAACAGGCGGGAAGTCTTCCGAATCTGCAGCAGACGTCGAACGGCCATCCCGGACCTCAATACTACCACCAGACGGTCGGACAACGTCACAGTACGGCGACGTGTGGTCCCAGACTCGCTCCAGGTCCTGTCCTCACGCCCGAGTCTCAGTCGGCGCCTACGTCTCCGCACAACAGCCTCGACCCCAACGCCCAGCCTCAGTGGCCTACCAGGTTTCGTTCTTCTTAACTTATTTTCTGTTTTCTGTTTTATTTTTTTTTCTGGCTGTGCCCCAATTCGAGTACCAGCGTTTTGATTAAAGTGTGCATTTTTCGGTGGGGTTTCATAAAAACTGAACTCATTTGTGAAAATCATAGTTTTATATTGAGTAAAATCTGAAAGTCTGTAGAATAAGTTTTGATTCGAATGCAGGAAAGTGCTAAATGTTCTCATTGTAGAATATTTTTCGATAATGTGTTCAAATTTCGATTCCTTCACGAAATTTTATTAGGAGGGTTTCTCAAAATCACAACACACTTTTTTATGTTCAGCTGCCAAAATCATTGGCTTCGATGCAACAGACTGAATCCTCTGCTTTTATTATATTCTGTAGTGAAAGGCTATGATCTTTTGATGACAAAAAGTTGAATCCTCAGTTAGTTTATCGATTTTTTCCGTAATGGAATGAGTTTTCCTCCATTTTTTTTTAGTCTTTCCTATTGAATTTTTTGGCTGTTAAAAGTTCATTTCGAGACATTTTGTGGCCAGCAGCTTGGCGAGCAGTCTCTGAACATGTATATCATCTTTTGCTTGCTCGACTTGTTTAAAAGACAACTTTCGCAGGACGTTTTCGAACTCGCCAGAGTCGTTGGACATCCCGAAGTTGGTGCTGACGAACGCCGAAGGAGCTCCGGGACAGCAACTCGAGTGCTTCAACGACCTGCAGCACCTGACGCTCGACGCCAACGACATGAACCTTCTGTGCAACGGCGATGCTCAGCCCGACCTCCACGAACCTCAGTTGCTTCAAAACTGACATTTGCGTTTTTCAAAATCGTGCCCAGTTCCGAATTCTCAGGATAACCTTCTAGATTGTTTTGGAATGCTTCCAACTGATGGATAATTTTTATGTTGATCCGAAACCTTTCACGACATTTGCAGCCATGCGAGCCTACCTCGAGCCGACTTCTTTCCGCCTCACACTTCCCTGCTATCTTTCCCATAAACCTCAACAAAAATTGCTCTCTGAGACTGTTTCCTACTCCAATTCTCTTTATTTTCAGTCCTTTGACTACATAATACTCCAAATATTCTATGAGTTTTCAAAAAATCAATCCTAGGCGTTATTCACTTACCCTGTCCCTTTTATATTTTAATCAGTGTCGATCCTCAGTTGAAAGACAAATATCCGAAGTTTCGCTTTTTATTTGAAAACTTTCGTTAATTTCAAAAGATAGTGACAGATGACTGACTCGAATTTCAAACACTCGGACAAAGTCGGAAAGATGGATAACCGTTAAAAGAAAGAGGCTAAAAAAAAAGCCGCAAAACGACAGCGAGAGTCCTTATTATCGAGCCTCTCATTTTTTCTGGCCTTTGTCACTGGTGAATCGAGAGGCAGATACAAGTAGGTACCGGGTAGCAACTCAAGTCAATCGGCTTATCGTAATCGGTGGTCGTTTGTATGCGACGGGGTACTATCTCTATGGTACCTGGATAGTACCTGATCGGTATCTGGATGCTACCAGGTAGGTACCCGAAAATCGCGATTGCTAGTGGCTTGCACATCGGTCGTTTATATAGCATTAGTGTTTTTTTACACCTTCCCAAGCTTTCTAGGGTCTTATTGGATAAAGCTGAAATAACAAATAACGACCCGGGAAGCAATTCCAGACATCCCGGTAGCAATCGCGAATGTCAAGTAGCTACTTGCATCGACCTCCGGCCCGGGTACCATAGAGGTAGTACCTGGTCGCATACAAACGACCATCGATTACCATACGCCGATTGACTTTTTAAAAAGTTGCTACCCGGTAGCTATTTGTATCGACTTCCCGAAGAAACGTTTCTATGTTTTTTCAACCCTTTCTGACTTTGCCTATGCATGCTCTAACTGTTTTCAAAATAAATCTTAAATCTTACTCAAAATGAATCAGGGACGAACCATTTGATTAAAGAGATATTTTTGTTACCTTTGAAACGTTCTGTCTATTCAAACTTTCATGTATTTCATTGAAATTTTGAAATTAATGCCGCTCGTATGAATAAAAGACCAGCGAAAATTCGAACATACCGCTAGGGAACTTTCCGACGGAGAAGTTTCCGACTTTTTTTCTCGATAAAATTTTCGTTTTGAATGTTCCTATATAAAGTAGGTAGTTGACTCTTGATTAAAACACAAAGAAATAAGAAATTAAGTAAATAGATGGTTTATGAACCGGAAAAAAACAAGGGAAAAAAGTCGGAAAGGGATTCGTCCTATAGTTCCCTAGAGATATGAAAAAATCGGAGGAGTCGCCGGCCTTTTTTTTCATACCACCTTTATAAGTTTGCCTATGTTTCTTGTTTGTTAGGAATAATCGATGTTGTTTTGTTTTCGATCGGTTCGACGGAGCTATACTGAGAGCGCACAGCATCAAACCGTCTCAGAAAAAAAAAAATCGAAAGTGTAAATAATTTTGAAAATTTATCTTTTGCTCGCGAAAAATGAACGTTCATTATATATATTCGCAACAGACAAGTTTGAAAACTTCAGAAGCAACGAAAAAAAAAAACAATAACAAAAAACGATGAATTCAACAACATATGTGGAAAAAGGCAGTAAATGTGAAGGATAAAAAAAAGAAGTTAAATAAAAAAGTATATGGAACATCAAAGCAACGATGAAAACAAAAAGAATGTCACCAAAAAAGGTGAGGTGCGACCCGTTAATAGAAAGAAAGAAGTGAAAAAAAAAATAATCATTCCAATATCTGCATCTACTCGATTTTTTGTTCAAGGGCATCATCTTGAAGCTCAAGGCTAACTTCAACCGCCGAGATCTGAGGCTCGCCAAAAACGTCATCCATCTGATCTTGAACATCGGACTTCTGCAGAGAGATCATGTTAAGAACTCTTTCAAATAATTTCACCGTAGACATCACAAATACAAATTTCTAAAATCAATAGTTACACACTTGCTTCAACGTATCTAAAAGAAGAAAAAATATGGCCACTCAAACGTTTGGAAGCACTTGTTGATAAATCTTTTATAGCAAAAAAAACAAAAAAAAATTTAAATTAAACTCCTTCAAGCCTGAGTTACAAACTAGGTGGTATAAAAATACAAATAAGTGACATTTCCGAACGGCGGCATTTCTCTTATTACTATGGTTTCCGACTGCGAAGTTTCCGACTTTTTTTCTCGATAAACTCTTCGTTTTGAAAAAGTAGTTGATTCATGATTAAACCACAAAAATAAATGTTGATAGATCTTTTATAAAACGAAAAAAATAAAAAGGGAAAAAAATCGGAAAGGGATTTGTCGGAAACTTTGCAGACAGAAAGTTTCAGGCGATATGACAAAATCCGAAAAAAATCGCTGTTCGAAAAATTCGCCGGTTTTTTTCATATCACCACAAATTCATTGAGACTGGTTTGAGTTAATGTTACTAAGGTTAACTAACCAATCGATGAAAAGATGAAAAAAACCTATATATTTTACTGACTCGAGTTCATTAAGCTTTTTCTAAAAAATATTGATCTTTTTTTCTGTATTAGGCGCAGACTTGTTCTGCGAAATTTGTGTTATCTCTTTTTTTTCAGCGATTGGATGTTCAAGTCACAGTGACTCTTGGAGTGATAAAAGTAAGAAAGACAAACGAAGTTGGTCTTGCTGGCGGCGACGATCATCTCGAGGGCGCCGATCGATTTTGTCAGCATCTTCTGTACTTCGAACTCCCGCTTGACGGCCTGCTGCAGACGCAGCATCTGTCTCTGAACTTCCTTTTCCAATGGCTCCTCAGCGTACACCTCTGCAAATTTTTCGATTATACCGTTTTTTTTCAGAAATTTATCAAATTTTTTGAGGGGAGACATCATGCGAATCAGTGACTGATTATTTTTTTGGGATGAAAAGCAGGAGATTGGAGCAAAATTATATTTTAAAGCATGGCACAACCCCGAAAAATCGCAACAAACCGAAAAATGCTTCGGCTACACGTCGCAAGGTGTCGAAATACTCCTCTTTGAACATATTGGTCGTCAGGAATCTGAACATATTCAATGAAAGAACTTTTAAACAATCCAAACATTACTTTAGAAGGTTCTTCTGAACAATTGGCTCTTGGCCGGCGAGAGCTCTTTTCATCGCGTTTCGGACCAAAATTATTCTCAAGTAAGCAACCGCGCTTGGATCCAAAGAAGATGATAGGTTGCCAGAAAATCAAAGTTCGAACGGAGAGAAAAACTTTAACTCACTTTTGAACATGCGACGAACCGCAGCAGCGTGTTGGAAGCCCATGAGGAGACGATCGACTCGCGGCAAGTTCAGCTGAGATCCAATTATGGAAAAATTTATCGACCCTCAGGTGCGCACCTTGTCTTCCGACTTGGCCACCACCTCGACTTTCTCCTTCGGCTGTCCTTTTTCTCGAAGTTTCACCGCCGGCGCACTGGTCCTGACCAAGGCTTTCTTGTTCGTCGCTGCAGCGTGAGCCAATACTTCCTGCAGCAGTCCTCTCTATCTCTCGATAATTTAATTTCATCAAAAATAAGGGAAAGGTGTAGTTTTCTAAGAACGATCTACTCTTTGATGCAGTCAAACAGAACTACCTGATAACTGCATAAGACAAACGTAAAAATCTTTTTACAAAAATTGAGTAGAGTGAAATTAAACGGAATTCAACTCAATGAGCAAAATTAACATAATCTTTTTGGTAAGTCGTACTAGGGCATCTTTTTGAATGATATTCATTTTTCCATAATGATGAGAAAAAGACACTTTCCCATACCAAATTACAAAGTTTATGAAGTTTTCAAACCTGAAGATATCGATCAAGATTTCTTTGTTTTTTTTTACTTTTTTTTTCTTAAGTACTCTCTATCTTTCTGTTTTTTTCTGTGCAAGTATGATACCTTCTTCAGTTTTGCCCGTTGATAGATTCCAAGCAAGTTGCCCATTCCAACGGCCATCGATTCATCGTCCGGCGAAACGTCTAACGCAAGGACTGGAGACGGCATCGACATCGAGTGGATCTGTCGGAGAGAAGTTGCTCCGAAGAAAAAAAGGATACCGACCAGGGAATAGTTGGTCGTTCTGAAGAAGTTGACGCGTCTGTCGATTCCGGCCGTGACGAGACAAGTCCCGTTTTTCGCCAGACACAATGACGTCACTGTCTTGTAGTGGGCCTGCAGTGCCGCCAGCTGCCGTCCACCTGCTGTCAAGTCCCAAATCCTGCAAGCTGAGGGTTTGAACAAAGTTCTAAACTCCTTTCCCCGTTCCAACTGTTTATTTAAACTTCCTCTCTAATTCTTTTGTCGTGAGGAGTATCACTTATGAATTTTCTGAATCTCATTTCTAGGCTGCCTCTCAAAACATACTATCATCACAATTTCTTGCAATATTAGCGACACTATTCAATAGGTGGTTGTTTCTTTTCTCATCTTTATGAATTAATTACAGACGTCTGCGATACCTGAGTTGAAAATCATTTGTGACTGATAAACGAAAAACAAACTTGACAATGTTACCAGCAGCTGTGGCGATGAGCTGGTCGCCCGGAAGGAAAATAGCCGCTTCGACAGGTTGTTCGCAGTTCAACTCCAAGCCTTTTTCTTGGCTTCTCGTGTCCCATATCCGCACCTGAAATTGTTTTAGTTGCAACCTCACCTTTTAACTAACGAGGAAACACATCATTTCAAAATATGAAGACCCAATAATTAATTTTCCATTTTTTTTTGGTTCATCAAAGAAATTGACAAGCTCTAATATAGAAGAAACAAACAGACCATGTGATCGTACCCGCCAGTCAAGACGACGTTGTCGTTCAACGTCGCGACGGCGCCACATCGGACAGCGTCCTCGTGTGCCTGGAGCTCCCAGATCGGCTTGGCGTTCACGCTGAAATTTTTCGAATTTTTCGGCATAAAAGACTCGTCGAAACCCATAGGCAGTGTCGGCCACGTCGTACTGCTTCAGAAACCCTTCATCGTTCATGGCGAAAATTGTGTCACCGCGAGTGGAAAACCGCACACAACGGGTATTTGACTGACTGGCTTGCATTACTCGAAGAGGCGCCTTGAAAGTCACAATGTCGATTTTTGATAACTTGAAACAAGTCAGAAAAAAAAAACCTCAGAAAGCTTTGAATGAAGTTTACTTGCCGAAAGCGCACAAAAAATTATTAGTAAAAATGAAAAACTGCTCTTTTTGTTGGAAATTTAAGAGTGTAGAAATATGCCGTTTGGGAACTTATGAAAATTATAGAATCCTGTTTTTAAAATCAAAGCTTACTTTTGAACTGCCTGTTGTGTTTTCGACGTCGAAAATGCGAACTTTTCCTTCTTCTCCACCGATAGCTGAAAAAAAAAAGTATTATTCCTCGATAAAGCGCCTATCAACCAAGCAAGCGGCCATCAGTGCGGAAGTCGATGGAAAAGACGGCCTTTTTGAATCTGAATCATTCAGGGATGAATAGATTCTTCGAAAAAAAAAACCTGCTGAATAAGTTCATAGGTTCGCAGAGTTGGCGATTGTACAGCGTTAACCGAACAGAACTTGTGCAGGCTACGTGGAACGGCTTCTTCGGCGACACCTTCACGGCGCTCACCGTGCTCGGCTCTTGGAACACCGCCAGTTGCTACAAATATAGTTTTTATTGGTTCATGAATGGCAAAGTATAAAAGCATCGAACAATTTGGAAACGAAAAACCTGCAGTCTTTTCCAATAAATGACGTCTTCGTCGACAATCACAGCGTCCTGCTTCCTAGAAAGATATTTCTCGGCTGGGAAATACGTTGAAGTCATCTAAAAATTGCTTTTAGTTTGGACAATAAACACTTATTTTCAACGAAGGTTTTTCACACGCTTCTAGGTTTACGTGGTTTTTTTTTCTGTTCAAAGTTTTGAAGCTTGTTGGTTAATTTTTTCAAAACAAACTTTTGACGATAAATTCTCATCTGGACGATTTAGATTGCATTCGGTTTTTGAACACAAAAAAGATCATTCAAATTTAAAAAAGATAAGATACTCGCAGAACGAACACTTTCAAGAAAGTACAGAGCACACAACAGCAATGAAAACTTCATTTTCTAAAATAGAAAAAGGTGAATGATCCCGTACTCCAGAAAAAAGGAGCTGAATCGAATACCTCAACATCGAAAAAGAAATCAAAAACAACGAAAAAACAACAACAATAACAACTATGAGCTCTTTCTCAACAAATCCAATGCAGCCAACTCGGCGGCGTGAAGAGCGTCGGCTGAGAAAGTCGAAGACTTCGCTTGGACGTCTTCTTCGTCTGAAAACTCTTTCGATTTCGGAAGCGAAAACAGCTGTACCCGAAGGCGACTCCTCTTGTCGGTAGCGCTTGCGGACCTCGTCCGGATCCGGCAGCCAGTCGAGGTCAGGTCCTTCGCCATCGCTATCCTCCTCCATATCTTCAGCTTTTCTGAAAAGAAAGAACGCACTTCATTCCGGATCACTGGATAAAACCTTTTTGCTGCCTTTTTGGCCAGCTTGTCGGCTTTTCTTTTCTGTCGCAGTTCTCGGAAACGACGACGGTCCTCCTAAAAATGTGACCAGTTTAAACCGGATAGCAAACTAAGAAACCTTATCAGCCATTTTCAGTTCCTGTTTGGCTTCTTCCAAATCGAGCCCCTGTGAACGAATTGCGCCGGGGAGAGGCTCCTGAGCAGTAGAGGTGCTCGGTTCGCGAGCCCCGTCGTCTTCTGAGTCCGACTCAAACTTCGTCTTCGCGTTCACCTTGATGTTCTTCTTGATGATCTTCTTGGCCGCCTGCTGTTTTGTCAGCGGCTTGCGTATAAGTGTTCCCCGTTTCAGCAAAATCTTCTCATCGCCTTCAATCTGCTTCGTCTGCAGCACCTCCTCACTCGCGCAAACAGTTTCCACGTTGAAAACGTCTTTCTTTTTAATCGTCAGTAAATCCTCATCAGCTTCGTTTAAGTCGTCTGTCGCGAACTGTCCTATCAATGACTGAAAAAAGAGAAAAATTATCATCTGATCCTTTTTTCGATTCCAAACTTCATATTTATCCTTTGAACCAGCATCGCTCTCTTCATCTTCGTCTTTCTTCACTTCTCTTTTGGATTTTTTCTGAACGGATCCGTCCGTCTCAACTTTATTCTGTACAAACGGATGCATGGAAACATTGGGCGCTATAGAAAATGTTCACCTTGGACTGTTTTTTGTTGAGAAAACGCACGCGAGGTACGGACACTAGACCGTAAGAGTCTGCTAGAGCAGCGGCGTCGATAGTATTGACGTCAAAAACTTTTTTATCTTTCATCATGAAAACTGCTCGCAGATACGCCACCACGCTCTCAAAAGCTCATTCTTCCAAAATGACTTATTTTTCTTGGCAAACCTTCTGGGCGTAGTCTTTGATTTCCTGAGATTGAGCAAGGAGGCTTCTCAGCTTCACACGGATGTCGGTCAACAGTTTGGGGTCGATCCTGAAAAGACAACGTAGTGGTTCAGAGGCGTGTGGAATGGGCTGACGCTAGTTCTTCAATTGGAATTTTTTGAGTCTGCAGCTTGTCCAACATTCCATCGCGCTGAGACTCGGTCACAAAAAGCACGGCCTCGCCTTTTTCGTTCATTCGAGCGCTTCTTCCCACTCTGAAAAGTCGTGAAGGTATGAAATAGAAAAGAAACGAGGGTACCGGTGAATGTAGTCGTCAACCGTCGGTGGACAGTCCACCTGAATCACCCAGTCGACGCGGTCGAAGTCAAGTCCGCGACTCGCTACGTCGGTGGCAATCATCACGGCTGCCTTCAACAGTTGCCCTAATTAAAGTTATGGGAAAGATAAAACCTTCCGAGAGTCGAACTTTTGAAAAACATCGATTCGTTTCTTCTGATTCATTGTCCCCCAGAGGCCCAATACAGATACACCAGGACGCAGTTGACATATCGCGTCCGTTAAAAACCGCGCCTGTGATTCATCATAAGATTAGACCGCAAAATAGAAATTATCGTGAATTTTTCGGTATCACGTTTGTAGAAAAAGATATACATACAGAAAACCATCAAATATTTTCTGAACCAAATTATATATGAACGATATTGCATGAAAACTCGATAAAAGTCATAAACTGTTTTCTTTCCACGCCATCAGTTTCTCTTTCCAATCAGAATAACCGAGTGCGATAAAGTTGGGAGATGTCTCCTAGTTTTTGACGCCGATACAAATTTTAGCGTCAGACTGAGTTGAACGATTTTTTTGTTGGTTGATTGTTGAGAGTTAATTCTTTAGAAAAAAAACAACAATTTCTATTTTTCATCTATTTTCACGCAATCGGTATTGTCTCCTACACATCTAAATTCTTGAAGTTTTTTTTTGAAATCCGTTTAAACATATATAACAAAAAGCATAGACAACTGAACCTGCTTACAGCTAGAGACAAAAACAAGGCTTTTTTTCTTCTTGTGAGCCACGATGAAAGACCACAAGGTGTTGAGCTTCTCTTGCTCTTCGAGGACAATGAACGACTGCTTCAAATTGTCCGGAGTCGCCTGCGCCGCTTTCTCATGCACTGAAACCAGAACTGGGTCCTGAAAATAATTTTCAAATCATTTTCCGCTTTCGAAAAAAAAACCTTAGTGCAAACTCGGCTCAAATCCTTCACGTTGCGCGTTTGAGTTGCCGAGAAAAGCAAAGTTTGACGGTCCCTCGGCAAATTACTCGTGATCGCGTTCAACTGAAAACCGAAAAGATGTAAAAAAAAAGGTGTTATGAAAAAAAGACAAGCAAAATTCGAACGCCGACTTTTCCGATTTTTTCGCATCGCTAGGGAACTTTCCGACGGCACACCTTTCCACCGAAATTTTTTTCAACTTTTTTTCTCGATAAACTCTTCGTTTTAAATCTTTCTATATAAAGTAGACAAGTTATTCATGATTGAAACACAAATAAATAGAAAAAAAAGGTTAACAGATATTTTATAAACCGAAAAATATGAGGGAAAAAAGTCGGAAAGGAATTGGCGCCTAAATTTCGAAAAAAATTTTTTTTTGGCTTTTTTTCATACCACTTTGAAAAAGATCGCTAGTGAACTTTCCGACGGCCACCTTTCCGACAAATCTTTTTCCGACATTTTTTCCTTATATTTTTCGGTTTATTAAACATCTATTAACATTTTTTTTTTCCTATTTCTTTGTGTTTTGACAATGAATAAATTACCTAATTTATATAGGAAGATTCAAAACGAAGAGTTTATCGAGAAAAAAAGTCGGAAAAAAAGATTCGGCGGAAAGGTGGCCGTCGGAAAGTTCATACCACCGTAAAAAAAAACAGTTTCTCTGCAAAAACAAAGTCTCTTTATTCTCTATGTTAACCCTTGCAGCGAAAAAAGATCTTAATGATTTCTAGCAAACTGCTTGTTCAATAAATGTTTTACCTGCGTCAGAATGTTTTGCTTTTTTTATCTTTTAAAACTGCGGAAAAGCACGTTTAACAGTGAAACAAGTTTTTGAAAAATTTCATATGTGCGAAAGCAAATAGAACTTGCGAAAAAAAATTCAAATGAAAAATGAAGGACCTGAAACTACTCGCTTTTATGGTAATTTATCGACAGGAAAAGTCAATATTTTCCTACTTAAAGGCGATACAAAATTATTGACAAAGCTGAAGTGTTGCGAACATACGCGACGCGGCTTTCGGCTTGAAATCGAAGTCAAAATTAACAAAAGTTGTGTTTCTTTTATTTCACGATAAATATTTCATTTTTTAACAATAAAATTTTTTTCTGCCGATATCGTTTGCCCTCAAATGCCCCGAAACAATACCTCTTTGACAATTTTCACACATAACCTTCTTATTAGGAATTCGATTGTATCCTTTTAACAAGAAGGCTTCAATTGCAGTAATAAGAGAAATTAGAAGAAAGAGAAGCTGTTAAACCTGCTGAGCGAAACCCATGTCGAGCATTCGGTCCGCCTCGTCGAGGACCAGCATCTGAAGACTGTCGCAAACAAGGCGCTCGTTCTCGTCCATGTGCTGGAGCAATCGTCCTGGAGTGCACACTACGATGTTCACCGAGCCGACGCGACTTTTTTCGTACTCCACGTCGCTTCCTTCAACCGTCACTTCGTTTATAGGAAGTATGCGTGTGCAAGTACAATACTCAATTAGTCAGAAGGCGAAGTTAACTTACAGGAAATCAGAGCAAAAAAATAATATAAAAATAGGTGTTTCAAGCACGGCTAGATAATTCTACACATGTAAAAGTGAGTTTACTCACAGGGAGACAACAGTCCCTCAATTACAAAAGAAAACTCGGAAGCAAGGTTTTGAGAAATGACCTGCATGTGTGAGAAATGATCTGTATGTGACAATGTCACTGGAAAGTAGCGATCTAGAATTATTCGAGTTTTTCGCTTTCACGAAAAGCCGTATTTCTGAACCACAACGAAGAGAATAGATAGTATGCCCAGATTTTCTATGTCAACTCGGCCCCATGGCTACAAAAACTTCTGCGTCAATGTTTCATCGCGCGTGACGATGATTCTTTAATAGTGCTGCATTTATTTTCTAGCTTTAGATCATTAAAGATCAAAATTGTCTCGTGCGAAAGTTAATCGACACAAAAAGGTACTGTGCCAGCGGGCGCGGAGTTAACGGCTTGACATTCAGAATCTCAACAGACTATACCTCCAATAAGAAGAGCACAAGAGAGGTCATGATTCTTGCCGACGGCATTAAATGTCGAAAAAGTCTGAAGAGCGAGTTCGCGAGTCGGCGAAATCACCAAAGCCCCCAGTCCGTACTGCGACTGCCAGCGCGCCTTCCATAGACATTCCAGTACCTGTAACTTGCTATTTAACCATGTACATAGTTCAAATGAAAAAAAGCACGTTGGGTCTTCAAACTAGGCTCAAGGACAACAAACTCTCCGGTAAAATCATTCTAAAAACGCAAAACTTAAAGGGAAACTCTCAAATCATTTATAGAACTCTACTCTTCAAAATTTATGCGTATCATATGACACAGCCGAAAATGCTTTCTTGAATGTGACTTCTTCTATAAGTAATTAATGGTTACTTCAAAAAAATAAGTCTTTTAAATACAGAGACTGGGCAAGAGAATGAATTATAAAACCCAAAAAAAAAAAAAAAAAAAGCTCGGAACATACTTTTGCGAAAACAGTATCATTACGAGCATATATGGGATGAGCATGACTGGCGACAGCCTTTTATCTAGTTAAAGGTAGACGCCGGAGGAGGTGAAAGTAATTGTTTTTTTTTCCCGATAACTTTTAACTAACTAGTAAGAAAAAGAATCGCTTCAGGCTATTAACTGGACCTTGAAAAATGAGCAGTTATTATATTTTCTATCTTATTTTCATTGTTATTTTCGGATCAGCTGCATAGATTTAGTGTAGTTCGACCTTCCAATGTCAACCTTGAAGCACTGAGGTAGACTGGAGCGCGCCAGTGTCAGGTACCAAGTCACTCTCTGGAGCCTATTCACCCACTAGTTGATATTGAAAGGTCTTACTAGACTAATGCGATGGTGCTGAATCCGAAAATAAAAAGCGTTTTTTTGATCATTTTTAACTAAAAAAAAAGTCGCTTCTGCCAATCAATCGAACTTTAAAAAGGAAGTCTTGATTTTTTTATACATGAATGTTTGATTTTTTTACGGCTTTTGCCAGCTCCCACCCCCTATTTTCTCGTTTCTTTGCCAAGTCCAATCCCTTTTTTAGGACACACCGAGACTATCCTATGTATGCTTACGAAAGAGATAATTATACTTAACATCCCAGAGACCTCTGGAAATTTGTGAAAATTTTTGGCAAACTAGGAGAAGGTCTTGAAGTTAAAAAAAAAATGCAAAACGTCTCGCTTATCGATCAGAGACACCTCGAAGTCAGAAAAAACAATTTTGCACCCTTTTTTTTTATCGCGTCAGGACCCTTTTTTCGATGGCTCAAGCTAGCCGTGAGTCAGCTATATGTTCTCGTTGTTGTGGCCTAGAATCGATCACTATCCTATTGCCCTTTTCTCTTGTATTACTTTAAATACATAATTTATATCGTATGCAGTGAATAAACCTATTCTTATCATTATTATTGTTATTATCACTGACCGGGATGACAAGCGCGAGAGTTTTCCCACTTCCAGTTTTGGCAGCTCCGACGACATCTGCACCGCTGAGAGAGTAAACGAGAGAGTCGCGCTGGATTTCCGTTGGTTCGAGGTACTCGCATTCCCGGAGGCCTTCTAGAGTCCTCCAAGACAGCGGGAAGTCGTCGAACTTTTTCAATGTCGCCGAGTTTCTCTGGGTCAAACTTCAATGTTGAGGTTATTCACCAGATCAGCTTGATAATTATAAAAAGGCCTCCTATTTTCTTGTAGAATTATCCTAAATCTATACCAACAGCAGACTGGTGAACCAAAAAATCAATAATTGATTCAAATGTTTGGTTTTATATCAACTTTTGACGGTTTAAGATTATTCAACCATTTTGGCAAACTGAAAAATGATCATCAAAATTTGCAAATGACTCAATCTTGCTCTTCGAAAATCCAATTAAGAGATAACCTTTGATGAAGTCTTAAATGCAAAAAAAACCTACAGGAGGAAATACACTTTTGAGAGCATTTGCGATATTAAGTCTTATATAATTTCCAGACATAATCATTTACTAAAATTCCTGGAAAAGCATCAGGTTCTTCGGTACTTTCCGGTCAAAGAAAGTGTAAAAAATAACTTTGAGCAATTCCTCGTAACGAGAGTCGAGCTCTTCCAGAGACTTCTGCTCGAGGTCCTTTCGTTCCAATTTTTTTTTCTGCTTCACCCGCTTGGCACTTAATTTGTCGTTCTTCATGGATCCTCGATTTGAACGGGAAAATCTGTTCGTGTGCGGCATTCTGAAAACTAATCTGGCTAAAACTAATCCACTATAAAATCTGTCTATTCAAACTAGAGAAAAATTTTGAGCCTAACTTATGGAAAATAACCACAGAAAGCTTTCTATGCTGTTTTCTCTTTTAACGAAATAAAAATAGATATTCAAGACTGAAGACTCAAAACTTATTTTTTCAAAAACGATTCGAGCCTCTAATAACAATATTTATCAACAGAACAAATAACAAGTCAAGTTCGTCGGAAATGTGCCATATATGAAAACACCAAGAAAAGGAAGCATACCGGAGAAGATAGGAAAATCAGCCCTTCCTGAATTACTGATTTCTAAAGGATAAAGCATCAGATGCATCTGGGTATTTTCCCTATCTTCACCTCTAAACATAAACCAAGGAATCCAAGTTTTCAGAGACTTCAGGAACAGAATTATTTCCGAAAATTACTCGAATATGATAGAAAAGAAGAGAAAAAGAAGAACAGAGCAGGATAGAGTTTCTTATTAAAAGTCGTATTTGAATTCGGAGTAGTCGTTGTCGAATTCTTGCACTCTGACGTAACCATCTTCTCCTCCTGTCGCAATGATGTCGCCTGCCGGATGCCACGCCATAGAGTTGATCGGACCGAAATGTCCCTTAAAAATAAATTAATTAATCATCGACTTAGTTTATAACGACCTTGAATCTGGCGAACTCTTCTTCAAACACCATGTGATATATTTTTGCCTCAAAGTGTCCAGCGGATACAGAAGTCTGCGTGACGGTCATCGCGTCTTCTCCTCCTCCCAAGCAAATGTGGTCTCTGTTGGGCGATGCGCACGCTGAATTCACCGGTCGCTCTGACCTGAAAAGTGAATTTCACTAAGGTTCAATTTTGAAAGACAAGTTGTTTCTTGTTATAAAAATTCGACTAATAGAATAAAGAGAGGTCAATTTTAATGATAGAAAATGCGTAAAGAGAGATTGCATTTTCTTTTGCACTCGAACACCTACTTGTACTGCTTGAGACGGTTCAAATTGTTGACGTCCAAAAGAGCCGCTGTCTTGTCACGAGAAGCTGAGACGATGAAAAGCATGTTTGGTGCCAATTGCAGATCTTGAATACTATACTGAAACGAATCAAAAATTATGTTTGAATATGCTATTTAAACTGACACGGTGGGTGTTCTCGTTAGCGTTCTTATGAGTTGAGGAGTTTCTCAAATCATACTGAAGCATGAGTCCAGACTCGAAACCAATAGTAACCTTGAACGTTTTTTTTTCGTTTTTTTTCTAAAGTTCAGAGTAACTCACTTCTTCGTCAAGATTGCTGAAAATACTTGTGTTTGCCGATACGTCAAATTGAGCGCAAAAAGCAGGTTCATTGGCTTCAGACATTTGAGCGGGGTCGCGAATATCTCGAACTTGCAGCGTTGAAAGGTTCTTGGTCATCTTGAGAGTCGTATAAGATATCAGGTTACCTCAAAATAAATTATAAATTACTTTACTTTCGGGGAAAAAACCAGAATAGGAGAAATTGCAGGACTTGGCGGGCGTTGGAGTATTAATAGTCGCCAGACAAACACCTTTTTCACAGTCCCAAAGCTGAAGAAAAAGTCAGACGTCTTCGAAGAGAAATATTTAAAAACCTTGACAGAGTTATCAGCAGCTGCTGAAACAAGAGAACTTGTATCCCAGGAAACGTCGATATCCCATACAGCTCCATTATGGCCATCGTAGGACCCTTCAAAAGCATAAATGAAGAGAAAAACTTGAAAACCTTACCAATTCTTTCTCCATTCTCCGTATACCAAACGCAAGGTTTCTTGTCTTTAGCTGCCGAGAAAAGCAAATCGCCTTCACGATTGAAGCGGACCCTCGTGAGGGCACGCTCATGACCTTTCAAAGAGAGCGGGCGCATTCTGTGAAAAAAGGCAAATAACTTTCATCTTCAGTTTTAATTGAGAATAAAGTATATTTTCCTCACAAAAAAAGGGCTCATGCAATCTCAAAAAAAGAAAAATTGAACACGGAATTAAAAAATATTCAATTGATGAAATTAAGAAGACTCGAAAGTTTTAAGATTATCAACTCTTTTAAAAAACAGTAAGAAAGCGCAAAAACGCTCTTGTGGCGTGTTCAACGGAGAAAAGCAGGCTCGTGCGTCAGGCCGGGCGGCCCGGGCCGGCCTGGGCTTTGGGCCTACAATTTGAAAAAAAGCCTGCGTGGGCTCGGGCCAGGCCGGGCTTTGAAAGAAATCTTAAATTTCATTTTGATAGAATTTCACGGAAAAATTATTTTTACTTGTTGAATCGTAGTTTCTAATAACTCTATGAGGAAAAATAAGCAAAAATACCACTTTTCTCGAAAAAAAAAGCGAAAAATTCGACTTGAAGAGAATTTGAAATCTTTGGGCCGGCGCGGCCATTTTTTCTAAAGACCTCCCTAGGACCGGGCCGGGGAGCCGAGAGGTTGACGGGGCGGCCCTCGCACAAGACTGGAGAAAAGAAAAATGCTCCAAAACGAAAAATCGTGTTCATCGGCGCGCCAAAGTTGCTTCAAAACAGTACTAATTTTTGTTTTGGAGCAATTTTTTGCGTTTCGAAGCAATTTACGTTTTGTCCGATGAACACTCCGTTGAAAATACCGAAAACCAAGGAAAAGAGCTAGCTCAAAATTGGGATTCTGAGAATGTCATGTATTTCTGAGCGACGGTGTAAAACACGCGTCTCGGCTACAGTAAGTGCATAAATAAAACACTCAGGCACTGGTGGGAGACGCGCCGGGTTTCTGGCTCTTATTTTTGCCTTTTTAGTGAGTAAAACTTTTCAAAAATAGTTTGCTGGTATTTTTATAATACTTATTAGTATGGATGCTCACTTTTAAAACCGGTTTCGAGCACATTTATGCAAGTTTTTGAAGAACCATATTTAAATTAAAAAATGGATATCGTTGATTTTTATGTGTCGAATTATATTTTAACTAAGTATTATGATGAGAGGAAACGCATGAAAATGAATAAAAGCCGAGCTTAAATAGACAAAAAAGGTAAGAAATGAGCGGGGCGCGTCCTTGCCTGAAGCGCTGCGCGCGCGCCACCAGTGCTTGAGTACCCATACGTTTCTCGATTTAATTCGTTGCGCAATCGCAGCTGCAGCTTGATGGCGTGTTCATCGGACAAAACAAAAATTGCTTCTAGACGCATAAAAAAATTGATACAAACAAAAATTATTACTATTTTGGAGCAACTTTAGCGCGCCGATGAACACGATTTTTCGTTTTGAAACATGTTCCGTTTTTCCGATGAACACGCCATAATTATTGCAATCCGTGGCTGCTATTTTACCGATTTATTTCTTATAAACGGGGAAAAAGCAGAAATTCATTAGAAACAAAAAGTATATAGCTTCAAAAAGGTGGTATGAAAAAAAACCAGCGAAAATTCAAAAGGCGACTTTTTGGTTTTTTCATATCGCTAGGGAGCTTTCTGACGGCCACCTTTCCGACGAAATTTTTTCAACTTTTTTTCTCGATAAACTCTTCGTTTTAAATCTTTCTATATAAAGTAGACAAGTTATTCATGATTGAAACACAAATAAGTAGGAAGAAAAGGTTAATAGATGTTTTATAAACCGAAAAATATAAGGGAAAAAAAGTCGGAAAGGAATTCGTCGGAAAATTGGCCGTCGGAAAGTTCCCTAGCGATACGAAAAAATCGGAAAAGTCGTCGTTCTAAAATTCGCTGACTTTTTTTTCATACCACCTTGAAAAAGACTGGTACAATACATATACACTTGTTGAGACACCAGGCCTGCATGAGAGGCTCCAAGTTATAAAGGAGCATCACCTGTAAGCGATACCTATAATCTTTTAAAGTTTCGCGATTCCGAAAAGCTTTTTTTTTCATCTCGAATTTTGATTTTAGTTCCGCCCTCTTTCAGTTCACTCATCATATCAATAGTTAAGCTTCGGAACATGCTTTAATTTTTTTTTTTCCAATCCATTCTTTTGAATTTTCGAATTTCTTTTGCAGATTTCATATTGAAATGCTTCATATACGTTGCCTACTCAATCCAATACGTTCCGTGAACACCTACAATTCAACGGCAAGTTTTTTTTTCAATTTTCACAAAAAAAGGGCGTATTTCAGATCAAGCTACACTCTTCTTCATATTTGAGAGTAAACGCCATACGAAATGCAGAAAACCTACTACAAAAAAACGTAAGCTTCACAAACAAGGGTTTTTATTGAGAAAGTAAAAGTAGAGGGAAGTTTTATCCATATCGGCGTTCGGCGAATTCGAAGCTGAAGGCGCCCTCGGCGTTCTGTTTGCAACGAACTCGTTGACCGTCATCCAAGATCCCACTCGCGTTAAGGTGCAGGAATTCGTTTCCGTGCTCCTTGTTCAGAAAACAGCCTAGATAGAATTGGAGGTTGGGAGGCGCGCTGCACGCTACCGATTGGGCTGAACTGAATGTAGCCGTTGGCGATAGTGCATTGGTAACGGAAGCCGACGCGGCCGTCGTGGTAGTGGCGGTCCCTTTGCTCCGTGTTCCGCACGAATCGTCTTGCTCCTCGTTCCCAATGAGCATAGCATCCTGCAATTCTTCACTATTTGAAAATAGAGAAAAGTATTTTTTCGGTGTTATAAAGAAAAGACCAGCGAAAATTCAAACGGCGACTTTTCCGATTTTTTCATATCGCTAGGGAACTTTCTTTTTTCACCCAATCTTTTTCCGACTTTTTTTCGCGATGAACTTTTCGTTTTGAATCTTCCTATATAAAGTAGGTAGTTCATTCATGATTAAAAAAAAGAAATAGGAAAATATTAATAGATGTTTTATAAACCGAAAAAAATAAGGGAAAAAAGTCGGAAAGAAATTCGTCGGAAAGGTGGCCGTCGGAAAGTTCCCTAGCGATACGAAAAAATCGGAAAAGTCGCCGTTCGAATTTTCGCTGGTCTTTTTTTCATAACACCGTTTTTTCCCCCGTCACTAGGAATTTATTTATCACAAGAAAATCTCACCGGCCGTCTCAAACTTTGTCACGCACTCTTCGTAATAACTGCCTTTGGCCCTACGGTTTCCCAGGTTGCAGATGTCGCCGGGTCTGTAGTTTCCGGCAATCGATTCAACAAAAATGATTGCCAAGACTATTGTGAAAATCTTCGACATGGATCTCCTAGAAAAAATAAAATAATATATAACAGTGTACATTTTATTCGCTGAACAATTAATGTCAAAGCCTCCGTTCACGCAATAAAACTACATTACCCTGTTCTTCCAAAAGGAAGACAGACTGGCATTTTTCTAAATTTAGTATTTTCGTTCTCTCTTTTTCAAAAGTCTCTTCTTTTTATCTTGTGACTAAACGCCTCGTTAATCATCCTAGAAAATTATCAAATTCAAAATTTTGCCAATTTTCAAAAACAAAAACTTCGATTCTGAGCGAAGATTCATTGGTATGAATAGGGTCAGCGGGTAATCATGAAAATGCTTAAAAAAATTCCATATGAGGACAAGAATTGCATTATTGTGGACTTTTTTAGAAGGGAGCGTTGAAGCACATTGTGACGAGAACATGCTTCCATCCTGGCGCCAGCACACAAGTTCCCATGCAGGTTCCTTCTGTCTTTCATATAAATTCAAAATCTAATAAAAAAGAAAATGTTTTAGGCGAGAGAATCGGAGAAGAAATTTATAAGGAAATCTTGAATTATCAATGAAACTATGCGCGCCCTCATTTGCATATTTCTCATGTCTTTCATTTTTTGAAATTTTTTCTTTGAATATTTAATGCATTGAAGAATTAAGGAGTTTTGGTTGAATTAAAAGAAAAGAAAAGAATCATTGGCTAACTTTGTTTTTGATTGTTTAAACGAGAGGAAATATTAACAGAAACAGTGGTTGATGGTGATTTTTCACTGATTCGTAGGAGTTCCCATCCCTATCTCTCTCAATTAGACCTTGTGCGAAAAGACTTAGGCAGTTTGTTCATGATGGGAAATAGTGAAGTGAACAGTTTGAGAACACTGCACGAAAAAAATACAAAAAAAATGAGTTTAAAAAAATGAGGAATCTCAGGCAAACGCACAACTGACGGGATGGCAGATGATCGCTCGTTTATCCAAATTTGTCTGGCCGAAAGGCAATCCTGCGATCAAGCGCCGAGTTCTCTTAGCACTGTCTCTTCTTTTCGGTGCAAAGGTTTCTAATTTTCAGAAAACCTTTTTTTTTTCGATTGATTGAAAAGACAAGCAACAGAAGGAAATTTCAGCTCGCCAATGTCTCTGTTCCATACTTGTTCCGCGATATCGTCAATTATTACAACGGAAAAGCGCCCGAATTCCTGAAATTGACGCTAGATGGAAGCGCTTCTCAGACTCTGTTCACCGCAGGCGTTTCTATCATTATCGCCTGTTCGTTTGAAAAAATCATGTCCGAAGCTCCCAGAGAAAATAGAATCTTTGTGGATGTCTGAAAAAAATCTTTCTTGTTGTGAAAAAATGTCATTTTTGGGTTTTAGACGGAATAGCACGAGCAACTTCTTCGCTTTTCAATGAGCTGCGGAACGCGGTTTTCGCCAAGGTCTGCTCTCTTATGAATCAGCGAATTGGAGCATCCCACAGGTGGCACAACACTCAATACGACAAATCGCTCGCAACATCTTCCTCCATTTGCACTCGTTGGATCTTTCTTTCCATCTGAATCGTCAGACAGGGGCGCTGTCCAAAGCCATCGGTCTATTGATTTCCTTTTTTTTGTTATCAACAAATGATTTAGATCGAGGGACGCGTGGAATGAGTTTTGTACTCTCTTCTCTAATTTTCAACATTGTACCTACAGCCGTCGAAATCGGAATGGTTATATTCTTTTCAAACAATCAGTAAAACGAATAACAAACTTTTAAGGTTTCTGCTCTCATGACCGCATCTCTAGGAAGCGATTTCGCATACATGACTGTCGGAAGCATAGGAATGTACGGCGTCGCAACTCTGGCCATAACTAGGTTTTTTTCTATCAACTCTGAATGATTTTCAACCAGTGTTCCTTTTTTCCCTAGTAGATTCGCTTCATATAAAGATAGTGCGGGAATTCTATTGAAATAGTTTCAATTGGTTAGAGAGGCCGTTCAAGTTTTCTTTTCAGAAAATATTTCTACTTCCGTCTTTTTTTCTGTGGTGGTAAACCTATGAACTATAGTCGTCATCTCAAGCCGTTCAATCTTTTTTCAACAGTTGACTAAACAAGTTGTCTGCTCAACAACAACCAGACTGCTCAAAAATGAAATAAAATAATTTTTTGAGAGGTCAAATTCAAACATTTTGAAATTGACCTCTTAAAGTCAAAATTTGAAATCGAAAATTTTAAACAGTTTACGACTATACTCATGCCGCCTACTCAAAATGATCTTTCTATAATTTTTTCCTGAAGTAGCTTGAGGAACACTTCGTCTTAAAATGAAAGCTCACTGCAATAGATGGCGAACGCGGTTTCGACACGAGATGAACCAGGCAGATAATGACGCCGGCAACAAGGCGGTCGATTCTTTGATCAATTACGAGACCGTCAAATACTTCAATAACGAAAAGTTCGAGGCCGATCGCTACGATCATTTTTTGAAAAAGGTTTATTCGCATCTTGTCCGACACCATTTAATGTTCTGTTTCATGCATTTTTCAAATTTCTTTCAGCCTTTTTTATTTGATTTTCTTTTCGGTTTTTTGTACAATTTTTTTTTAGTTTTACAACTGAACCACTTATCGAAGTTCATGAGTTGGAATATTTCATGAAAAACACGTAGATTAAAAGAAAACGGAATAATTTTCGCAAATGATTAATGCCGTGTTCAATTTGATTCCGCGAAATGCAAAATGATCTCTGACTCTCCAAAATCTAGTGATCTTTTCCTTTCTCTAACGGGTATTTTGCATTTCGCGGAATCAAATTGAACACGGAATTAAATTTCAACCGGCCTTTCCTAAAAGAGTCTCCGACATTCTTGCATTTGCTTAGTTCTTGCCTTGGCAAAAGTCCATTTTAGGGTTCTACGACAAGAGCGAGTTTTCCATTTGCGAGGAGTACTGTATGCGGATATGCGCATTGCGTGCATACACTTTGCGTGTTTACACTTTCGTTCCGTGACGTCACCGGGTCGGACATCTCCGGGTTTTTTTTCCGAGTTTTTTTTTTCGAATTTTTTTCGATTTTTTTTTTCTTGTTACTGTTTTTTATGCCGTGTTCAATTTGATTCCGCGAAATGCAAAATACTGCGAAATACCCGTTAGAGAAAGGAAAAGATCTCTAAATTTTGGAGAGTCAGAGATCATTTTGCATTTCGCGGAATCAAATTGAACACGGCATTATCGTGCAAATTTCATCGAGAAAAATGCAAATCTTGCAAAAAAAGCAAAAAAAAAGTTGAAAAATATTCGAAAAAAAAACTCGGAAAAAAAACCCGGAGATGTCCGACCCGGTGACGTCACGCAAGTGTAAACACGCAGAGTGTATGCACTCAATGCGCATATCCGCATACAGTACTCCCCGCAAATGGAAAACTCGCTCTTGTCGTAGCACCCATTTTAGTTGCCGAATCATCCATAAAAACTTTCATTTGACTGTTCTCGAGGCGATTTGAGAAGTATGCGTTCACTTTAAGAGCTTGGCATTGTGAAATTTTTCAGTACGAGAAAGCTTCGTTGAAGACGACTTCTTCCCTGGCGTTTCTCAACTTCTCCCAAAACACCATATTCTCTGCTGGTCTTATTGGTGTCATGTGTTTGGCCGCAAATCGGATAGCCACTGGTGATTCGGAATTTTTCAAGTATTTATTATCTCTTAGAGCTAATTTTATCCGAGAAATGTGAAAATGAGTGAAATTCTCTATTTTTTGCCTCAAAAAAAATTAAGTGTACCTTATAATGAACTCAGAATGGTTCTTGTTGGAAAAAATTTTGATAGATTCACCGCTTCGGAAAGGTACTAGGCTTCACTTCAAGCTTCTAAATTCGGTGGTATGAAAAAAACACCAGCGAAAATTCAAACGGCGACTTTTCCGATTTTTTCATATCGCTAGGGAACTTTCCGACGGCCACCTTTCCGAAAAATCTTTTTCCGACTTTTTTTCTCAATAAAATCTTCGTTTTAAATCTTCCTATATAAAGTAGGCAAGTTATTCATTATTAAAAACACAAAAAAATGGGGAAAAAAATGTTCATAGATGTTTTAAAAACTGAAAAACTATAAAGGGAAAAAAAGTCGGAAAAAAAGTTTCGTCGGAAAGGTGGCCGTCGGAAAGTTCCCTAGCGAAATGAAAAAATCGGAAAAGTCGCCGTTTGAATTTTCGCTGGTCTTTTTTTTCATACCACCCTAAATTCTCTATTTTTTTGATTTAAATAATTCAAAAAAATTTTTTTAAATTGTTTATATTTTGTTTTCGAATAAGTGGGATTAAAAAAATCTAATAGCCATTAGCGACGCGTATAATTGTTTTTTTCGAGACAAAAAAAAAACATTTTTGGACATCGTCCTATATAATCTTGTTTTTTTTTTCGCTCTAACTTATGCCATTCCTTCAGACAATGTGGAAATCCATGTAAATTAAAAACTGATACACTCTTCTAATTTTACGTTCAAGCGCTTTCCGAAATTAAAAATTTTTTTCCAAGTGTAATATACGCAATTAATTGAAAAAGTATATTCGTTTATTTTACCGTTTTTGATAATTTATAAGTTTCAAGGAGAGTTCACCATCGGCGATCTTGTACTGGCCAACACTTTGTTGTTCCAATTGTCCATACCTCTTAACTTCTTGGGTTCGTCGATTTTCCTAAACAGAATTTGATTATGAACTCGGCCCTTCAGGTTCTGTGTACCGAGAAGTGCGACAAGGGCTCGTCGACATGAACACGATGTTTTCTTTGTTGACTCTACAGCCAAAAATCGTTGAGGCGCAGGACGCCAAAACGCTTCTCATCAAGGGCAACGACATTAACATCAAGGTTCTCTCGAGAAAATCTTTCTGGCCATGGACGCAACTGAAATGATATCAGCAGGAAAAATCCCTTGAGAAAAATTAGAATTGGCGAAAATTAGAGATGAAAAATGGAAAAATTATAGTTCTTTTTTTCGGTCTCATTGAAGAAGTCATTTAGCCTTCTAACTACTGTAGGGCTATTTCAATGTTCGTTCAATTCTTCTCAAATTGCATTGTTTGAAAATGTTTATTTCTTGGAATTCAGAATTGAAGAATTGTACTTCGAACTCACATGTACAGGCAAAAAGCCCAACGTGGAATTTCTGGCCTTTTTGAGTTGGAAAATTTATCTCAAGAAAAGTAGGAATTTCAACGATAATTTTTTTAATTTTAGTTCGACAACGTACATTTCTCCTATTTGGAGCAAAAACCTATCCTACAAGGACTAACGATGGAAATTCCGGCGGGCAAGAAAGTCGCCATTGTTGGCGGTAGTGGATCTGGGTTTTTTTGGTTTTTTTTTTTCCCTTTTTTGAAGTTATCTGTCTAGGAAGTCCACGATTGTTCGATTACTCTACAGATTGTATGACATTGATTCGGGCACCATTTCTATCAATGGAAAGGTGAAAACCTTTGATAATCTTCTAAATAGTTTGAAAGATCATCTTGGTTTATCGAAAAACAAAAACTGTCCATATTGTAGAAAATAGAAGATCTGACACTGAACTCATTGCGCCAAAATGTGAGCGTCGTCCCACAGGTTTGCTCTTTTTGTTTATAATTCGGTTTTCTCCGAGGGCGCGCCGTAGCGGAACAGGTTGTAAGCCTGTCTATGACCCACAGGGTCGCAAGTTCGATCCCCGTCTTGACCCGACCAAGGGGTTTAAGAAGTGTTGGTAGTGGGAAACCACGATTTTAAAATCCCCAGCTGTAACCCACAAGGACGGATATGTCGCTCGAGCCAGTCCACTGATTATCATTGATATCAGGATAAGACCTCGGCTGATCGACTGGCGGCGCCGATGCCGCTCAAACGGTACAAAGGCGTAGGAAGTAGAATAAGTAAGAAAAAGATTGGTCGAAATGTTGTGTTAAAAATTTTGGTCGAAAAAAGGATCGATCAAAATGTTATGCTCAAATTATTGGTCGAAATAATGACTGATCGAAATGTTGTATTGAAAATATTGGTCGAAAAAATGATTGATCGAAATGTTGTATTGAAAATATTGGTCGAAAAAATGATTGGTCGAAATGTTGTGTTAAAAATTTTGGTCGAAAAAATGATTGGTCGAAATGTTGTGTTAAAAATTTTGGTCGAAAAAAGGATCGATCAAAATGTTATGCTCAAATTATTGGTCGAAATAATGACTGATCGGAATGTTGTATTGAAAATATTGGTCGAAAAAATGATTGATCGAAATGTTGTATTGAAAATATTGGTCGAAAAAATGATTGGTCGAAATGTTGTGTTAAAAATTTTGGTCGAAAAAATGATTGGTCGAAATGTTGTGTTAAAAATTTTGGTCGAAAAAATGATCGATCAAAATGTTATGCTCAAATTATTGGTCGAAATAATGACTGATCGGAATGTTGTATTGAAAATATTGGTCGAAAAAATGATTGATCGAAATGTTGTATTGAAAATATTGGTCGAAAAAATGATTGGTCGAAATGTTGTGTTAAAAATTTTGGTCGAAAAAATGATCGATCAAAATGTTATGCTCAAATTATTGGTCGAAATAATGACTGATCGGAATGTTGTATTGAAAAATATTGATCGAAATGAATTTTTGTTAAGAAGTATGTTTGAAACTATTGTTTAAAACCCGCTTCGCTTTCAAATGTTCATCAGAATTTCTTTTTTGATTTTTCGTAATGAAATATCATCATTTTTTTTCTGTTTCTCTGTGTTCACTGGTACTTAAAGCAAACATTTATAAAAATGCTATATAGACTATAACAAATAAGTTCAAGAAAATCGCAAAAATTTTAATTTGTCGGAAAAAAAGAAAATATTTTCACCTTGTTATAGGTCATTCCGCGCCAGCTTGTCACGATTTCCAGTTTATTTGGAGCTAGAGTAGCCTTTTTCGGCGCTTCGCTTCGATGCTCTCGGTGTGCCCCTTGCGTGCGCCTTTAATAAAACTAATTATTTCCGAATTTTTAGAATTTTTCTTATTTTACAAAAAAACAGTTGTAACATTAAATTTTATATTAAACTAACCCAAAAAAATAATATGCAAAAAAAGCTCGAACAGTCGGTTTCATTAATAACAATCAAAATTATTAAATTAATCTTTTTGATTTTCTTTTTTTCACAAATCCAGCACAGAATCTGAGTGTGTATAGTTGAAGCGAAAAATGAAATCAATCCATTGAAAAAACCTCGTAAATTAATAAAAGAGATAGCGGAAATTGAAGCAATATCTTGATCAGAAATAATGTTTTATTAAAGGCGCACGCAGGGGGGAACACCGAGAGCATCGAAGCAAAGCCCAGAAAGGGGTTCTGTAGCTCCGAGGAAAATTAAAATCGTGACAAGCTGGCGCGGAATGACCTATACTAGTACTCCGAAAACCTGCCCCGTGTGAGCGATCTGTTTTGAAAATCGATCGCTCGGAATTTCGATCGATCAAAATGTTATGCTCAAAATGTTGGTCGAAAAAATGATCGGTCGAAATGTTGTATTGGAAATGTTGGTCGAAATAATGATTAGTCGAAATGTTGTATTAAATGTATTGGTCGAAATAATGATTGATCAAAATGTTATACTAAAAATTTCTCTCGAAATGTCGATCTATCAAAACGTTAAAATCCAATGATTGATCATTAATGTAAGATATCAAAAACTGACCTGATAAACGATCTCTCAAAAAATGACATGCTAAAATTTGGTTGAACAGGGACATGTCAATAGTTTGATCAATTGAAATGGTTGAATGATCGGTTTGGTGAACTCTCCTGCATTGACCTTTGTTTTACTTGTTTTTTTTTTATTAACTTGAAATATAGCAAAAGAATAGAAAATTTGAGAGAAGATAGTAACCACGGCTCTGGTGCTATAAACATTTTTTGATGATTAAAGGCTGTAAAATTAAATCCTCGAGTTTCACGGTAGGTGCCGGTTGCTAGTTTATGCTTATAGTTTTTTTTCAAAAACCTTAAACCTGATAGATAATTACAAATTATTTCGGGAAAAATCAAACGAAAACAGGACGCGGATTGTTTCAACAATGTTGGCCAATCATAAATTGGAATGGTCTGGCTTTTAAATATTTGACTCATTTCTCAAATTATTTGGAAGCAAACGGAAATTTTCGTGAGAAGGCACACATCTTCAGTTTAATTTTTTTATGTAATTTGTTTAAATGATAAAATTGAAAAAAAGTAAGATAAAAAAATTAATTCGCAAAAAATTTTTCAAAAAAATCGAGACTTTTCGAGTTCGAACAATGTAAGAATTTTTTTGATTAAACTTTTTTTCAAACATTGAATGAATTTTCGTTCCGATCAAACGTTCGATTTCGAAATGTCAATCAAAGGTCGGTTTCAATAAAAGTTTGAAAAATATTTGGTTGAACGTTCGTTCAAACGTTTGGTTTTGAGAACCCTATTTGGCACGTAGCCGCTCTCTTTTCTCATCTATCTTTTTTTTTTTTTCGCAGAGGATTTTTCCACCCCCTACTAATTGCGAGCTCGCGCCCAGAAAAATGCGAGACCGGCGCGAGAAAAAAAAAGCGAGATATTTGCGAGCACGTCAATGTACCGCCAGTGTCTCGCGTTTATCTCGGCAGTTATTCTTAGTGGGTCTCTAGTTCGACCTCCCAAGTTTCAGGATTCGGTTTTGTTCCACGACTCCATCTTTTACAACTTGGCCTACGGCAAAACTTCTTCTTCTCGTGAACAAGTTTACGCCGCGGCGCGTATGGCCGACTTGCATACGTCTGTTGAACAGATGCCCAATGTATAGTTTCATTTTTGCCACTTCGTCTATTTCTTTCTCAAATCTCCCAGCGATTCATTGAAAATTCATCAAAGAAAAGCAGAACACCACTTTTTTTCTCCTAATTCAGTCTAATCTGCGTTCCAAATTGTTCAAATAGAATTATTAGAGAAAACTATGCTGTCTTAATAGTTATGAAATCAAAAGTGGCAAATAGTGCAACGATTGCAGTTGAAAAGGGAATAGTTTTTGTTTTAAAAGTATGTAGTAAGTGAAGTTCAGAGCTACGAAACAATCGTTGGCGAGAGAGGGTTGAAACTTTCAGGAGGTGAAAAACAACGGGTCGCCATCGCCAGAGCCATTCTCAAGGTTTTCAGAGTTTTTTCATTTTGCCACGAAACTTTCCGTCAGCCACCTTTCCGACTTATCCTTTTCCTACTTTTCCCCCTTTATTTTTCGGTTTATAAAACATCTATTTAATTTTTTTTTTCTATTTTTTGTGTTTTAATCAGGAATCAACTAGCTACTTTAAATAGGAAGATTCAAAAAGAAGAATTTTTCTAGAAAAGCGTCGGAAAATGTTTAGTCGAAAACTGCTCCTTCGGAAAGTTCACTAGCGATATGAAAAAATCGGATAATTGGGCGTTCTGAATTTCGCTGGTCTTTTTTTCATACCACCTCTTATTCGGCGTGCAAACTTTGAAGCTTCCAAACTCGAAAACAAGATCTATTGAGAGGAGTTATGTTTGTGCTCTGGAAAGATGAATTCTTATAGTACATTTCAGCAAATTTTCATCGAAAGTTCAACCGGCTAACAAAAAAACTTTCCTTGTAAAGCTTCAAATCTGTTCTCTCAGGACGCCCCGCTTGTGGTTTACGACGAAGCAACGTCTTCGCTTGACGCCATAACTGAGGCCAACATCATGAGAGCACTCAAAGGAGCCGTCAATCAAAAGTTGGATTCGTTCAGTTCGATTAAAAGTTGCAATTGTTTTAGAACATCTCTTTTCATCGCCCACCGTTTGGCGACCATTGTTGACGCAGACATTATTTATGTACTGGAGGTAGATATTTCGGTTTTTCCTTTAATTCATACCGAATCATTTTCTCAGGAAGGCCGAGTGGCGGAGTCAGGTTCTCACAGCGAACTTCTCGCTCAGAACGGCCTTTATGCGGAACTATGGCGCTCTCAAAACGTCCATGGCAGTCTGGTTCCTGTGAGTTTTTTGTTTTACACAAAGATTGAGGATTTTCAAAAAAACTTACATTTGAAAACACCGAATGTAATTTTTTCCCGTGTCTTGCCTTCTAGTCGAGTTAGCGTTGAAGTTGATATCATTGCAGTAGAGAGAAGATGCTTTTTTTTCGTTTTTGAGGCCCCATAACTCGACTAAAAAGCGAAAAGGTTTTGTTAGAATCAAGGCACTGCAGAGTACATCTCAGCAGGTTTCCAAAAATATCTCGAAGCCGGACTATTTCTTGTTGAAGTTGAACGGAGTTTTTTCCAGCCCAAAAAGGACAAGAGCGAGAATGAATCGTTGATGTTGGAACTGGACCTCGATAAATGCTGTGGAAGTTCGAGCTGCAACCGTTGATCCTTGCAGACATCTATGAGTAACTAAGTCGAGCTAGACGTTTATTTTAGAGTTCTTCATCTATTCCTTTTGATTCTATTTTCAGTGTCTTGTTGTTTTTCATTTTTTTTTGTTGTATTCATCAAATGTACGTATCCTCTTGTCTTACCAGCGAAATGAGTTTTTGCGCAATTCTTGCTGTTTCTATCTCTCCAGAGGAGATATTTCACTGTGGCCTTTTAGAATCCTTCACTTTAGTTCCATCTTATCAAACGGGTTTTATACACGTACTTCTCATACGACGTGTCTTTCCCTTTTGCCCTCATATTTTTTAAGAACCCGGTTTTTTTTTCGTGAAAAAGGGTTTTTTGAATCTTCAGAAAACTTATAAGCGATTTTCATTACACTTAGGTATTGTTCATCCTCTAATTGCTTTTTAACTCATATTATTAACATTACTTCGTTGATATTTTTCTGTCTTAATCATTGTTATCAATATATTTCTATTTCAGTTTGCTTTTTCTTCGTTGTTGGTCTGTTGAATGAAGTTTACAATAGTTAGCCAAAATTTTTCTTTTTGGTCGGGTTTGTCACCCAGAAAACTTATCTATCAGTAATAAAATTCCCTAATTTTTCGGCAAGGTATTATTTAAATCACATTATGTTAACCTTAAAAGTTAGCTTTGATTTTTTTCTGTTGTTCAAGACTTTGCTCCGGGCGGCTATGATGTTTTTTTCTAAGTTCAGAATGACTTTCCTAAGAATGGCGTTCAGAAAAAGTATATCCTGAAAGAAAATTAAAGAACGGCCAATTTTCATAAGTACGATTTCCTCTTTTCTAAACTTTGAGTGGACAACGATATTTTGGTACTTTCTCCATTTGTCTGTGGAATTTTCGAACGGCGAACTTTCCGGTTTTTCCATATTGCTAGAGAATTTTCCGACGGCAACTTTTTTGACTAATTCCTTTCCGACTATTTTCTCTCATATTTTTAGGTTTATAATTGATATATTAACATTGTTTCCATTAGGCGCAGACTTGTTCTGCTCCATTTGGGCTCAGGCTGAGTTGGAGCAAAAAAAGGGCGTTATGATTTTTCTTTGTGTTTTGATCATTAAACAACCACCTATTTTATACTACTGCGTTCAAAGATAGTTTGATGCGCGTTGAGAAAATTTTTTTCCGGTTCAAAAGCACGAGCCAAAAAAAATCCTCTGAAGAGATATCAATAGCAAGAATTGCGCAAAAACTTGACGTGATTGGTTGGCCCATTTGCAAAAAGGTGGAGCCGTCCAATCACGCTGTGAGAACCTGCTGCGTTTCGCCTCGTGCCGTGGAACCACAAAAACTTTCTCAACGCGCGTGAAATTAGCTTTGAACGCGGCATATAGGAAGGTTCAAATCAAAAAGTTTATCGAGATTCCGTGTATTTTCTTCACTCGAAGTGGTAGCTATCTCAACCGGCCGAGGCTACCCTAGAGTGTACACGGCGTCCGTGCCCGAGCCCCATCATCACCGCCGTGCCTGTACCCGCGAAACTGAGGGATCTACTTGTGGAAGAACGAGGCGAAATACCGTAAGACCATGCTTTCAATTCAATCGACTACACGTTTTGAGTTCTTTTTCGCCAAAGGCGGTGTTAGTGCCGCTCAAAAGAGCAATTTTTTCACCGCCTAGTCGATTCCATCGGACTAAAACAACCAATAAATATTGATGATGATGAGGATGATTGATGAGAAAAAAAGAAGTCGCAAAACGATTAGTCGGAAACTTCGCAGTCGGAAAGTTGCGCGTACGCGGTTCTTGGCACGAGTTCAATTCAACCGCCAGCGACTATTTACAGAACTCTTTTATCGCACTTTTCTTTTCTTTTTTAATTATTCGTTAATTTTTGTCATTTGCGCATCAAAAAATTGTCGATTTTATACAAAAAGAGAGGTGACCGAGCTTTTTCGCCTGTGGCGTTTGAAATTAACTCGTGCAAAAACCGCGTACGCACAAGCTACGCGTCCCGCCCACTTTTCCGCCTCCCCTGCCTTTCAAATCGGGATGAACTGACTATAATAACCCTTTTCCCAGTTTCGATTATGTCGGGCTGCTTCGACCAGATACACTGCAACTGCAACTTTGACTTCGAAGGACGAAGGTTTGGTTCACATTTTGTGAGATTCAAATTGGGCGGATTCCAGAAACGCCGTCGCCTCGATCACCGCTTCTTTTCTTTTCTTCGCAGCCTGGTGGCTGATGATCGACACTGCCGCCGTGTATGGCAAGGTTTTATATCAGCTTTGAACTTTGTGATTACATGAGTAAATGATCCTCACGTTGCCAACCGTTTTGAAATGAGCTAAAGAGCGATAGACCAGAAAAAAAGGTTTGAACCATCTTCCGCCGTGTCATATTATGACACGAAAGTCCGATCCTGTCCGGCGCACTGAGCCGCGGAGAAGCGGAAAATTATCTGGTCTTTGGGAGTAAGTTAATAACTAAAGAAACTTGAACCAGAACTCGAATTAGTTATATGAGATTCTGAATTTGAACCAGTTATAAAATTCCTTTTCGCCGTAAATTTATGAGGATACATTTCAAGGATGACTGGAAACAGGTCTACTTCGTCATCACCGTCGCCAGTACAATCGCCTTATTCATGGTTAGTTTTCTTTTCTTTTTTCTCGAAAAACTTGTTCCTCATTTTTAAGGAGCGGATTTTCAGGTGAATGCGGTTTCTAACAGCCAAGTTCGCGGTGAAAGTCTTCACGAAGGGATTCTTGGAACGAAAGGTGAACTAGAAATTTTCTGAAAGTTTGGAGAGCATAGGGCGAAAATATTCATTTGAATTGGGAAGGATATTACTTTCCATGGCTTGAGAACTAGGAAGAATTTTACTTTCCATGACTTGTGCTCAATGAAGATAGGACCCCTCAATCGATTTCGGACTTTTTTGGTTATTTTAGAACAGAAATCTGTAAGTACCATTCGATTTAGCGTACAAACGTATGAAATCAAAGTTTCATCATCCCAACACTTCTCTTAGTGGTACTCCATCCAAAATCGGTTTTTTGGCATCCAATGATAGGACCACCTGGAAATTTTGATAGTTTTTGAAGTTGTTTGCCTGTTTTCTATATTAAAAACGGATCTTTCTTCTTCATATCATTCAAGCCTCAGTTTCCAACGCGCTTGCAGAAATTTTTGTTCTTCGTAACGCCGTTCGGCGTTTTTGTTAGTGGAAGAAAATGCAAAACCAAAATTAAGGGGGCGTGGTCAAAATCTCAGCCGTTCCCATGTGACGTCATGAAAATACGCGTAAACAACGGAAATACTAAAGACGCATCAATGGGTCCCGAGACGAATCCTGTTCTCATAAAAAAAAAAACGCGATTTTTCTGCTTTTTTTTGTTTTAAAACACATGCGGTGTTCAGAGTAATTTCGCGAAATTCAAAATAGCCGCCAAAGAATGAAAAATATACCTGATTTAATAAATTTAGATATGATTTTGAATTTCGCGAGAATTACTTTAAACGCGGCGTGTTCCAGGGCGCCGCGTGTATGCACACGACATACTACATTTTACGAAAAAAAAAAAAATTTGGATGGGACGTCGCCAAAAAAAAAACGCCGTGATATGCGAAATCAAAAATGAAAGGGCGGAGTCAAAACCTTTGCCGTCCCCACGTAACGTCAGGGAAACGAGCATGAACAAAAGGGAGTATTAAATGCGCATGTTCGATGGGTCATGAGACGAATCGATTACTCATTTGAAGAAACGAGATTTTCCCGTGTTCAAAGTTATTCCGCGAAATCCAAAATAGCCGCCAGAGAGTGAAAAATATAACTGAATTCCGGAAATTGATTTTGAATTTTGGGAAAATTACACACTCCACTTTACGGGAAAGATAGGGGAGAGGCGTCGTAAAAAAACGCCGTGTCTTGTCGTAGCACCGATTTCAAATCAAATCAAATCAAATGTTTCATTTCTCACACACAAGTACTAAATTTCACGAAATAGATGTAGGGAGAGTTTGGGAACATATGTGTCGGAACTTGTGGTGATGGAGGGAAGAGGACTCGCGGTCGTGTTAACCCCCCACTTGAGTAAATTGGAATAACCATGAAGTTATTCTTTTAGATGTCGATTATGTAGCTTTCATATTTTTGTTGGATCAAGAGTGTTTAGTTCTGTAATGTTGTTTTCAAACCATTTCTCAAGTTTAGATCTGAACTTATTTTTTTCATACTCAAATACTATGTTTCTATCCATGTGATTCCAATGATTGTAAACTCTTTGATTGATGAACCGGTAGTGTATGTCAGAAAGTAGAGGCCGCTCTATTTTGAGACCATTTCCTCGCAGTTGATTCAATCTACTTGTTGTATTTTGTAAAGGGATTGGAGATGGGCACCAATAGTATCCGTGAATGAAATTGTGAGCAGCAGTTATGTCTTTCTTTAAACGTCTTTGCCAAAGGGTGTTTAGTCCGAGACGTTGAAGTCTTTCCTTGTAATTCATTTTAGGGAAAAGTCTTTTAGTAAACTTCCTTTGAACTGATTCCAATCTATCGATATCTGTTCTTGTTAGAGGACAGAAAAGTTCTGACCCATATTCAAGAACAGGTAAAATCTTCAACTTGTAGCAGTTCATGAAGTTAGTGTGCGAGAAGGTAAAACATCTAAAAAGATTATTCACGATTTTCATACATTTTTTCACAATAACATTCACGTGGCCACTCATTTTCAAATTAGAACTGAAATGCACGCCCAGATCTCTGATGAATACATCTGTTGGAATTTTTGAGCCATTTATTGTGTAAGAAGGGTTCTCAGTATTGGATTTACCATATCTGACATGTATACTCTTTGAGCTCGAAAGGACAAGCTGTCTATCTGCTAGCCAGTTATGAATAGAGTTTAGATCTTCCTGAAGCTTATTTTCGAAATTTTCTATTTTCGAGCTTATCATTAATTTACAATCGTCGGCATATGTTAACAGTTCGCTGTGTTTGACTACTTTATCGATATCATTGATGTAAAGTAGAAAAAACAAAGGACCCAAACATAGAGACCGCAGAGCCACGCCCCTTTTTGCGATGGTGAAATGCACTGGTTTTTTAGATTTCGTGTTTGATGTTTTCGTAAAAGCGCAATACTGAATCAAACACAGAGAAATTTGGTGGAAACATAGAGAAAACCTTCCTCTTCAATCTCATATACTTTTCATCCGATTTTCAAAGCGTTTTAGCGGAGCGTCGTACAAAAAACCAAAACTACTTTTTTTCTTCGGGTTTTTAACCTAGTTCCATGTCGTTGGCGCCTTTTTTTATTTTCGAATTCGATTCTTAAGTGAAAAACAAATCTTTTAAGACAAAAAAATTAAAATTTTTACGGTGCCTAATCTTCGTGAGGCCGCGCAAAGTTGAAAATGTTGTACTCGCTTTCGAGAGCGTGTAAGTAAACAATTTTTTTATTTTAACTTGTGGATTAAATTGTAACTAAAAATTTTATTAATATAAAACTTATTCCGAAAAACTTTGTTTTCTGAGAAAAAAAGACAGTGAAAAATTTCGAAATTCATTTTTAACATGGTCAGATGTCGTTGGCGCCTTTTTTTATTTCTTAAATATTAGCGTATTTCAATTTTCAATCAATTAAAAAAATAAAATAAAAATTTTAGCGGTGCCTAAAAGTTTAATCAGTGTTAGTTTGAAGCCAACGTTAAAATAAGAAAAAAACACCGAAAACGGAACTGAATCTCTATGAATAAATTATTTTTAGGTGCTCCGAACACACGTGACTAATAATTGTTCAACTATCATAACTTTTTTTAAAACAAAACAGACGGTAAATGCTGTACTTTGAGGTGAAGTGGTGTATAGCGCGAACGCCTCCCATCCCCGAGGGATGGACGTGGAGCAGCGCAAGTGCCCTTGCATACAGTTTTGATATCGCGAGTTCAATCCTCGCAGCGGCCATTTTTTTATTTTTTTTCAAGAAAAAAATAGCTTTTTCTTTTTCAAACTTGTGGTTTTTATACTGTTTTTAATGACTTATTACGACTTTGAAAAACCAAACTAAACTACTAAAAAAAATTTATATCCGATATGAAAAACAAAATGAACCACCAAAAGTGTAAAAATCTAAACTTTCAGTACTAAATTTCGCGACTTTTTTTCACTACTGTTTTGACCATAACTTTTTTTTTTCTCAACCTTTTTCGAAAAACTGAACTGTTTTGAATAGTAAATTAGAGCAGCTATCCAACCATAGTAATATTGAAGTTCGAAAAATTTTTTGAAAATTCGTCTGCGGTCCCTACCCAAACAACTACCCTGTGGTACACCCGAAAGTACGGGAATTTCATCGGATAGAGCTTCATTTATGCGTACCATTTGAGTACGTCCAATGAGATAGCTCTGAAACCAGGAGTAGCCGACCATTGCAACCATAGGATTCCAGTAAGCTCAACATTCTTCGATGTGTTACGGAATCAAAGGCTTTACTTATATCCAGATAAATTACGTCAACTATGGCTTTTTCATATACGTTTTGAATCAAATATTTTTGCTTTTGAAGCAATTGCGAAACGGTATTTCTGTTGTTCAAAAATCCGTATTGGGCTTTGGATATTATGTTTGTTCCAAAGATGATTTCTTAAACTTCTAACGATAATGGATTCGAGTACTCTGCATGGGACACATGTTAAACTGACAGGTCTGTAGTTTTGAGGCTCACTAAGGCTTCCTTTCTTATATATAGGTCGAACTATTGATTTTTTCCATAAACTGGGCAAGCATGAGGTATCCAATGATTTTTTTGGAAAATCATTGATAAAAGGTAGTGCCAAAGGGGCCGCTAGTTTTTGTATTATGATATTAGACAATTTATCCGGACCGGCAGAATGTAAAGGTCTAAGCTTCTTCAAACATTCGTATACGATATATGGCTCAACATTTATTTCTTCCATACTTCTAACCGAGCTCGTATTATTTATGAATGGTCTCTCATCGTCTTTAGTAAAAACTGAACAGAAGAAATCATTAAAAGCCTGAGCTTTCTCATTATCATCGTTGGTGCATCCATTTTTAGTCTGCATGAAAGGCGGATCAACGAATATGGTGGTCTTATTTCTAATATAATTCCAGAACTTCTTGCTGTTTGGTCCTTTATCGATAGCTTTCTCTTCTTCTTTAATTCTAAAATCTTTGATAGCTTTCCGGTATTTCCACCAATTTGTTTTATAGGTCGATAAGTCTTCGGATTTATTCGATTTTTTATATTTTATGTAGGAATTTTCAGAGTATCTCTTCAATTTCATTATCTCGGATGGAAGATTAGACTTTTTGATAGTTTTCTTGGGTATAAATTGATCAATTAGTGGCAAAGTTATATTCAAAAAAGTGCTGTACATTTTGTCAGCTGTGTCACATGTACTAAAACGATAATTCCAATCAATCCAAGCCAATCTTTGTCCTAAAGATTCAAAATTTGCCTCTGAATAATCATTTACAGTAAAAATGCTTCTCGATGTTAATTTTTTTGGATTATTTATGTTCACTTTGCAAGTTACTGTTGAGTGATCAGATAAAGGCTTTTCAATTTTTATATTTTCCACCATATTTTTCTTAGACGTGAAAATTAGATCCAAAATATTGTTTCCACGAGTACTCTGCTTTACCTTCTGCGAGAAACCCTTATCACACATTATATCAACAAAACTGCTACTCACAGAATCAGTCGACTTCAGTGTATTCCAATTTATTTGTGGGAAATTGAAATCACCCACAATTATGTGCTGCCCATCTCCAACTTTTTTGTTTATAGTTTCCAACAAGTTTGTGAACTCAACTGTGAATCGAGGGTCCCAACCAGGCGGCCTGTAAACTGATGTTAGATACCATGGATTTTGCATTTTCGAATCTGCTATTCTTATTGTTAATGCTTCAATGGATTTTGACACGTGTCGGTTCATTTCTTGACAATTGAAAGATGTGGCACATAGTGTTAAAAGACCTCCTCCTTTTCTATTGTTCCTACAAACGTAGAAACTCTGAAAACCCTTAAAATGCGTCAATAGGTTTAGGTCATCTTGTTCTGAAAGCCAGGTTTCACAAAAAACATAAAAACTCGAAAATTTTGGCTGGCACTCAAAATCCAATATAGGTCATTCCGCGCCAGCTTGTCACGATTTTAAATTTCCTCAAAGCTAGAGAGCCCATTTCGGCGCTTCGCTTCGATGCTCTCGGTGTGCCCTCTTGCGTGCGCCTTTAATAAAACATTATTTCTGATTAAGATATTGCTTCAATCTTCTCTATCTCTTTTATTAATTTACGAGGTTGTTTTTAATGGATTGATTTCATTTTTCGCTTTAACTATACACACTCAGATTCTGTGCTGGATTTGTAAAAAAAAAGATAATCAAAAAGATTGAATTATTATTTTTTAATTGTTATTAAGGAAACCGACTGTTCGAGATTTTCTTGCATATAATTTTTGGGTTAGTTTGATATTAAATTTGATGTTACAACTGTTTATGTAGAGTATGAAAATTCCAAAATTCGGAAATAATGAGTTTTATTAAAGGCGCACGTAAGAGGGCACACCGAGAGCATCGAAGCGAAGCGCCGAAATGGGCTCTCTAGCTTTGAGGAAATTTGAAATCGTGACAAGCTGGCGCGGAATGACCTATATATTCTTTTCTGAAAGAAAAATAGAAATTCAAAGGGTAGTTTCAAAATGAATTCTCACAGGAAAATTTCTGGGGAGAAGCAGGTTTAGCAGATCGTTGGTAGTTTACAAAATAAGAAAATAATGATGAATTGCTACGTATTGTTTTCCACCCATTGAAAAGAGATTTTTGAGGGTCTCGTCTCTGGCTGATGGCGGCTTTTGTGATGTCGTTCGCCTCGCTCGTCGCGGCGACGTGGGTGCTGTTCAGCGACTACGTACTTCAACAGGGCGATCACCCCGTCTGGCCTGGTGTCGCTCTTTTTCTCACCAACTTGATTATCTTCACCTCTTCCTGCGTCTACAAGTTCGGTCGCACCGAGGAGATGTGGGGCTGATCGCGTAAACTTTTCGAAAAAAAAACCAGCGCTTTTCCTCCCATTGACTTGATGTCCTCGAACGTTTTCCATTGTAATTTATTTGTTGTCAACTCTTGTGACTAAATATTCAACAATTTATAAAAATTTTGATAGAGAAAGTTTTGTGGCGTCTCTTTATTAGCTGTGAGGCTAATTCGAAGACGCTTCAATTGAGTGGTTCAGTGGCTTTGAGTTTAGAATGCTTTCTTGTGCGTTTATCTGCGAGCTTGAATTTATAAGTAGTTTATTAGTCAAGTGGCAAATTATAGTAAATATAAGAGGGGGAAAAAGGGGGGATAAATGGGATAAAAGAAAGAATAGAAAAAGTGGTTGCAACGGCTCTATTGAGCCGATTAGTGCTTTTATAGTCTCTGAAGAAGGTGGAGTTTAGTGTATCATTTCGAGTAGTTTCGAAATGATTGCGTGGGCGATCCATCGGTTTGAGCTGCTTCGTCGGTGATCAATCTTTGGGGATTTCGTAAGATTGCGAGAGGGGTTTATATTTAGATCTAGTCGGGTAGATTTGGGTAATTAATCAATGCTGAGTCATGGCAGTGATTGCGAAAGATTTCATCTCTTTCGTGATCTTTGTGTTAAGAAAAGAATAGTTTCTCGCGATCCGCGATAAGTTTGGAATCATGATGCTTTGCAGATTCTCTCATTAGAGAATAATGGGTGGTATGAAAACACCGCGCTTTTGTTAGTGGAAAAGAAGAAAATGCGAAACCAAAAACACGGTGGGCGGAGTCAAAATATATGCCGTTCCCAAGTGACGTCATGGGAACGGCAGGCATTTCGGCTCTAAAAGCGTGAATAACAGGGCATATTAAAGGCGCAGGTGCCGTATTTGTCTTTGAGACAAATCGAAATTTCTTTATGCAGTGTTCAAAGTGATTTTGGTGATTACGCGTTTCTTGGCACGAGTTCAATTCAACCGCCAGCGACTCTTTGGAAAACTCGTTTATCAAACTTTTTGCATCTTTTCAAATGATTTATCCATTTTTTCATGTGTTCATTAAAAACACTACGCACACGATTTTTTGGAGAGTATATCAATCTTTCCTTATCACAGCAGAAAACCAATCTTTTTGCGGAAACACTTTCGAGCTGAAAAATGATTTTTCGAAATATTGAAGGTAGGGACCGCGAGGCCACACCCCTCGCTGCCCGGTGGTATGAAAAAAGACCAGCGAATTTTCGAATGGCGAGCCTATTTTTCCATATCGCACAGTGCTCCCAAAGGGGCGGCAGCTGTGGTCAGTTGAATTTTCCGTCTTCCGGCGGAAACGGAAACGGAAAAAAGTTTCCTTGCGACGGAAACTGATACGGAAACCGAAATCTGGGCGGAAGACGTAAACGGAAATTGCGCTCATCATTGGTCAGTAGGTAGGGGCCTCAACCAGAATTTCAAAGAAATTTTCGAGTTTTAATATCACTGTGGTTGGATAGCTGCCCCGATTAAGTGTTCAAAACAGTTCAGTTCTTCAAAAAAGGTTGAGAGCAAAAAAAGTTATGGTCAAAATAATAAAAATAATAGTGAAAAAAGTCGCAAATTTTAGTACTGAAAGTTTCTCTACCAGAACGGTGCCAGCACCAATAACACCCTGCACGGTGCAAGTGGTAGTGCGGCTCCTCGCGTTTTTTGAGACATTTTGGTGCAAATTGAGTGCTTGCGCACGATCCAGCAGCATGCCTCCTTAAGGAAGTTCAATTTAGCTATTTAGCCATATTTAGATGAAGCTGGAGCTCTTGCTGTTTCGATTCAGGCACAGCCTCCTGATCCAATTTCCCTCGTCCAATTTTAATCGAAACATGATAAATTTAAAAAAAAATAACAATAAGTGCCTGCACCGTGCGCATGCACTCAGTTTGGACCAAAATGTCTCAAAAAACGAATGGTAGGAAGAAATTTTGGTTCCCCTCATATTCGGGAGCGTTAATTGTGCATACACCAATCTTGGATGCTCGAATATTTGAAAATTTGAATCTTTGCAAACGATTCTTGGGATAAATTAACCTCTTTTTTGAATTTCCATCTTTTCTTTCCTTCATTTTTTTTTCCTTTGTCGTTCTATTGTGAGGATGTCGTTTTTCGACCTCAAATGAACACTGTGAGATTGTTTTCAACTAACTTTTTTTATCAAATAATGCGTCTTTCTCGCATAAAATTTGTCAAAGATTCACTGCAGAACGGCTACCACATTTTCATTATACATTCTCCATAAATTTCCGTTTTCAAAAAAAAATGGAAAAACTATAAAAAATCAGAAAAGAAGTGAATATTCCCAAGAATCGTTTTCAAAGATTCGAGCATCCAAGATTGGTGTATGCACAATTAACGCTCACAAATATTCGTGGACCCAAAAATCCTTCCTACCATCGAGTCTAATTAGATTTCACACTTTTTGCTCGTTAATTTTGTTTTTTTATATCGGATTTAAAAATTTGAGTAGTTAGGCTCGATTTTTAAAAAGTCATAATAAGTTATTGGAATAGTATGAAACCACACATTTGGAGAGAAAAAGCTATTTTTTTATTAAAAATTAGAAAAATTCTTTTTTTAAATTGATCGAAAAATTGAGATACGTTTATAATTAGAAAATAAAAAAAGGCGCCAACAACATCTGACCATGTTAAAATGAATTTCGAAATTTTCACTCAATTTTTTCTCAGAAAACAAATTTCTCGGAATAAGTTTTATACTAATAAAGTTTTAGTACAATTTAATCCACGAGTTGAAACAAAAATTTCTTACTTACATGCTCTCGAAACCGAGTACAAAATTTTCAATTTTTTTTCTAGGCATCGTAGAAATTTTAATTTTTTCGTCTTAAAAGATTTGTTTTTCATTTAAACTTTAAAGATCGAATTCGAAAATAAAAAAAAGGCGCCAACGACATGGAACTACTCTACTCAAATCGTGCAAAGTGCAGTGTCTATGCCGGCATTCTGCAAAAAAAGCTTCATGCATTCTGCAAATCAGTGCTTTGCATTTTGCACAGATGTATATCGCATTTTCACTTTTTTTCGTCTGTACAAAAGTGAGCCCAAAAAGAAATGCTAAATGCGAGGTGCTTCTGTGCAAAAGGCAAAGCTCTGTTTTGCAGGATGCATGCAACTTTTTTTGCAGAAAAAATTCAGTAGAGTAGGTTAAAAACTCGAAGAAAAAAAGTATTTATGGTTTTTTGTACGACACTCCGCTAAAACGCTTCAAAAATCGTGTAAAAAGTATATGAGGTTGAAGAGGAAGGTTTTCACTATGTTTCCACCAATTTTCCCTGTTTTTGAGTAATGCGCTTTTACGAAAACATCAATCTCAAAATCTAAAAAACCAGTGCATTTCACCATCTCGAAAAGGGGCGTGGCTTTGCGGTCTCTATCAGTAGGCGTGGCTGACTGCAACAGCGGCAGGGTTTATTGCAATAGGGGCACAGAGATGAAAGTCAAGTTTTGTGGATTCAGTGGTTTGAAAAAGACCGCTAATTTATGTTTTTTCTAGGTTCTCGCAAGTTTTTGATGGTTTTAATGTTTATTAAAGGCATAGGGGCAGTAAAAAACGGTGTTTTAGTTCAAAGCAGTAATTTGTAGAGCTTTTCATTGCGAATCGAACGGTGAACTTGAAAACGTACCGAACTTCCTAGTTTTGGAGAAAAAATAATTCAAAGTCGGAGAAAGGAAATCTTGAGTTCCCGCGAAAAGGGCGCTTTGCAGTAAAGTTGCTCTATGGACAACAGGCTTCGACATCTTCCGGATTTTCGCTTTTTTCTTCGTTTCTTTCAATTTTCAATTTTTTCTGTTGTCACCGAAGGTCTTTTCGTCACAAAAGCTTTCTATTCATGTATAATTTGCAACCTTTGATCGCAAAAATGCTTCTTTGGTGAAAAATGATGATTTTACATCGGTTTCGATTGGGATAGCGTTATTTTGTGTTTCCTTTATTATCGGTGTGTGTTTTTTGTTTGCCTAAACGTTTTTTCAGAAAAGAAACCCTTAATTTGAAGCAGAGAGCCGGTTATTTCTCACAAAATGCGAGTCTAATGAGACGTCCGCAACATCGCGTGCACGGCTACTGTAAACATTTGTCCGTATACCGATCCAAAGCTTTTTTCAAAAATAAAGGCGGGAGAGTAAAATCGCGTTTTTTTTCTAAAGTTGTCACATCTGTAATTTTTTTGAGTACACCATTCGATTCGCAAAGAAAAACTATATAAGATACTGCTTTCACCTGAAACCCCATTTTTTACTGCCCCTATGCCTT